GCCCGCTGCGGCTTGGGGTGACCCTGGAGAAGGGGATCCCCGTCCCTGTGCTCGATTTGATTTGCCCCGGGCCCTTTGAGCAGTTCAGGTTGCCGGTGTCTGAGGCGCCGCTGAGAAACGATCGAGCGATTCCTATGCCCGACGGCTCTTTCTTTCCAAGCTGACGGCTTTTTGGATTTCATTTCCGAAGGCTAACTTTTCAACAAGAAATTATAGTCACCCAGTGCATGCACGTGAAACGGTTTAAGGCCGTGGATGCAAGCGCAAAGAGGCCTGCTGTAATCGAGACATTCGTTGCCTTCAGAAAACACTCTAAAAAAAGGAATCTTGACTATTCCTGCCCGCCACTTAAGTGGGAATTTATTGACAAATATTGAAACGATAGACACAAGCTCCTGCTATTCCGAATCCGTAGAGCAAAACTACGTGAGCTGAGGAAAACCTGATGTAGGAGTCGGGGGGGGGGTGTCCCCCCGGGCCGCCCCGCGGGGACCCAGCCCAGACCTTCCCAATGGGGCTTTTCTTCCCCAAATCGGCGCCGATGGAACAGTCTGGAGCAGTTAAACTGGATGCGGATGTGGCGGCAGCTCGACAGGGCTGCGGCTCTTCCTCCAGCTCCACCACCACCAGGAGAGGCGGAAAAGGTGACGCCTGTGCTAGCAGGGATTTATATACATTTATACTCCATGCTATTTAAGATTAAAATCCCTTTCGTGGTGATCCCAAGTAAAAATAAAGAACTTTTTCCTGACCTTATCTTCAAAAGCTGTAGCCAGCACTGTTAATGAACATGCTTCTATGCTTATTAGAGTTGTTGTTTGTTTGCGTTTAGCTAAAATAAATTTGAAGAAAGGCTTGCCAGATGCTTTTTTAAAAACAGTGGTAGAAAAAACCCCACACTTGAGCATGGGTGTTTTGGAAAGAATTTCATGTGCTTGCCTTCCTTTATTTTCATTTCCAGCTTGATTTTACAAATGTTGAAAACCGTAGAGAAATCTGACTTTGCTAGGGCTCCTTCCCCAACAAGCAACGCTGCGCTGAGCACGTTACACGTCGCCACCAGAGCTGTTTATACACCACAATAAACACTGAATTTATAAGGATCGCTCGGGCTTTTCCAAAGCCGACACTGCTCTTTACCTGACTGCGGACTTTGGAAGGGCTTCGTCACTAACCACGTTGCAAACCCGGAGGAATTGCTTGGAATTATCAGGAACCCCCCCCTGTGAAATCCTTGTGGTTGAGCAGGGTGGGATGCCCAGTTGCCTTACTGGTCACCCCACCCTCACAGTCTTGCCGCCCCTGCAAGCCCCCCGCTGTGGCAATGGGGTTGGGGTCTTCACTAGCCAAGCTGTGCTGGATGGTGGCCCGGTGCCTTTCGGTCACATCTAGCAGCTGGGGACTGGGGGCACCTGCCCGCCTGCTCCCCACGGGTCCCCAGCTCCTTGGACTAACCTTCCTCGGAAATGGACCTTCCAGACTGGACATGAGGGAGCGTTTCTTTCCCGAGAGGGTGGTCAAACCCTGGGACAGGCTTCCTCGAGAGGCGGCCGATGCCCCAAGCTTGGCAGTGCTTCAGGCATTTGGACAACATGCTTTCATTTTCAGTCAGCCCTCATGTGATCCAGAAGTTGGACCAGTTGATTGTTGTAGGGTCCTTCCAGAAGAAAACTCAACTCTTCTCTCTTCTCTCTTCTCTCCTCTCCTCTCCTTCTCTTCTCTTTTCTCTTCTCTTCTCTTCTCTTCTCTTCTCTTCTCTTCTCTTCTCTTCTCTTCTCTTCTCTTCTCTTCTCTTCTCTTCTCTTCTCTTCTCTTCTCTTCTCTTCTCTTCTCTTCTCTTCTCTTCTCTTCTCTTCTCTTCTCTTCTCTTCTCTTCTCTTCTCTTCTCTTCTCTTCTCTTCTCTTCTCTTCTCTTCTCTTTTCTCTTCTCTTCTCTTCTCTTCTCTTTTTTCTCCTCTCCTCTCCTCTCCTCTCCTCTCCTCTCCTCTCCTCTCCTCTCCTCTCCTCTCCTCTCCTCTCCTCTCCTCTCCTCTCCTCTCCTCTCCTCTCCTCTCCTCTCCTCTCCTCTCTTCTCCTCTCATCTCCTCTCTTCTCTTCTCTTCTCTCTTCTCTCTCCTCTCCTCTCCTCTCCTCTCCTCTCCTCTCCTCTCCTCTCCTCTCCTCTCCTCTCCTCTCCTCTCCTCTCCTCTCCTCTCCTCTCCTCTCCTCTCCTCTCCTCTCCTCTCCTCTCCTCTCCTCTCCTCTCCTCTCCTCTCCTCTCCTCTCCTCTCCTCTCCCCTCCCCTCCCCTCCCCTCCCCTCCCCTCCCCTCCCCTCCCCTCCCCTCCCCTCCCCTCCCCTCTCCTCTCCTCTCCTCTCCTCTCCTCTCCTCTCCTCTCCTCTCTCTTCTCTCTTCTTCTCTTTTCTCTTCTCTTTTCTTCTCCTCCCTTCTCTCCTCTTCTCTCCTCTTCTCTTCCCTTCTCTCCTCTTCTCTCCTCTTCTCTTCCCTTCTCTCCTCTTCTCTTCCATTCTGTAATTCTATTTTGTTCTGTCCTATTCTATTCCTGTTGGCAGCCCTGTCCACAAAAGACAAGCAAGCATCTGCCAGAGATTTTGGTTGCCACCCGCACCGCCACATGTTTCAGAGGGGTGGGGGGGGGGGGGTTCATCTCCCCAGGAGGGCAACGCGAGGGCACCCAACCCTCTCGGGCAGCCTCGCAGCTGTAGAGCTGAGATGGGAAAGGTCAGGAGCATATATTAGACCTGGCTCCCGGCCACCTCGGCATATGCTGGTGGGTCTTCTGTGGCTGGTAACCTCGGGCAAAGCTGACCCGGCAGCCAGGACCTGCTGCGTCCCCTCGCCCTGTCCCCCACCCACCCGCCGAGCGATGCCGAGAGGGAAACGGGAGCATCAGCTTTCCCGGGGCAGGGGGAAACCCAGGAAAAACTGAGTGGGTGTTAGGAAAAGGGATGAGAAACAGCAGCGAGGGAGACTGGTCCCGACCGGCGGGGATGGCTGATTGCTTGGTAGCGCGCAGATATGATGCTGCCTGTGAGATCTATCAAACCGCCAGGTCAGCACAAAAAGATTTCAGGGAAACGCCTGAACTGAGTTAGATCGACAGAGAGGGTTATGATCCGTGAGGAGCGAGCAGCACCAGGTTGGTGTTGGTACCCCCCAGCCCCTCAGCAGGGGTGCCCACGGAGGTTTTAGGGGCTGCAGATCGCAGAGCCAGGCTGTGGGGCCACAGCACTCAGAAAATGGTTTTTTGCAGAAGCCACGCGCCTGGGTTCAACCTCCAGAGGCTGCGGAACTGCCCTTTGGAGGGGATTTCTTTTTGAAGTGTTATTTCGTGGCCTAGAAATGCTGCTGGCCGTCCCCAAGGCGGAGCGGAGCCCCGAGCAGGCGTCCCCCCACGCCTGGCACCGTGCCCTGCCAACGCTCCCCGCCCCCCCCCCGCTAAAAAAAAAGCACCAGGAGCCTGAGGAGGGGGCACAGAAGCCCTCCTGGGACACCCCAATTCCACCTTGCAGCAGAGCTGGGGGTGGCACTTACTGGTGGAGGAAGCCCACCGCGCGCAACTGCCAACTGGGAAGGGAGAAACAAAACCACAATGCAGAGCAAGAACAGCAGCCTGGATGTGGGGGCACGGGAAGGCAGCTTTGAAAATGAAAAATATTCATTTTAACGAGAAGAGCTCCAGATCTCGCTGCTGGCTATAACTGTGCAGCCTCGCAGAATTTGCCGAGGTTGCAAGGGTTAAGGGAGAGCAGAATTTGGCCAGTGGCTGGAATAGATAAGCCGTATGTCTGCACACCCCTGAATGTGGAACAGAAATAATTACGTGATGTGCCCGCTGATAGTTAAACCTCCTGTATTATCCCCAGAAATTACAGGTTTTCACGGTGTTTATGTTTTCAATAAGCGGTGCAAGAAAACTGATCCTCCGCTGAAGTTTTTTGTTTCGGGAGGGAGGTGTAAATAAATTGTTGTCCTGATGCTCCTCGGCTCCGAGGCCAGCTGAAGAAGATGATGGGGCGGGTTCCCTGCTGCTGTTTCGCTGCTGAGTTGCAGAGGGGGTCCCCGGGGCAGGGGGGGGACCGGGACACACGCGCTGTCCTGCCGGCCCCGGCCGTGGCCAGCCCCCCGCGGCGAGGGCTGGGTGCGTGGGGTGCCCCAACTGGGGCCACCCAAAGCTGCACCCAGCCCCTGGCCTGGCACCCAAAGGCACCAGCACCCTCAGAGCGAGCCTCTACCCCCCAGCTATACGTGTTTACATTCCTTCTGCTTAATATTTCTGTAATCTTCTCTGGCATCATACACTCGTAATTCTTCTCCTCCTACTTCACACTTTTGATAAGCCTTCTGGTCCCGCAGCAGATGCATTGTGAATCTTCTCCTTCTAAGTATCTTGCATATGTTTCATTAAAAGTGTTTGTTTCTTTGATCAGCTCGGAGTTCTGATGTGAAAAAAAAAAAAAAAAAAAAAAGAAAAAAAATCAACTTTTTGGACTTCGCTTGGCAGCAGCCGGCCCCAGAATGAAGAGCAGCGTCTCGGCGCAGGCAGAAACTCCGCGCCCTAATGTCAGTCATTTCCTCTTTGCCAGTTGATTTGCCTGTCCTCCCGCCGGTGGCTACAATGTGCACTGGCACCCAAAGATAGAAAAACGGGCTTTTTTCCCCCCCCCCCCGCTACCCTGTGCAACTGCACATGAAAGAACATGGTGGGAGGTGCCAAATGGGAGCAGCAGAAATGGGGCTATATTTCACCCGCCGTTGCTTAGCGATGGGAAGCGCGGGCAGGCTGGCATCGCCCCGCGGCAGGGGGGCACCCGCCACGCCGTGTCCCCCCCCCGGCGTGGGGGACAGGGTGCCCGTGGGGGGCCGGAGGGGAGAGGCTGGCAGTGGGGTGAGTGCGGGGGACGGGGCCACGCCGCTCTTAGCCTTAACATCTCTGCCTGCTGCTTGCCCCGTGCGATTTCTTTATCGCCGGTTGTCTTACCGTCCCTGTCACCTGGGGCAGCCATAAGGAATTTCCGAGCCCAACTAGGCGTTGCGCCAGCAAAATTCCTGCCCGGATTAACAGCGCCGTGCACGTATTTGTATGGGATCACTCTTAACACAGCTGCCATTCATAAAATACCTAAGCCCGTGCTTTTATTCCTGGTGGAAAACATATTTAGTTACAATTCCTACAAATGCGTGGATGTTAAAAATAACATAGTATCCTGCAAGCCCTAACACATATGGTAGTTTAACTTCCACTAAACCAAGAGCATCCTAGATTATCTAATTCCACATCCCCACGCAGAAGCAGTGTGACACCTTATTTCAGGGCGCGTTAGCCCCGGGTGAGGAGCACGAGGCTTGGCCTGGCTCGTGGAGCAGAATGGAGAAGGAGGTGGAGAGCACCTCAAATATTTTCCCCTCTGTTTGTAGCCACTCCCAGTCGGGAGACACCTCCCGGGTGCCGGCACCGAGCCGTGGCTGGTGGCAGCATTTTGGGGGGGCCCGCACCCCCCCGCCCTGCTCCCTTCCCCGGGCAGGCAGCGCGGCCTTTTCCTACAGCGACTCAATCTCACCTCGGCTTCCCGAACGGCGAGAGGTTAGGAGGGAGCCCCGTCCTTGGCAGTCCGTCATCGCGGCCCCGGCGGGGCTGGGGCAGGTGCTGCCGGCCGCTCACGCTGCCCCGGAGGTGGCCCCGGGAAGGGGCTGGGGGGCCCCGCGGCCAGCGCTCCCGAGCAGAGCCAGCGGTGGTCCCCGCTCCGTTCCGGCGGCACCTCCGGGGTGCCGAGAGCGCGGCCGTGCCTCGCGCCCTCCGTCCCCGCTGAGCCGGGCCTGCAGCAGCTCCGGCGGGCTCTGCTCCGCTGGAAATAAGCACATCCATCCCAGGAAGGTCGGCTCAGGATTAAAAAAAAAAAAAAAAAAAAAAACCAAACCCAAAACATATGCACTCACCTCACCGACAACACGAAGACCAAATGCAATGCTGACGCTTAAATTTAATCAGCTGCAATTATTTGCGCACAAGTCAACTAATCTATTCCCAGCCCTAAACGTGCGATAAGATCCTTTAAAAGAAGCGCGGCCCGCGTTTGCGCCGGGCTTTTTGCCATCCCTGGTTTTCAGCTGCCCCTTTTTTTTCACAGCTGCAGGTGGTTTACGCAGTGGAAGATCTCCCTGTAGTTACCCCATTTGCAGCCAGGACCAGGCGTGGAAGCAAAAAGCCCAAAAGGCCGCGGAAAAGGCAGGATAGAGCGGTCTGACACCCGGCGATGGGCTCCGAGTCCTCCCTGTCATTGAAAGTCACCGTGCCCCCGACTGCTCAGAAGTTTCACACTCAATTTTTCTGATGTCTCTCATGAAAAATGATATTTCCTTACCCATCAGAGAAGATATTTTCCCCGGCAGGTATGCTGTCGAACATGTTGCATTCACAACATGACACAAAGTCTAAAAATCACAGAGAGACTAATTACTGGAGGAAAATTACACCAAAAGACCAATTTCCTGGTGATGGAGATGACAGCCCGGCGCCCGGCCCCCCGGCCGGTTTGGGCAGCTCGCCCGTGAGACGCTGTCACACGCCGCTGCCCTGGCGCCACGGGGGAGAGGGGCTCAGCACCCCAGAGCCCCCCCCGCCCCCCCCAACCCGTCACCAGCCCCCGATGCCTTTGGGGCAGGGAGGGGACGGCTCCTGCCCGCCCCCCCTCCAGCACCTGGGAAATTGGATTTGCCAAATATCCCGCCCCGAAGGATGCGATCCCCCAGCCCCCCCCTCGCACTCACCGGTCCCCCGGGGATCCCGGCGGGATGAACGTCGGGGGCGCGGCGACTGGGGAAAACACCAGGATTCAGACCCGGCCCCCCCCCGGGTCCAGCACAGCATCCAGCCACCTAAAATCAATTTAGAAAGACTTAAAATGAAGACCTGCCATACCTCCTTTCTCTCTGTTTTCCATCCTTTATCAGAAAATTAATATTACTTCATAAAGCAATATTAATTCTTACGTAGAAATGCAATTCACTTAATGCTGCAATAGCTACAAATACAGTCAAATAATCCTTCAACTCTAAGACTTTATATAAAAGCAAAAATGCCACAAAGATAATTTATATGAAAGCTGAGGTATGGTTGATGAATTAGTTCATATTTACCTAGATTATGTATAATAAATGTAATGTATATCATTTATATCTACATAGTTCTAATTTAGTTGGAATCGGAAAATAATGCAACATGAATTCATATGAAAAACAATTTTGTACAGGAAAATTAAAATGGTAGAGCATATTGTTTTATATGAAATATTGAGCTGTGTAATCTTATTTGTTATATGCTTTAAGCAGACTTCAGTAGGAAAACCATATTTGTTCCCTTTGGAGCTTCTTTATAAGTGTATAAAAGCTTTAATTTCATACGGTCATAAACGGGTTGAATTTTACAAAAATGCCATCGTTTTTCTCCCTTTTTCCATCAGCATTAAAATGTGATAAGCAGATATTCAGAAACGCACACCAGCTCTTTCTTTTGCGTTTAGTTATTCAGAGAGCTATGTTAATCAAAACCAATTATTAAAAACTACTGGCGATTGCTAAGGATCAGTTTTGCGGAAAACGAACTAAAACAAAGCAAAGCAAAAAAATAAAAACAAACAAAAAAACCACCACAACAACAACAACAAAAAAAAAAAAAAACAAAAAACAACCAACCAACCAACCCAAAAAAATGCAAAAAACCAAACCAAACCAAACCAAACCAAACCAAACCAAACCAAACCAAACCTCAAGATATTTTGCCTGCTCTGCTGTACCAAGGCGCCTGGGGGACTCGGGCGCTGCGGCTGTAACCGATCCCCGGGATGGAGCGGTGGGGACAAAGCCAGTGAAATAAATTGCCAAGAGCAAGATGTTCCCCGTAAATGCCATTTTGAGACTTCACCTTTTCCCCTGCTGCCCTGAAGGCAATATTGCAAGCGGTTTAGCAACAAGCTGCGGGAACGTTTCTGACACAAGGAGCGGCTTCCAGAACGACGCGGCGTCAAAAACCACTGGAAACCCAACTGGAGGGCGAGATGAGCCCCAGCGACGGGTCGCGCCCCAGCGAGCTGCCTTTGGGTTGTCTCCGGCCCAGGCACGTTCCTCACGCCTCGGAGGGGAAAGAACCCGTAAGACGGGGCAGGGGGTGTGAGAAGAGGCGTCCCCAGGAGGAAACGGTTGACTTCTGCCCGATTTTCCTGTATTCTCGGTAACGCGGTGCTGAAGCGGGGAGGAAAAAGGGAGCTGGTGTCATTGTTAGAGCTTGAGCTGGGTGCCAAGCTGCCAGGATGCTGCCAACGATAACGGAGTCTTTAAGATGTCTATTAAAAACCCCCGGTATTCTGAAATGCAAGAGAACTAGCCTTGTGCAGAGGTAGAAAGTAATTATGCAATTCTTATGTAAAAGATGCAAGCTTATTTTCAGGGAATGATGCATGGCCTTACACATGACGTCTCGATTTCTTCCCGTTCTGGAGTACACCGGAGATGTCTCACTCTTCCAGCTCTCCAGGGCTAGAGTTGGCTTCTTCCGCCACTGAAAACCAGAGCCAGGGGGACTTGTCAGAGGTAAAAAAAAAAAAAAAAAAAAAAATTCTTCGATCAAATCAATTTTTAAGCAGCCTGCATAGCTGTGTGCAGCGCATACAGCTGATCCAAAGCCCGTGAACACATATAAGAAAGGTGAATTTGATAAAGAGTAGTCCTGCATTAAAAAAAAAAAAAAAGAAACGAACCAAACCAAGCGATTGACACGGGTAAGTGTTGGACGCTGGCACAGTGTCTGGGTTCAGAAGTGCCACGGCCGAGGTGCCGGGCTGCTGCTGGGGGCAGAAGCACGAGGGCTGCTCTGCGTGAAGCGGCCGGTGCCTCCGCTGGCGGAGGGAGGGGGCTGCCCTTCGCCTTCGCTGAGGAGACGGTCGAGGCCCCGTGTCCAGGCCGTGGGGGGTTCCCAGCCGCCGGATCAAAGTCCCACGAGCCCAGCTTGGATTTGTTCCGCTGACCCCACGGCGGCGGAGCCATCCTTCTGCTGGGGTGGTGGCCTCCGCCGGGACACACGCCGTCTCCACACACGTCCTCCATCCCTCTGCAGCTCTCCTCGGCCCGGACTCAAGGCTCAGCGCAGTCCCAAGGCTCGTTCCTCCTCTTCATCCTTCGGGCTGGTCACCTTGACTTTCTCAGCGGGGCTACCGACCTTGACTAACTGGTCGGGCTGTGGCTGGAGACGTGTGGGGGTTAGCTGGCCCCAGGTGGGGCTGGGTGGCCACGGGGCATCGCCACATTCACATCTGCAAGCCGCAGCGGCCGGGTCAACAGCTCCGTAACGCTGGCAAGACACGGGGAAAGGACCGGGGTGATGTAAAGGTACAACTCACCACGGAAATACGTGCCCAGCCTGCCCCGGGAGCTTTCAGAGAATGAGTATTCCCAAGCTATCACTTGTTATTTTGGACTATAAGTAACACATCACCCGATTGTGAAGAAGGTAGTTTAGCACAAGGCCCTGGCTAGAGTCACCCAGTGAACTAAAACGATGTATGAAATGTGTTTCACGGGGAGTTGTAATACAGATTAGTTACAGTTGCAAGCAAGGTCTAGCTCTTGAAAAAAATGGACTGATAAAATACATATTTTAGATCTCCAAGGAGATCTTGCCAGCTCTCAAAATAGTCCACGAAGTAATCCTGCGATTATGAATCCCCCTTTTTCTTTGATTTAGCACCATCCCCTTCAGGAAAAGATTCCCCCAGCTTAAAGTGCTTTGGAAAATACTCCCCATCTATGCTCACATAGAATTATTTTTGCCTCCTTCCAGCCCCTCCTCCATCTGCTCCACTCTCCTCACTCCTCCAGGTTAAGTACTTTCCCCTGACAAATATCCACTGCAATTCATTTCATCTGAAATGCCAACAGTTCTTAACTGAATAAAATCCAGAATTACTTCCACGTGCCTCATATAAGTGAATACAAACCCAGTCCTAACTGTGATATCCTCCACAGAACAGCACTTTTATTCTGCGTAGAATAGGATGAAAACTTCCCGCCACAACTTTAATTTTTCAGTTGTAAACCATCCTTTCCCAAGACCACTTTTGCTGGTTGTTTGTTTTCTCTCATGGACAACTTTTTAGTTTCTAGGTTCCCTTATCGTTCAGGTCATACGCCCCTCCCCAGCCCCGGGACAGAGACTCTGTCCATCAGCGGGACTGCGTCGCTTCCCTTTATCGACCTTTTCTGGCTCAAGAAGCAGCTCCAAGACTTTAGACTTTTATAACCATCACTCGTGCAGCTAAACGTGAACTGCCCTCAAGAAAGAAGAGCCCAGTGTGCAAGGTGGCTCGGGGAGGAAAGCCGGGTTGGACAGTCACACAGTTGAGTTGGTTCTGTGTGCGTTTGGCTACTGAAATGCCACTTTTTGCGGGGCACAAGGCACGCCTGCGTTTCGGTGCTCCGCTCGCTGGCGAGGTGATCACCCCATGCCTGCGCTTACCTTGATACCTACATCACCACGCAGGACTCGGGATTTACAAAGATAGAAGCCATGAAAGATGAAAGGGCACGAGATTCAAAACGGGAGGAAGAATAGATTAGTATTTCCTGGAAGCTCACTAAAGGGCAAAAAAAGGCATTTTCCCCGTGAATGGCGTACATATAATCTCTCTGTTTCACTGCCTCAGACCGCAGAGCAGAGAGGCAGTGGTCTTGGTGAGCAAAATACATGTTACAAAGGTTAGAAAAAGTCACCGAGCAATTTTTATTGTCTGTTTTTTTTTTGTCAGGATGCTGAAAGTTGAAAATTTCCCCCAGTGTTAATAATACAGTATTAGTTACACACGACTGCTTTACTGGAGTTAAACCAACATGACTCCTGCTCACTCAGACCTGAATTTCTCCAGCGGCCAGCTATTTAAGAAAACAAAAGCCGTCATCATTTGCAATATAGGTCAGTACTTAGTATGACAGGAGCCTGCACGCAGACCAAGCGCTATTTTGAACTCCGAGCATTTGCAAAACATGCCACAGGAACATTTGCTTTGAGGGGAAATTGTGGCACTGGGCGTTTCAAAGATAAAACTCCTGCAGAATCCCCGCTTGAAAAGAAACCACATCCCAGCAGACCGATAGCCTAACGCACAGATACTCATCTATAGGCCAACACAGCTCGGATGGGTCCAGATTATTTGTTTGGATGATTTGGGGGGTTTAGGAGTGAAAGAAAATCCACTGCTGAGACTTTCCCTGCTGACAAAACGGGGCCAGGGTTTTTCCTCTGACCGATGCTTTGCCGACCATGGGAGTTGGCAGCGGTTACAGGCAAGGGGTGGGAGCTTTGACGCTCCAAAGTCATTTGTTTTCATCCCTTTCACCATCCACCAGCCTTTGCATCCAGTACAACTTTAAAAACACATTTGCTCAGCATTAGCCCTGCTATTCCGTGTGGAATCCCATAAATTACAGCTGTTGCTAGAAAATTAAGATGTATATAGGGAAATCATTCACAAACCCTCTATCTGTTGCATCTGGAAGTTCTGGAGTGTTGATTAGTTAAATACATAATTACGAGATAGCCTTAAAGGCAAAAGTTGTAAGCAGTGACTTTTGCTAAGGAGTCTCCTGTTGGTGTTATCATACGAAATATAAAATGCTGCGAGTCTAAAGAATAAATTTATCTTAAAGGAAAAAGTTGAAAGACTCGCGCTGATGATACAACTTCTTCAGAACATTTCTTCACAAGTTAGATTATAATTAAATACAAATTAATTACTCCCACAAAGCATGTCATTTAGGCAAAAGCCTGCGTTTTTGAGGACTGTTAGCATCTTGTTCTGCAATTACACAGCTTGGAAGCATAGTTTGGTTTCATTTTTGTACTATTGCTTCTAGACTCTATACGTTCACACCCATTTCAAAAGAAACCATTCATTTCCACATGCGGCGTGGCGGTAACGCAAATAACACGTTGGCACGAGCCAGACCAGGAGGGACTGACAACTGGCAACCCAGTTGGAGCCCTGAGAAGTGACCCAGCAACATTTTCCATTTTGTTTCTGAATCCTTTCAAAATTCTTTCGCTGAAAATTTTATCAAAAGTGCAATGGTCCCGTAAACCATTTCAGTTTCAACAAAAGTATATTTGCCAATGAAAAACTGTTCAAATGTTCTTTTTTTTCTGCCAGCTTTAACTGCTCTGAGTCGTTGAAAAAAAGCTCTGGGAATTTCTAGGGGATAATTGTTTTAACCATCCAGCCTCACAGCTCATTATCATGAGTTCTTTATCTAGAGGAAAATCTCTGCTAACATGAGGAGTCACTGGGAACTCTCAGGTGTTTTGTGCCTTTGAAAAAACAAGCTGTTTGACTGAATTTCTGAATACAGCTTTTTTTTTTTTTTTTCCCCCCCTCTGGAAGCAGAGTTATACTAAATGACATCGTATGACAATTTATTATTTATGCATGCTATTAGAAGTGCTGACTGCATACCCAAAGTATAACATTTGAAACCATGTCTTTATTTCATCCCATTATAATAAAGGACTGTTGTACCCTGACATATTTACAGCCTCGACCGGAGGAGTCGGTTATGTGCCAGATAATTGTCTATCAGCTCAATACAAAGCGCAACTGGGTCCTGTGACCAGCAAACCATCAGGAAACTGGTCCAGAGGGCCCCTCGGCTGCCCCACGCTGCTCTCAGCCTCTGCCTCCCTTCTCCCCTGGGAAAAGGGCTCCAGCCCCCCAGAAACAACCCCCCCCTGCCCAACACGCACCTCCTGACTGTGGCCGACAAACTGCTGCAGGGGAGCATTCCCGCACTGCACCCAAAGCCACCAAAAGTGGACACGAGCAGGGCACTCCTGCCAAAACCCGTGAAAATCGCCGCTGAAGGCTTATTCATTTAAATCAAACATTCTCAAAATAGAAGTCGTTTCCTGGCTGTTTGTTTGTTTTTTTTTTTTTTTTTCTTTCAGGGATAGCTGATGCCTTCACCTTTTACAAACCGACAGCTTTTTGAGATGTAGCTATAAACATTTATTTTCCCCAAAATAAAGATTCAAATTAAGCGCCGCAGGGTCAATAAAGGAACATTTTGATTGCTTTCCACACGTTATCCTTCAGGTTGCTGATTCATAAGGAACTCGGGCAGTTTTTGCCCCAGTTTGGGCAAGAGGCACTGTTGGAACCTAAAAAACTGCGGTGGGACCAGGAGCGTGTTCCCTGCCCGGGATTTAAAGAAATTCCTGGCTGGTAGCGGCAGCCAGAGCAGCGCTGAAGGCGCTCGCCACGCACGAAGAGAGAGCAACAGGGCAGGTAACTCCGACGTCGTGTGGAAAAGAAAGGGGCTGCGCCTACGCAGCGACCGGGTTCCCATAGTTAGCAGGGGGTGGGTGACATCCCCCCCTCTGCCACCGCCTCTCCCGGGGGACAAAGAGAGGGGGGGGCTGAGCCCCCCCCCAGCCGCTCGGAGCCCGGCCGCCCTGGCGAAAGGGTGAGACACTTCCACGGGCAAAGATGCCCTCCTGCCGCGCTTGACGCGCAAGTGGATGTGAAGAATCCGATGAAGAGCTAGATTAGGGCTTTTAAAATAATTGTGATAAATGACAGCATCTGCATGCGCTAATTTCCCTCAAGATGTGTTAGATTAATTTTATGAAATTAACGTCCAGAATAGCAAACGTTAGCCATTCGCGTGACCAACGCTCTGAATCCGTTTGAGCTCTGGCAGCTCCGCGCGTGCTTTCAAGCTCTTGGGATCCAGGGACCAACTCGGGGTGAGGGGGGAACACGCGGAGGGAGCCCAAAGCTCGGGAAATTCACGTCACGGGGGTAACCCAAGAGCTTGGGAAGTTCGCTGAATGGAGCATCTAGCCAGGACACTCAAAGTTCAGGGCTTGGCACGAATATTTTCCAGTGGTATTCCTGTGTGTTTGGGTACTCCAGGTTGCATGCTGCTCGCCCCGAAGGGTGAAGGATCCTTTAATCACGTTTGCTGAGTCCTGCGAGCGACTCGCAGCTGGCGCCAGGCAGTTCTCAGAGCTCAACAGGACCTGACCCGGGCTCTCCAGCACCGTGCATGACGCTTAATCCCACATAAGACACAGCTGAAGGGGACGGTACGCTACCGGTTCCCTTTCCTTTTGACAGACTGCAGGGAACAGAAGGTGATTTTTACTGTCCAGAGACGTGTGAAGTGCTGCAATCCCCTGCTCCTTCCTCCTTCTCAAGATCTGGGACTAACTCTCCAGTGCCACCAAGTTGACATGGGTGTTTGAATACACACCGTCTTCTCATCTGGTTCAACGAGCTTCATCCCAAGGAACGCGATGTCTGTGAGATACGAGCATCTGGAGGAAGAATGCTGAGCTGAAACTCAGCCCAGAGGAAATGGAAGTTGGAAGAAATATGGTAACACTTAGCAGAGCAAGCCAAGACCATGACTCTCTCCTCTGCTGAGGGAATCCACACTCCGGCTGCCAAAACCTGGTTACTGCAGGCAGCCTACTCTGCTGGTTGGGCTGGACCGTCAAGAAACAAAAAGATGATCCTTGTATTGGCCCCGTCCCTTCCAGGCCTACCAACGGCGGCAGCTCCACGCCACACCTCGAGCCAGCCCTTCTACCTGAACCTCAAACCCACCGGAGCTCTGCTGAACGGCAAGCACAAGGAAAGCAGAGCAGGTTTTGTAACCGCAGCGCAGAGGTGACCGAGGCCTCTTTGGTTCTCCTGCTTCTGGATCCCACCAGGTCCTTGCCGATCCCTCCGAGTAAGGAGGTGAGACCCCAGGACTCGGGCAAGGAGGGGCTGCAGAGCATGGGGATGCATTAGGCCCACGGGGAAACAGAGAGCCTCGAGCAAGAGATTAAAAAAAGAGTTTCTATGAAGAATGCAAAACTGCCCCGGTTATTCTTTGAAGCGCCCGTGTACGTGTGCATATCGGCACTCGGGTTAAAACCAGAGTTTCCAGGAGCTCACCTGCACGGTCCGAACCGCTGCGAGTGTCACGGTGTGCCTTACAGCAACCTTCCTCACCACCGTTTTCACGCGCCGCTTCTAGAACCAAGGACACGGAAAACTTAAGAGGAAAGAGCGAAAAACAGGACGACACATTCCTAGAAGACGTACAACGGCCTTAACGGCGCGCTGCAGCTGGACTTACGCCTGGAAAGGGATCCACGTTCCGCCTGCCGGGTGTTGGAGCCCTTATGGCCAAAGCCACCTCCCGAATCGTGGAAGGGTCCAGCTGGACACTTTGTTCTGAGGAAGAAAACACACGAGGTACCGACCGGGATCAATCCACCTGCACTCAAATTCACACCTCCAACACCGACCCAACAGGACACGCCTCGGCCTCAAAACATTTGCTTTTTTCCTGCCCTTTCAGTGTATTTCCCCATGAGCCTCAAGATGAAGCAGACTTCTTGCTCAGGCAGAACTCACAACTGAGGCAGCCCTGAGCCACAGGGTTCCAAAAATCACGCTTAACTGCGATTATCCCTGTCTGATAACAATTATCAACTCATGTTACGTATGGAATGCATTCAGGTTCGTTTAGAACTTTAAAACATTTCTGCAATCCGACCGTAGGGATTTTTATTTTTTTTCTATGCATTACACACGCACAGAGACATCTATCTTGATGCGTGAGCGTATCTATCTGTATACACACACACACACAGGACTCGCACACCCACGTGAGCACATCACTGAGGTTGCACCACGGCTGTTGTCAGCTCTTGCTTCAGTTCCCCGTTGCGATCGGAAGTCCTGACCTCACCCATAAATGTCCCTGTACAGTCCCCAAGGGCTCCGGGGTGTCATTTCAGCAGAACTCTCCGCACACAGAGTCATCTGTCAGTAAGTGTTGTGTTTTCTCTGCTGTAGCAGCGCTACACAGGTACTCTGCTCTCTGCAAACTCACACATGTATGTCAAGTTAATTCTCACTCGCTAATTCTGAGGAAAAGAAAGCCGACTTCTGTTAGAAGGACTTGGGCTTGGGAATGGAAAGTGGAGGCGGAAATAAGGATCTGTGGAGTTTGGGGGTTTTTTGGCTGGATTTAGCAAAGAAGGCAAGTTTGCTTTTCTTCTGCTAGCTTGGGCATGAGTGGGGCTGCAGGGGAGAGGAATCCCGTAACAAAACTGCACGGGCAGCACATGCTAACTGGGGGGATAGGCGGAGGCTGCAGCCAGCTCGTGGGGAGCAGGGAGAGCTGCAGCCCCTGGAATTAATCTTCAGCTTTTGGGACGCTTATAAGTTTTCTAATGAAACATGTACCTCACTGAAGCCTCTACGACTGCAGTCAACAGCGGGTGAGTCCCTGGCCGGAGACTGAAGGGTGAAGGTTCTGCAGGAGCAGCAGCCCGAGCGCACTGAAACAGCGTCTGTCTCATCTTTTAAAATAACTTCACCTTGGCAGGTGGCAGCAGCGGAGGCCACGAGCGACGCTGCGGGAGGCACACAAGTGCAGCGTTAGCCACCCACAGCTGCAGAGAGCCCAGTATTTGGTGGCCCTTTACAGCCCCAGCTCCCCACATCAAGTCACCTTTAACACCTGCTCATGGCCCTGAGAGAAAACATTTAGAAATCGAAGCTTGTTCTACCATAGGGGACAGGGCCAAACGCAACAGAGCACGTAATTTTTAAACGTTACCTATTATTTAGCAATCTATTACTTTCTAGAGAGTACCTCTAGCTCAATTTTTGAATGCTGGGAGAAGCCAGGATTAAGCCGTCAGTCTTGCAGGGGACTGTTCCAACCAGAGAGGCAGCCTGCAAAACAAAAGGCAACAGGCAGGCTGAAGGGGATCAGCGGAGAGAGCTGCTCTTCACGGCTACGTGTGCCGATACGGGAACAAAAAGGGAGTTATTGCAGCCCCCCACCTCTCACCCGAGGTCCTGCCAGCAGCGGGCGGGTTTGGGGTGATCCATCTGAATGAAGATTCACTCTGGCAGTTACAGATCTGAATTAGAAAAAACAATGAGACAATCTGTCCGGGTGCCTAATAGAGACACATAGTTGAGACACCTCTGAAATTTAGGTGAATTCATTTAAAACAACACAGACATGCAAAATCATATAAGTTAACCTTTTAACCGGGCACATAACATTTCTAATCCTTTTCACGTCTCCAAATGGAGAGGAAATTTCCAGGATCAAATGTAGCTGCTACAGCACGGCTGAAAGGAACAGAGCCAGGATTATTCCCCATCCATTCACTGAGAGTGATCCTGGCTCTCACGGTGCTGTAGTTTTGAGGACTTCCATAGATTTACCTGCACCTCCCGCTGCTTCCACCCCTGCACAGAACACAGGCCCTGATGAAAACATCTCTGCCATCTTCCCCTCCTAAACCGGGTCATTTTTGTGTCGGAACAGCAGTGTCGGCCCCTTCTGTACACTGAGAATATCAGCAACAACCAAAACAAAAAATAACATTTTACAGGTGTGGAAGGACGCCGGCGACGCCGTCGGCTCGGTGTCTGTGTGTGCCATCCATTTCGCTCCCATTAGCAGCTGGAACTCAGCACACATTTACAAGCATTTTGATTTTGTCTCTGCATTGTTTTCAATTAGAGGCTTTTTCGCATGTGACGCACCAAGGGAAAAACAACTCTTAGAGTTAGAACTAAGGTACTCCCGGAGACAAATGTGATTAATGGGATAATCTTGTAGATTACAATAGTTAGAGGCAGTTCCTGCCATTTCCCACTCTCCAAGGACTGGTTCTGCTCACATCCAATATAGACAGCTGCAGATTCCTCAGCACCATTAGTATCCAATGTAGGAACACGTTCGACATTTTAAAACTCCTGCAATGTGCCCCTTCTATAATTGTGTATTGTCTGGACTGAGTTTTACAAATTAAAGCTTAAATAGAGTAATTTCTCGACTGAGGGAATTTTTGTGGAGTTAGTTGCGTACACGCTTACCTTTGCATAAATATATGCACACACCCACTCCCCCCCCCCTTGGTGCTCACATCTATTGTGAATATTATCCTTAAGTTCATCACGCCCTAATTAAACAATGATCAAGTGTTCTTAAATAACCCCGTTGTCCCCGGGAAGAGGTGCACCTGATGGGTAACAGCAGCGATGGCTCCTGGTTTCCACCTGCACTCGCATCCAAGCAGAGGGCTGCAAACACACGGCGGGAGGCACCTCCTGAACGAGTTTCCTCAGCTCTACAAGTGGACACTGCGGGAAGGGTTAATTGTGATAGCTCCCGTTCAATTAAAAATCAGGTCGCTACTGAATTCAGGTTATTTTCCTCCGGCCCTTTACATTCTGCAGCACTCCGAAAACGAATGACAAAAGATAGAATACATTTTATGAGGGAAAAATCATTTTGGCAAATATCTGGCAGCTCACCGATTTCAGATTCTGGCCTAAGAATACAAGATTAATATTTCTGGTAAGGCGATCGGCAAGGAAAATCTCTCTGCAAACACCGGCACACCGATTCTCGGCGCTGGGTTTGAGTCAGCAGCGCAGCGAGGAGTGAAGCAGAGCACTTGTTTCAGGGGTTTGCTCCACGGCCAGCTCGTAACAAGTCCGGCAGCATCACCCGCACGTAGGCAGTGGCTTTTTGGGATGGGTTTGGGGCTTTTAGGGGGTTTTTTAAGTCGTTCGCATCCAGCTGCTGGAGGTAGCAGGAAAAGGAAACAACACGCCAGCGCAAAACTCAAGGCAAGGGACAAACTGTATCGCGAATTCCACGCTCGCGGACTTTCAAAACACACGGGGTGCGGTCTGTACATTCTGAGGCAGCGCCATTCGTGACCAAAGCGCCCCAGAAGCGCCCTCGCAGCGGCACCGACCCCATTTTCCCCGGCGGGTTCGCTTTTCCCGCCTCTCCCCGCCTGAGGGCACGGGCGGGCTGCGCCGGGCCGGCGGCGCCACCTGCTGGAGGCGGGCGGCAGCGCCCTCGCGCCCCGGCCCGACATGGCGGCGGGGTGAGCGGGAGAGCGGAGCGGAGCCTCGGCTGCCGCTGGAAATCGGCGTGAGGGCGTTGCGGGGCTTCAGCCTGGGGAAGAGAAGGGCTCCGGGGAGATCAACGAGCGGCCGCCCTGGGCGTACAGGGAAGGTGGGGAGGGACTCTGTCAGGGGATGAGGGGGTAGGATGAGAAGTGACGGTTTTAAGCTGAAAAAGGGCAGATTTAGGTGAGCTATGAGGACGAAGTTCTTCCCTGTGCGGGGGGTGAGGCGCCGGCCCAGGGTGCCCAGAGCAGCTGTGGGTGCCCCCTCCCTGGGAGGGTTCAAGGCCAGGTTGGACGGGGCTGGGGGAAGGGGGCCCTGCCCGGGGGGGCACTGGGGGGGCTTTAAGGTCCCTTTCACCACAAACCAGCCTGCGATTCTGTGCTGGAACTGGAGTTCAGCCCATTAGGTTTTGGCTTCTTCAGGGCTCTGCCTGGCAGCGTGGCACGGGGCAAAGCTCGGGAGGGAAGAGGGGCCCGAGGAAGCTGGTCGATACCCAGCGATCACCGCCGAGCTCAGGAGGGACGCATCCCGGCGAAGAAGTCGTGCAAGAGCCCCACGAGGCCCGCGTGAATTATGTATTTCAACACTTCTGTGCCTCACCTAATAGCCTGCCGCTATTAGAGAATCACAGCACGGCTTGGGAGGGTCCTTTAAAGGTCCAACCCCCCTGCCATGGGAGAAATTTCCACCTTAGCAAATACCATCCTTACACCTAGTCTAAACCTCCCCTCTTTCCACTTAAAACCATTACCCCTGGCTTTAAACTATTTTAAAAAGCTGTGCGGACAGCCACCGAGAGCGCGTGCACGAGGCTACCAGCAAAGCTGCCCTCAGCTGCTGCAGAGAAGCAAACGCACTGCTTGCTTCGTTGTGTGGAATAACGTGTTTCTTCGAGCACCTTTCCGATAAGGCAAAAAACTTGTCTTTTAATGTTTAAATAAGGTCAGCCGTTATAGGAAAGCTGCAGCCACGTCCACCTAGGATTGCGCGTGAACCAGTAAGATGTCAATTAAGCCAGCCATCGGCATCGGGGAGCTGTGTTCAAGCAACATTTCATCAACACATAAATTCAACAGTGCTGTGTGGTGCACTATCTGTGCACCCTCGCTACGTTTGTTTCAGCACTACCCTCCATTTCAGTGAAGAAAAATCAAGAAGTGAAAAAACTTTCAAAGTTCTGCCAATATTCAAGGCCAATTAAGCAGGAGTTGCTTTGACACCAGTCCTGATGCAAAACCAAACAACCCCCCCAAAAAAAAAACCACCACAAAACAAAAAACAACAGGAGTTTGAAGATTATCAAAAGACAATCAAAAGGTAGGAGTATCGTTAATGCCAGTCAACATAGATTTATAAAAAAATATGACCTTATTCACACAAACTAACTTATATACACATCTTTTAGCAAGATTCCATACTCAGATAATTTAGATATTTATTTTTTCTATCCTGCTCAGCTTTCTGATAAAAACTGGTGTTCTGACAGCAGTAAAGCATGTTAAGTACTTTTTAAAAAACAGCACAGAAGTAGTTGGAATAGACTTACAGCCTCTCCTTTTAACGAAAACCTTGCGTACTTTATTTCGGGCACAAAGCACGCTGAGCCTTGAAGGTGGCAGGGAGGAAGAACAGGGGAGAAACAACGCTGTTCACAACATAAATCTCTGAAGAAGAATCCTTATTCCATCATTCCGGGTTTTCAAGGGAACTTCATTGGGGATTCAATATCAAGACAACCATTCTGTCATTAAAGGCTGCGGGGAAAAAAGAGACGGGACGTACTTGTGTGTTCTAAACCACCTCTGCAACATCAAGCAGGGGAGTGCTCTCCTGGACTTTAGGAGAAATACTTGGTTTGAGAATTACGTATAGATCAGTCACTTTATTTCCAGCACGTGCAAAAACGCGTGGCATGAAGGAAGACATTTTATTAAGAAATACCCAAGTAGTAAAGAGCCTTCAAAGTTTCAGCCACAAGAAAAGATATATTTGGTATCATTGAGTCAATCCTTAAGGTACCTAGAAGTGAACAGTTAAGATGCACAGAATGAATTTGAGCTTATGCCAGCCTAGGCTAGGAATTAAATTCAGTGATAACTATTCCCTAAGACAAGTGAATTTTATGCTATGCAGAGTGCTGATATTTGAGTCAGTACCTAGGTGTTTTAGTGGCATATCTCAAAAATACTCTCCTAAATCCAGTTACAAACTGGCTGGTAAAGAAAATAACAACCTAACTTTTTCAAAAGTGGTTTTTGCTGCAGGCTAAGCTGTTAGCCATTAGGACACTGGGAGTCTTCTCTCATTTTCTTGACATTCCTTGTACAGACAAAGTATTTAGAACACTGTACCTCGAAGAGCACCGCGTCCTCAGCAGCAGCTCCGACGGTTCTGTCAGGGTGTTTCCTCCGAGCCAGGACCTCGCTAGCCCAGGCCACTTGCCCCCCGGCCACGGCCGTGTAAGACACTCACACAGGAGCCGGAGGGGAAAGCAGCCACGGGCTCTTGACCTGCAAATTCTGCTCTGGGGCCTCTCATTGCGCTAAGCCGACCTGAGAAAAAGGAGGAGAGCTGTTGACGCATTTCTGCTTCTTTATCACCTCTGACCATACTCTGGATTTCCTCCTCACCACCTTTAAGGAGGACGTGTCACGGTCGGGTCTCCTGTCGCCTACAAAACCTTACAAGCGTCCTCAGCGAACTGAGAAGATGAGAGAAGTAGGAAATGGGGTATTTTGAAGGAATCGGGCAGATGAAAGAGGTACCCCCTTGCCCACAGGCATTTTCTCAGGCTTTAACTTCTAACCATTATTACTACTTACACTTTCGCCATTAATTTAGAAGCCAAATGATATTTAGAGGTTAGCCTTCTAACACCTCAAACCCTTATCAGAAATAAAAACATTGAGGACTATAAATATGAAAATAAACAACCTCCCCAGTGCTGTATTTGCTCTCTCTAGCCATCTTTAGATCAAGTCCAGCAGCTCTCTGGCAATATACGCTTACTAATCTCGACCCCCCCCACGTAACGTAAAGGACGAAGACGAGGCGAGCGTATGTCAAAGGCTCCCAGTACCTGCTGGTGATTCCAGCCCCCTCAATGCGGCCACGCAGGAACAGCTGACACGGCGGGAAGTTTTTACACGGCGCTAGGCGAGCTAAGGCATTTAAAGACAGCGAGCAAAACCTCCCGCGCAGCTTGCCAGCCCCGACAGAAGCGAGAGGAGGTTCCTGCTGAAACTATTTCAACTATCAGCTGAGCCAGGCCCTTTGCTGTAAAATACACCTGCACCCACGGATTTTCAGCAACCTCTGTCTCCCCCCAAAGTTCACCGCGACCGCCTGCGCGAGGAACGAAGCAGCAAGGAGGGAGCTGGCTGAAGGGGACGAGAGCCCTGGCAAAGCTGGGCCAGACCTTGCTCGCGCGGCAAAATTGTGCTGAACCCCACCAGCAGCTTCTTTTACCCGCCTGTCCCAAGTACTTTTGGTACATCAAAAGGAGCCAAGCAACGAAGGGGAGGGATTTAACCCGACGACAGGCAACGTTAAGCCCCGGTAGCTTGGACCAGCACTGGATTTCAATGATTTGAACCTAATTCCAACAGCGATGTGACGGTTACCTCTAAACATTTATTTAGATCTATGTACAGAGTATCATTATGGAAGGTATGCGTCATGCAGCCAAGGAAACCACCAAAGAGTCTCATAAACAATAGAAATTTGACTAATCTTTTACAAAGATGAGAATCACTAGGTTATCAAATCTCTCAGGTATAAATATTATGAGGTAAGCAATACTTAAGATGAGGCACTTAAACAATAACCCAAAAGGTAATTAGTGTACAAAGTTATAAACAGGAACAGGTATTCATATTGCCCTCAGTTATATTCCAAAATGATTTATATTCTATATACAGTGTGTTACATGCCTTACACCCCAAAACATTAAGTAGGAAAGAAACCCGGCCGTCAGCGCAGGCCGTTGGCTACGACACAGGTAGAGGAGGCTCCTGGAGTACGCAGTGATACCGTGAGGGGAAAAAAAAAATACAACAACAACAAAAAAAAATTAAAAAGTGCCTCTCAAAGAATGTTTTTCTAGACAAGCCCCCAGCTTCTGGTTGGAGAAAATATCTGCGCTAGCAGAAAGTTAACTTGGTATTAACATACAAATCTGCCAAGCCAGAAGAGAACCACCCTACTGTGTTCAAGGAGGCAATGGCAATTAGGACAGGATTTAAGCCTTAGTGAGATTTATGGTAATTAGAAATGTAACAAATTTAACTTTACAAAGAAATTAATTATGCCAATTAAAACACTTAGCAAGTTTTAGTGGGAATTTATACACTATTATACATATATGGTGCTGATCAATGCCCGATTTATTAAAATTACTCAGGGCACACTTCCAAGAAAATTTACCAGAGTAGGATAGGAATTCCAATTAAGATGTAAAATTAGTATTTGCAATAAGCATTTCCTTATCAAGATCCAGAGAGGAAAAACACCCAATAAAAGAAATAAGGAATTTATGTTCAGGTGGGGTGCACGAACATCTAAATCCCATAACTGCACAGCTTGCTAGAGTCTGCCTGGGAAACAAGGTCAATATTTTGTAATAGTATTAAAAATCCAAACACTTACAAAAGACTCCAGAAGTCTCAGGGCTGAACAGCTTTGCACCAGCATGCCCTTTGTGACAAATCTGCAAGTTAATGGAATGGCAACTTAAAACGTGCTTTCTCCTCGAGGTGGGGAGGGAAATAAGGAATTTCCCAAACAGGTGAAGTTATTCCGATCTGAGACACAGCCGTCTTTTGTGGGAACAACGATCCTCAGCTCGCTCGCTTTATTCGACTTTATTTTTAGATGGCCTCTGAAGACCATCTCTGTTTTACTTATATTTGACATCTGAAACTCTCTGAACAAATGCAAGCTACATTCTATCTCCCGTTTCTAAAGATAAGTCGGTTGAGTTTTGAAGCTTAAATGGAACAAAGGAAGAGCCACAGTTACTAAAATAACAAAATTAAACTTGGCAAAAGTAATGAATTTTATTTACAAATACATGTACCAGGGTTACAACAGAAACACACTAGGGAAACTCTATCTCAACAAAAGCAATGATTTATTGGTAATGGCATTAAATGAAACAGATTGACAGTCTCTGGTTATGGTCAAGCAATTATCCAGGAGTTGTAGATAAAACTGAAGATCTCTGATTGCGATAAGGCCTTCCTTCCAGTGTCTTTTGCATCCTAGTGGCTCTCTCCTTTTTTGCCAACTACCTGGTAAGAGAAAAAAAACAAAAAACAAAAAACCAAACAAACAAACAAACAAACAAAAAAAAAACAAAAACAAACAAAAAAACACAGAAACAATATTTAACCAAAGAAGTCCTACCAAGTATTTTGTAAAGCAAGTCTCAAAATAAACAAGTGCAACTGTATTTTCAACTAAGTTAATGCATTTAAACATGCATTATTGTAGCACTTGCAGAAGCTGTGAATCCCTCTGAAGGGCTAAGAGGGACACAAGACACACCAGAAACCTTGCCTTTAGTACTCATACAGACAGCAAAGCAGCAGTCTCATTTTGAGAAGAGTTAGAAGACAGTAACTGCAACAGATCAGACAACACTTAAAAATAGATAGAGCAAGCATTCAACCTTAATACACTTTATCAAATATTATAGTGGGAAAAGAAGTGCTGGGTGCTCAAATACAAGTTTGCTCATTTCCCTCAGCATCCTTGCCATGTACCTCACTGAGAACATTTACCTTATAGTGCAGCTCAAACCTATAAAGACATCTGGAAGGTCACCTGATTTTCAGTGATTCCTTATCAAAACAGGATTCCTTACCAAGACTCCTTCCAACCTCCAATTCTGCAAACTCCACCTGGAATCAGAGTGAGCTTAGCGCTTCCCTTTTCTGCAAAGATCACCACTGCCACCAGGCTCCGGTGAGTCGATCTGCCAGCCAAGAGCAAGTGCAACTCCAGCACTCTGCACACTGCTCTGCAGGTTTAAAGTTAGCGTGGTTCACTGCAGAAGGGGATCCAGTCCCTTTTGTTAAGGTAACTGAACACAAAACCCCGAGAGCAGAAAACAATGCCATTTAGTCACTTTTCTGAAAAGACTCAGACATAATTCTAGTGCTCCTGCAGACCTTTTTGGGGGGAAAAAAAAAAAAAAATCCATTTATAAGCCAAACCAAAATGAAGTCAGCCTGAAAGTTTACGACTTCAGGCTGCAGAAGGGACCTTGGGCAAGGCACCGATTCCCAGCTCATTTCCATTTAACTACAGCAGCACTCGAGGCTCTGACAAGGTGTAGTCAGAATTCACATGAACAAGGATTTGAAGCTTACACTAAAGGAGCACAGAATTTCCCATTGCTACTCACAATAATAATGAAAAGGAAGGAGTAAAACGTTTCTTGTATTCTAACCGATTGACTGCTATAACAAATGTGTAAAATATTAATTACCTCAGCAGTTAAGTGACAATATACCACACTAGATTCATATAGTCAGTCGTGAAATACAGAACTAAGGGGAAAACCCAAACAACCAACCAAACAAAAACCTAGAACCCTCCCCACCCTGAACTAAGGAAGTCTCATGGACCCACTGGAAGTATTCTTCCTGATCCTTCCCCTTTTTTCATTTCCTGTCAAACTTCAAGAGGGAGAATTTTTCTCTATCCAGCTGCTTTTGGTCAGCTGAGTTATCACTGTCAAAGTAATTGAGATCTAACTTACGAAAAGTACTTTTAAAGACCATTTTCACCTCCAAGGAACCCTTAACCAAAAGCATTTCACCAAGCTGTAAATTCAACCTAATGCTTAAAGTCAGAAAAATGCCATTCTGACATGACGAAAGAAGAAAAAAAAAAAAAAATCAGAAGCCCAAGTACTTGCATTAAGATCCAGTTAATCAAGTGGAAAAAAAAAAAAAAGTTAAACTTGTCAAGAAGCAGTATTTATTCTTTGTGTGTTTCCAAAGCACCAAACCGGGTTCACACACAGATTAAGCAAATAAAAAAGAAATAAAAAAAAAAGATTAAAAGAGAAAAAACGCAGTTAAAATATTAAAGATAAGGTGTTAGCAAGTGTGGAACATCAATGAAAAATATCGCTATACCAGTCTGAGGCAGAAAGTGACAACTCGCCCATGTGTATTATCTGTGAAAAATCAATCACACCGATACGGATATTTTGTCATCAGAGGTGAGAGCGCCCCGTTTTCTGACCATCCCACTCCACCTTCCCCAAAGGAAATGGGCTATTTCAACTTGAACCAAACAATTGTCATTATTCTTCTCTCAGATCAGTTTTCCTTCCTTTTACAGAAACAACTGCCATCTAGTGCATTCTGAGGGAGTGGTTCCAGCCTGTAATCCCCCCACAAAAGACAACGGGTTCGGAGCAGGCTTTTCTTCGATCCTTGGCTTCTTCCCAAGCATCGCTCCTGAGCCTGACAGTGACAAAACCACAACCAACCCTGTGGTTCAATACCAAGAGGAGGATTGGAAACACTTTATTACTGAACCTTCTGGAGCAAAGTTGGGGTTTGTTTGCTTGTTTATATATATATATATATATATATATATAATATATATATATATACACACACATAAAGAGGTCAAGCAAGTAAAATTAGTAGGATGCTGTTGGAAACCCTTAACCAGGCCCCATATGTACAAACACTCACCAGCTCCTCACTGTGTCTTCCCTGAGCAGGTGCCCAGTGCCACTAGAGGGACAATAAAGTCGTACTTTGCAGCCCATTCTGGCTTGCCTACTACTTACTGAAGGGTCACAAGAAAGAACACCACTAAGCTCCATTAAGATATTAAAAAAAAAAAAAAAAAGGTCAAGTCTCGGCAGAGCATTTCACAAGCTGTGCCTCAAACAGCTTTACAAAATTCAGAACGGGCTGAAAAATTAGCTACAGAAAATAATTTGTAAAAGTACTGTACAGTAGGCCTTTAAAATAGCAAGTTCAGGGTGACAGTGGGACAGAAATTTGGGAAGACTGAAAGGTAGAGAGAAGTGTTTAAGGTAAGATTTGGAGCAGGGAGTGGAAGGAAAAGATGGGTTGACGAGTCAGAAGGTAGAGAAGGCTTTTCCTGATGGTAGAAGGTGCAGAGAAGGCAGCTCTTGCATCAGTGCTGAGATTGTGGAAAGGGTGAAAGATGCTAGATGAGCAGAGGGAGCAAGGAAGGGAGGAGTGCAAGACCACTTCAATCTGATTATTACTTTTTAATTTCTTCTGCCTTTTTAGTTCTTTAGAAATGGGAAGTTAAGCTGAAAAACAAACAAACAAAATGTTACAAGAAAAAAAAGCGGCAGCGCGTAGTGCAATTAAGCAGTTCTGAGTAGAAAGAAAGTCTTCATTCAAGAGGGGAGGAAAAAAAATATCCCACAACCTGTCAATATTCATCTATGCCCCAACCTCAAAATCAAGCAGCCATATGTTTTATTCATTAATTCCAGAAACAAGAACTATATTGGACACCTTGTGGCTCTTCTGCTAGTTACCTAATACTAAGCTAACAACTAAGAGTAAAAACCCCCCAGAACTTCCACCTTTACAGTTTTAGCTGGCTGCCCAGCACCGTACTCCAACTGAGCAGCTCTGAGCAGCAGAAGCAAAACTTCCAACATAATCTACTACAACTCAAACTCAGTCTCCTCTAGCAGTTTGCAGGATGAGTTACGCCTCAAGCCAGACCCCATGGGGCCGAGAAACAGCAGCATAAACACTTCTAATGTCAAGGATATTTTTTACAATGAACCAGCATGTCTCTAAATCAAGCTTTTGAAAGGCATTTCAGAATACATTAATTACATATAGGAAGGGAATATTCCTCTAGTTCTCTGCTGTTGAAGGCCTCTTCATTTAAACAAAGAATAGGTCTCTCCCCAGTACTCTGTGCTTAACTCACTGCACTGCAGTCTGTTCTAAGCAGAATTTTTTTCCTTGGTGTCCTCCTTTTCCATCACTGCAAAGACTTCTCGCCTCCCCAGAGGATGAAAAAAAAAAAAAAAAAAATCAAATTGTGCAAGGAGCAGGGTACACACGACATATTAAACCAAGTTTGAAAGATGTAAAACTTTACTCACTCAATACAGCAATGCCAACTACATGCAAGAAAATGAAAGACCTTTTTTACAGCGAGACCAACGAATCACTGGAACAACCTCCACTGGATTTTCAAGATGCAGCTGGACAGGCTGCTGGATAATCTCACCTGGGCTCCCTTTCCCAGGCAAGGGTGGATCCAGTGATCTTTTGAGGTCCCTTCTGACCTGCACTGTTCTGTGATTCCATGTATATCCAAACTAACTTGAGGCCAAAAATCACTAACGAAGGACTGACCTCACAACACCTGCTTAGTACTCGATTATTTTTCACAGTAGGTGGATGTCAGCTTTCTATTTGATAGTCTAAGTACTAGAAACAATGCCTCATTTATATTAAATACGAAGTGACCCCTGATCAAGAAGAGGTGGTTCCCCTCACAGCCCTGTCGGTGTTGGAGCACCACATGAGCAAACAGGAGTTTTCCTCAACTGTCTGAAGGAGAAGAGACCTGCAGTTATGCACCTTAATAATCAGCTGCTGAGCAGTTGGCTGCTGTAACTAAAAGCACGCATTCAGATCCCACCCTTCCCAATTGGGAAGCAAAACACCTCAGCCTGATCTTTAGCAGGAGTCATTTAAACCAACACGTTGGTTTTATTTTTTACTTTGAAACTGGGCATGCGTACAATCAACTGAGCAGCAGTGTGATCAGTCATAAAAACATGACTGGAATCACATTCATGGCCACTTCTTCATTCAAGCCCTTCAGATAAGATATTTAGCAGATTCTTACAAACACTTCTCAAACTCGGGGAAAAAAAAAAAAAAAAATTCCCCCCATCTTGCTAATCATATTGCAATACTATTTCTATCCTAATTAGAAGAAAAATATGAACGGTAGAGCCAGACTGAGATGAGGGAGCGAGACAGATGAAAGCAGTGAAGAGTAGTGTGGGTAACTACTCAAGGAGATGAAAAGAAAAATAAGGTTTCCCAGTGAATCTACAAAGCTAAATATAATTAATGCCCAACACTATATTAAGGTTTCATAACTGACAGGCTTACTGGAAGAGAGGAAACAAAAGTTAAAATGCTTAAGAGCACTGCAACTCTGCCAGACTACACATCCCATTTGTTATGATGAAATATTTTAACAGCCTAATATTAAAACTACATGTTCAGGAAGCAAAATAGGAATCTTACATATAGTGTCGATGAGCATCTGAACTGAGACAGGACTAGCCACTTCCTAACCAGTAATGCCTGGCCCTGAAGGCCATTTGGAGCAGGTCAGTAAGGCCCTGACGTCCCCTGCACAGCGCTGACACCGTGGCCCCGCGGGTTTGCGCCCCCCTCCCCGGCCATGAAAATGGGCATCAGGCACAAAGGCGCTCCCCTCCACGGTGCCAAGACGTTCCCTTGCAGACTCTGAGCAAATCAAAACTGGTAACTCCTGGCACAGTATTTACCAAGCCACCTAGCAGCTGCCAGGCATCCACGCTGCATCTAGAACGGAGAGAGATCGGTAAATCCCCTCTAACTAGAGCAGAGGGGAGAGATGCCTGGAGACCCACGCTCCTTTTAATATCTCTGTAGGGTCGTGTGAGGGCACGTGTGAATTAAAAACCCACTCCCCCCAGCAACACTGGTGGGAGCTCGGATTGTTACAGCAGGCAGTACTTCAGTATTGTGTCCAAGCTAACGTTTTGTCCGTGCAGCTTAAAATACTGCAGGAAACACACCATGCGGGCTCAACACTAGTCTCAAACCCATGTAACGTTCTACAAAAAGCCTGAAGTGCTTTACCAAGTGCGCTCCAATCAGGATTATTAATTAAAAAAGAATAAATCACTACTTTAACAGTCAGAAGGTCATATTTAAAGAGTGCACTTGTTGAAAATAAACTTTCCGGACTTTTGAAAGCAAAACTAATTTACAGTTTACAGAGAACTGAAAGTGAGACACGGATCAAATATCGAGTCAGGGTGCCATCCCCGTCACAATTATACCAGAGAGTACGGCGGATTAACGTTGTTAAAACAGCAATTGCACAGCTCCTTGCAGGGGATGCCCTAATGCCACAAGTACTGACAAAAAAGCCATAGAAAATGGAAAAAGGAAGCAGATTGTAACTCAATTAACATCTTTCTACTTCTGGCAGAACTGCAAATGCTGTATTAGAAAGGTCTTAAATTGATATCCAGTTAATTTTAGTACATTAGAACAACTTTTTCTATGACTTCAAGTTTCATTAAAAAGCAGCAAAACCTGTTAAACTTCTATTAACTTAATTATTACCTGCAAAGATACCAAGTTCTACTTGTAGAAGTTAGGATCAAGTTTTGATGTTAAAAATCCCAAGTACGTGGCGTTGGTGAGTGTTAGTCTTTTGCACCTTCTGAAGTTATAGGTTATTTGTATAATAAATTGTGGTGCTTTCAGTGTTATTGGTCACGGACACAGTAGTTTGTAGGCAGGTGTTACAGCAATATGCGCCCTTCCACAAAAGCTAAGTTTGAAGGCAGTTTATTTTAAAGACTTATTACGCTTTGAAAAAGTTGCAAGTAGCCTTAAAGTTTCAAAACTTTCAAACCCATTTCACATTCTCAAAAATAAAAAAAAAAAAATCAACGGAGAGTGCCTTACTGCTCAGCACTAGTGTGTCTAAAGTCATACTGTAACAAGTTGCTTGCTTCATTTCCTCTTTAAAAAGCACGTATGTTTAATATCACAGACACCTTATGACCAAATATGCTTCAGATCTCAAGCTTACTTTGTTGCCCAGTGAAGAAAATCCTTCAAAGTAGAAGTCACAATCACAAAGAGTCTAATTTGTACAGGCAATTGCTTCTCTACTTCCTGAACACCATCAGAAAGCAAATTTCAAAATCAAGACATAAATCTCGCAGCTGTTAAGAAACCAACATTGTCTATAGTATATATAACTTGACAGTCGCTCAAGTTTTCATATATTCATTCCTATCAGTTATTTTTACAAAGTTGATGAACAGAAACTTGTAAGACCAAAGATCTGCAAGGTAAAGCTACACGTTTTCTTTTAGATGCCGAAACCACCTTAAGTTGTGGAATTGTAGTAACAACCGAGTGAATTTGTTCCGTCAACCCATTTTTGAGTCGGTTTAAAACATTCAAAAGTGCTTTTAAGAAAGAGGACTCACTCGCTTGAAGTCATTCATATTTGTTGCTTGGACTGGAGTTCCAATAAATGTGAAGTATGTAATTCTTGTTGTCTCTTCATCACCGTGATTGGATTGGACAAACAACTGAAGAAAAAACAAAAACAAACACAAGAGTTAAGGTAAACTGTCCTTCCCTGAATTAACACATAAAACATTAGGTGCCCAAGATTTTGGAATTAACCAGACAGACACTTTTTCCAATTATAAAGGCCTCTGTAACTTTTAGAGAAGCTACTGTCCTCTTATTTTAAATAGTGATTATATAGAATGATATTCCTGGTATTTTGTTTAAAAAACCCCCCATACAGCTTGGATTTCCCCAGCTGCCACTTCTGACCTGAGACCACATTCAGCAAGCAAAAACAGGATCTAAGAAGTTACAATTTGCTATTCACTGTAATCTGACTTGAAGTTAAATATCAATTTAACTATGTTTGCTGAAGCCCCTAAGAGGACTCATGTAGTTTACTACTACAGCCTACATAATTATGTGTTTTACAGCATGAATACTAGAACTATGAAGTTATTTTAGGGTTTCTAACAAATTTCAAGCTTCTTTTGAGATAGGAACTAAGGAGTTATTGCTTTTTAAAGTAGACAAATGAAAGAACCATTTTTTGCATGAAGTAGTATTAGTAAGGAAATTGGAGTCAGAAGACCAGGGAGGTGTTTGTGGATCTTTCCACACTTTACTGTGAGCACGGAGAAAGGAAGAATGAGAAAGCAAGCCAGCAGTGGCATGCATCACCCCCTTCCCACAAGCCAGAGCCAATACCCACGAGGATGCCCTTTCTGCCGCAGAACTTGCCTGTGCTGGAGGGCACGCGTTGCTACACGCTTGCCTTATACTTAGAAATGTATTTGTGACAACACCCGAGCCTTCCAAGCGCGTGATAAGCAAGATGGACTGCTGAGCTAAACCAGAACAGACATTCACCCCTTCAAGTGGCTTCCCTGTAGCTGGAAAACTGTGTGTTTTCCTATACAAACAAGACGTATGGAATGCAGGGTTGAAATTCTGAGCAAAGTACTATTCCGACAGAAAGAAACAGAAGAGCATGTCAAGGAGCAACTTTGGTCAAACTGAGGTAAACTGCAGTGTGTTCAGAGAATCTGTTGCTGTAATGATATGAAAAGTTCGATAAGTACAGGGAAAACCAAGTGCTGCTGAAGTAGCAGTAATGAAGAGAAGCACACAAGAAATGGGGAAAACCAGCATTAGATATGCTGAGTTGTACGGATTAGAAACCACAGGGTATAGAATTAATAAACCAGGTAAATTAAAACTAACAAACTTAGCAGCGACATATGTAAATGAAGCATGAACTCGCTAATACTGACATGGAAATAAATGAAATGTGAACTCGCTGATACCGACGTGGAAATGTTCAGTAAGTACTTCTGATTATACACGGCAGAAACCCAGGATGATTTGTGTGTACGACAACTGCGCCTCCTCCAGTTCATTAGGAACCAAATGGGAGATGGTTATCTACAGGATTATGTGAGCGAGCAGGAGTTCATCACCTGCACCAAAAAGCCAGGTGGTGGACAAGATGACTTGGTCATCCCTGTTTTAGGAAGTCTTAAGTACAGAACCCAGGTTTAGCTAGGAAACTCGGGGAGTGCTACTGCAGCGCTCACATGCAGAGTGCAAACAGGCAGAATATCTATTTAATCACTTCATCGTTTGTGTAGTGTTTGCACATCATCTTGTCTAAAGCTGTCACAGGATTTTATTAAAGAACAAATACATAACTTGCACTTGCCAGCATAGCTCTGTAGAATATAAGCCTATGTGACCCATCTCCGTTTCATTTGGGGGTGGATGAAGTTGGTCACAAAGGTAACTCCACAGAAATAATGGACATGAAAGTTATTTAGGTTCACTTCCCATTACCTTTAAAATAATTGCTAGTAAAATACCGCTAAACATGAAAGTAGCCGACTGATCAGAAATGCAGTCCACAACTAGTAATTCAGAAATTTCCCGGAAACCTTTTTACAGAAGAAAAAGTGTGATGAGGGTGGATCAATGTTTTGGAGTTACCCGTAACTCCTAAGCAGCCAGTGATTTCTGTGGCCGGCCCACTAAAATACAGTTTAATTCAATCAACTCTAAGTCCACACATTTGCAAACACATAACTCAAGCCATGAAAAGCATTTCCACAGAAGAGAATCCGGGGGTCATATGGGAAAACCAGTTCAACGCGATACTGCGGGAAACAGGGCTAGCACAGTACCAGGATGATGCCAAGCATAAAGCAATTCCAGCCACAATTTAGTCATATCACATATTGCACTAGAACCTGTCTTTTTTACATGGAAGAGGAGAAACTGCACCTGCATTTAAGAGTCAAAAACCCTACGTGAAATCTGTGGAAAGTCTCTTGCAGCAAGAGAATTGGAGAGCTCATTAAAAGACAAAGGTGTTTGATTACAGCATTTAAGAACCCTCACAAAGAGCAGGTACTGAGTTTAAAGACACGGCAAGTACTTCACTTGATACTCAGAGATTGTCACTTCTGCAATCAGATTACTGACAAACTGGATTCCTTGTCTCCTCAACTCTTCAAATGAAGACGAGATGCCTTTTAAGAAGGTACGTTAGTGAAAATGCGAGTGGTGCTGAACAGCACACCAGCTCTTGAAGAGGTGAAAGCAAACCTTGTGTCTCATACTAGGTCAAAAGAGACATTGCATGCACGTGGCCTTGTCTCACCTTAAATTCCTGAAGCACTTCTGGTGCAAGCATACAGTACGCACTCAGCAAACTAAGAACATTTTCAATGAAATAACAAACATGCACAGTGCTTTGAAAGCCCATGAAGTTTTCAGCCTGCACAGACCTCCGAACAGAAACGTTACTTACAGTTACACTGTTAACATTCTGAAATTTTACATAGCGTAGCTGGACAATACCATCTTCTTTAATATCATCTGGTGTCAGCTCCAGGGCTTGAGTTGGTTCACTTCTTTCTGCTTCTTCAAAATCCATAGATCGAGGAAGGTTGATAAAGATTTTTATGTACTTTGGACCTTGCCCTGCGTTCAAACATAGGAGTGGTATTCCACTGTTTAAATATATTTTCAAACTGCTGCTTGAGAAGCCCTTGCTCATCACAGTCTCTAGACCCCACTCAAGGCAGGCATGAGCTTCTACAGTTCTAGTCTCTTATCTGCCCATCCTACACCACCACCCACGGTACTGAAGGACTCCCAAAGTTGCACTACTCGTCTACGTGTCAGACAGAATTCCACAAAAAAAAATTCTAATAAAAAGTCCAAAAATTAAATAGTTTTGCTGTGTCATAACACCTGACTATTTTATGTAATTTTATAATGCAAACTGAGTTACCATAAAGACTAAGCTATACCTTTCAGTAGCTCCCATGTTAATTCTTGAATTAAACGTAAGTTTCACTTTGCAGCACATCAAGCTATAGTAAATATTTCTATTTGCATCTTACCAAATTCCCATGCACAAGGTCAGTGAAAAATGAATGAGATAGCTCATGTAATTCATTTCCAACAAATTTACTAAGGCTGCTGTGGGTTTCTCAGAAGGTAAAAGCTTCCAGGGACAACAGTGTCATTTTTAGAAAAATGCAGCTAAACATGAGCAAAGCTTGGGTTTCAAAGATATGATTAAACAGACACTTCACTCACCATTATCTGGCCCCTGAAGTTTCATAGAGTAAAGCTTGACAGGTTGACTAAAAGCTACTGTAATAAGCAGCTGTGGAGAAAAAAAAAGTTGCTGTTAAACACCATTTTCTTCATTCTTAAAAACAAACATGGCACAACAGCGAACTAGAAATAACTCAGAGCTTTGAAATAAAATTAAGCACTTACCTTCACTATACTCCACACATGCACTAGTCTGTCACTTTTAAAGTATCAGCACGCACTACTCCGCTTGGAAGTTTTGTCCATACATACAGGGATGTGAGACTGAAAATGCTACAGAGACCTTTGTATAGTAATTTTATTTACCTCCTACTACCATCTCCCATTCTTACTTACACTAGCATAACAATATAAAGTAGACAAGCTCTTAAAAAAATGCTTGCAGACCAGACCAGCGCTGAAAATATCTCACTTAAAAATATCTACTGTACCTGCTCGTCACAGTCTGATTCCAAGTAGGTAGAGTCTTTACGTAAACAATTATCAAATCCGTGCTCATCACTCTCATTAAGACATTCACAGCCGGCTTTATTGATAAATGGCATTAAATCCATCTGAAAGTAAAAAGCAAGAGCATTGCTGAGCACATAAGTGTGCCATGAACTCATCTGGGAATCGTAAGCACTGGAATGAATGAAATTCTTCATGCAACAGCTTAAAGTAACAAGACATACAGAAAACCTCAGGGGTTTCTACCAAAAGGCATTATAGAGACTACAAATACTATAGTACTCAGGGGTATCCTGTTCATAACTGAACGGTATTTTTGCCCTCCATTCAAAATCCTGCACCCCTGGAACACATGCTTCCCATTCTGAGAAAAAGAAACTGGGCACAGGGAGAATCTTCAGAAGCACTTTTGATAAACAAGACTACAGCATTGTTCGTCACACCACAACACAGACAAACTGACATCAGGCTGGAGCTACGACCAATTTAATAAAAAACCCCCAAACAAGCAAAACAACAGAAATGAGCCACCCCAAAAATATACTATGTATTGCAGAACAAATTAAAAGACCATCACTATAATTCTTACCAGGCTTCATACGCAAAGCTAGTCTTATTTTAATTCTTTTTTGGCACAAATTAACTGTATGAGATCTTTTCCTACTCCTTTCTCTGTATACTTTGGTAAAAACGCAGATCAACAGAAAAGAGAAGCTACGCTATTCACCATGAACCAGTCTTGTTGCTCAGCTCTTTTGTAAAGAGTCCAGCTAAAAGCTTTAACATATATGCATTCTCAGATTAAAGCAGACTGCTCTCCATAGTCTAAGCCATTTAAAAGGCAGTATTCTTACAGAAGCAGAATAATCTGCATCAATTTCCAGATAATCAGAATTTTTTGCCTGCAACTAAAGTAAACCAAGTCCAATTGAAGCACAATAAGCCAAGCTAAAAAAAAAACAAGTGTTTCCTTCCCTAAGGCCTGAAGACAGAGTATTAACAAAACCTTACACCGTAACAATACAAATTCAAAATCAGTGTGCAGTTATAGAGAAGTCCAGACATAAGAAATAAAGGAACTTTTAGGATAGCAACTCAAAATACCCTTCTTAAATGCATATATTAGGTCATGAAGAATATTACATCACTCTTGTAAAAAAGCACATCCTGCTTGGAAATGACTGCATACAACTCCTCCCCTGCTGCAGCTTCAGGATACAAATAGAATCTGAAAACAGGCTGCTGGGCCAATACAACTCATTTCGTGTGTGCTACTTCCTCTTGTTCTTGCAACTGTGTTTTTCTGAGCAAAAAAGCCTTATCCCCCCTCCTAACAGCCCAGGGAAGGCTTAGTGGGCAACTGGCACGCTCAGTAGACACAAGGTGAGAAAAGGAACATCTCAAAGCAATCTAACTAAGCAGACCTGAACTTGCTACTTGAATGATTTTCAGGGTGTTTAGGGCTCCAAAGCTAACAAGCTGAACCTTTGTCTTCCAACATTCCCAAAGTTCCAGAATAATTCTAAATGTAAGTGTTCACGTATAAAGTGAAGTGTGTGCCGTGGAACCGTCAGCAAGTAGATGAACTGCTAGAAATTCACAGGACCTGTGCCCTTGCAGTTTATTTAGACGTAAAATATTCAGCTGGATTTGCACCCTGCTTACATTTGCCTGATCGAATGTGGCTAGCTAAGAATTAAAAATATTTAACCTCCAAAAAACCTGATTTTGCATTTAACAAGGTAATTTTGGGTTCTATAGATACTCATCACAGCTAACTGTAATATATTAGATCTGCTAATGCAAAGTAACATGGGCACTACAGCAACTAGCTAAGCAACCTGTGACATATGATTTAGGTGAAATGCAATACATCACAGAACTGTGTTTCTACTTCTAGTAGAACAATAGACAATCTCATTTAAGGAGTAATATTACACTCAGGATTGCATGGTGAATACCACCTAAGACGACAGCTCTAGGAAAAGTGTTTTGTCACATTAGAGTTCTCATTGACATGTGTTTGTTAGTACAGCTGTCAGACAGGCTTAAGATTTGCAAGGCACAATTGCCTTGAGGTAACATGAAAACACACAGAACATGGTGAAAATAATTTCCTGAAAGCACCAATATTTCTCAGCAGATTGCTTCCTTATTGAAAATTCAGCCAAAACCTCAAGTATCCCTACAAAGCTTTGATCTACTCACAAGACATGGGCAAATCATGCAGTGACTGACCAATAAGAAGAAAAAAAAAAAAAAAAGAAAAAAAGAAAAAAAAAAATCAAACACCAAAAAGCTGTTCATAAATACCAATTTTTAAATTCTTTGGGAGAAAATATTAGTCATGTTTTAGTTAGGAGATATTTTGACGCAAGGTTTAAAAACTTTTCAAGTTTGAGAACACATAATTAGAAATGTTTGTTTTCTTTTTCACAAATTACTAAAGAGCTACAAGTTATTTATTTAGTTTACATTATCTGTGATGCCTGATCAGCAATCACTGGAGTGATATGCAGTACCCCTACAGAAGCAACATGATATGCATTAAATTGAAAGCAAATTCACAATCAGCAAGAGTTCTCATATGCCACTCAGACCAGGCACATAAACTTTTCCAAATATTCCTGGGACATATATTTTACTTTCTGTGGTTTTATATCCTTGTCATTCTTTTACAGGCCAGAAGAAATGTAAAGAGAACACTCCATAGTACCACCCACTTTTGCAAACATTAGCAATTAGGCAAAAGAAAACATTCTTGAAATATGGTTTACCTAACAATACCCTCCCAAAGGCATCCTATTTTCCAGGCAAACTGCTATGGAGGAAGATAGAGCTGAAGTGTTGGGAACCTTAGTTCTTTTAGCAACAGAATCTCTCCCTATTTTTATATATTTTTTTAAGAGATTAAATAAGGGGGATTAAAGAAAGGGTAGGGAGCAAGAAGAAAAAAAGAAAGCCCCAAATGAACCCACCACCACATAGAGAGGGGACTTCTTAAGGAAGAACTAGAGCAACTGTTCGATGTTTTCAACAACCATGTCTAACAATGTCTTTTCCCATGGACATTTTCACACTTTAAAGAAATGTTTTGGGAAGACAGATGGGGATGTCTGAGAAGAAAGAAGCAGAACAAGCAGCTTCACCAAAAAGTTCATCATAACACATTAAATTCATTATTTTAATGACTAAGGGCTATATGTAGAGATTTTTCTTAAAACATTTTACAATTCTATAACCATATTTATTAAATATGCACATGTTAATTTTTTAATTTTGTCTGAAAAAGGCAACCCAGATAACTGACCTTCTCAAAGCCACGGGGAATTTTCAGTTTTGTCTAAAGTACTATTATTTGACTTGGAGTATGTTTAGAAAGCAACAGACCTTTTTTTTTTTCCCCAAACATACAAGTTAGGCAAACATTAAAAAAAAAAAAATCTTAAGATAAGAGATGCATACATATCCTTTTGGGATATCTGTATCTTCACTGTTTCCAGGATCATTCTCCAGGTGCTGTTTAATTTTTTCTTCTAAACCTACAGCATCTGCTCCTTGATATTGGTCGATTCGCACTTTGTTTCGGAAAAACAGAAATGTTGGTGTTGCTGATATATTATTGGTAGCAGCTGTTCCCTAGAATGCATAAATTAGTTACAGGCATTACCTAACAGATTATTACCAATATTGGACAGAAACACTAGCTTGCTTCACCTAGATGAGAATGCACACACTAGATATTAATCAAGCTACATCACCTCAAACATCACAAAGAGTATCTGTTGTTTTATGAACAGCTTTAACTCAGACAACAGCTAAATTTAAATTCTCTAGATCTTCCTAGTCCTTTACATATTTGGGTATTCTCTGAATGGACTTCACATTGTCAGAAGGTTTGCTGGTACACCATAAAACTCATATTACTCACTTGCTCTCGAAAGTGAAGGACAGCTTAACTTAACACTTATATTTTACAAGCTTTCTTTACACCTGCATTCCTCCTTCTCCCAAGCCACATTCATGCACACCCAGGAACTGCAGCCTGCTGAAAGTGAATTCCATTTGATTTCTACCTGTATTAATACCTGTTATGCACCTATAGTACTTTCTCCAAAACTTTGCGTAATTTAGTGTCATTTGCAAACACCTTTACCACTTTGAGTTCATCTCTCTCCATTATAATTTGTAGTAATTAACTACACTTCCTGTCAACACACCATTGTTAATTTTTGTTAACAACCCTTAAGACAATCAATAGCTCACCTGCAACACTGCTGTCCGTTAAAAACAGTTGAGTAATACTTGAGAGGAATCTAGTCCCACTAATCATAGCAGTTTGTTGCATTTTTCATTCTGCTCAATAACTATGCCGATATTTGTTTGGAAAGACTTAATCTTTTAAAATTTATGCTGGTGTTATCGTCTACATTTAATGGTATTATCTCAATAGTACAAGCAGCGGGAACTGCTAAACTGTCTGTACACGACTTGAATGAAGGACATCACAGTGGTAACTACAAGAATACTTTTCTAAATAAAAAAGTGTTGTTTGTTCGCATCTTTGTGCATATCCTAATTTTGAAGAATTTCACAATATGGCTGTAATTCACCAAGTGTGTCAACAGCCCCAGGACATTACTCTTAGTATACTGTCTGAACAATTTTTCTTTGAGTTTCACATTTACTACATTACCTGCTCTTTCTCTTACAACCAAAAAAATGTTTTGGAATACCAACCTGGCATTGATGCACATCTACTTCCAAAAAAGTTGCCTGGGGATATTTGTTACTCAGAGCATTGAAAGCTGGGGCTATCCTTAAGCAAGGGCCACATCTGTGAAAACAACATACACTTTAACTCAATCTTTTTTGGTGGTGTTTTGTTTTTTTTTTTTTTAATTTCTTCCCCAAATAGAATTAGCACATTCGTGTTCTTACTGATATCCTTGGTACACGTAAAAATAACCTTCCTACCTGGCTGACAGATGGTGAGCAATCCTGGTGACACAATTAAGAATGACAGTTAGAAACACATCATGAAGTGTTAATTCCCACTTCCTCAGACAGCTTCAATGTCACATGATTAGCTTCACCTACTAATTAATGCTAACTTCATATTTCCATCTAATGGGTTTAGCTCCAGCCTCTTTTACCACAAGTTGAAGTCCTGCTAACTGAAGTGACATGAAGGAGGGAAAAGAGTTGTCTGCTTTTCCTGAAACAGCAAGAAACACTCATAACAGAAAACTAGTAGTAGCACTCCACATCGCCTCCTGTGAAAAAATAGTATCTACAGTAAAGTCTACGTATGACTTGAAATATTTAACAGTAATAATGTATCAAACCTTTAGCAGGAATCATAAAATTCTTACTTTAATAAATCTCACTTACTACAACTGTAACCAGTTACTAACAGACTTATTTGACTCTACTAAGACAGACCTAACTTCTGCTGAATTAATTGTGCTGGCATGTATGAAGTGTACAGATGCAACTATTCGCGTGACAGAATATTCTCACAACTCTGCTTGCAGTGAAAGAAGGAATTAAAAAAACCCAGCAGAAACTCCTTCCAAAGGCATGTCAATGTAGGCCATATCCAAACCAGAGGGCTCTGTCAGCGTGAATCTGCCAACACATACAGCTGTAAAACAGCACCAACCAGATCCGCTTCGCCTTTCCTATTCTCTCTGGACAGAGAGTATGGATCCAGAACAGTGTAGCAAGGGAAACTCACGGGCATTTATGCACTAAGACATCAAGCTGTTAATCTAACTAGAACCTAATATATCGGCTTGTCTGTGCCCTCTGTTAACAGTGGCTTCCTGACCTGCAATCGAATTTTAAGCTGGCACAATGCCTGATCTCCTTAGAGCACCTGAAGAATGACAAGTTCAGAGGGCAAGGGAAGTTGGCTCAGTTGCCAAAAGGTGAATTTAACACCAGAAATAGGTAATACCATTCTGCTGCTGTGAGTCTATTCACACGCTACAGTTAGGGAGGGTCACTAATGCTAAAAAAACAATGAGCTCGCCGCTCTTACCCGCAGCGGCTGGCCAGTGACTAAAATGATACAGCATTTCGGGAGCTGACTGCACTTCTCAAATTTGAAACCTCGCCTCAAAGATAAATAAACCCATCAGGCTCACACACACCCACCCACCCCCCTCCCTCCTCCAGGCCGGGGCGGGAGCGGCAAGGCGACGCCTCCCGGGTCAGGCCCAGCTCCCGTCCCCCGCCCTCACTCACCCCCTCATGGTGAACTTCACCACGGCCAGGCGGGAACCGGCAGCGCTGAGCTCCGGCTGGAACTCGGTGTCGTTCGCGATCACCTTCACGCCCACCATCCTCGCCGGGGCCGGGGCCGGCGCTGAGGGGGGGCAGCGGCGGCGGCGCGGCCGGCCTGCGATCTGCAGCGTCACGGCGGGAAGGGGCGCCCAGCATGCACCGCTCGCCACGGCGCGCAGGCGCGCCCGCCGCCTGCCCGACATCTTGAGGGCGGCGGCGCCATTTTGGGAGAGGGCAGCGAGCGGGCGGGGGAAGCGGCCGGCGGCCATTTGCGTTAGGGGCAGGGCGGCTGAGGGGGAGGGCGGCGGGACCCGGTAGGAGAGCCTACGCGCGGTCTTCCTGCTGCGGGGCCCGCGCCGCTGTTTTGGCCGGGGCTGCTTTTAGAAACGTGGGATTAGAAAGAAACCGTGTTTTACCCAGCGAGTCAACAAGAGTTGAGGCAGAGGAAGGCAGTGTTACCGGAAAGCGGTAATTAATTCACTCTCTAAGACTCAGTTTTGGAGTTTTAGAAAGCAGGCATTCTTTATTCCAGCGCCGGACGCACAGGGGAGAGCTCCTCCTAATGTGTGTGTGATAATTAAACCAACAAGCAATTATACTACCTTAATCATGCATATTAATTGCGTTTTTATCATATTCATAACCTTTCCGGGAACTCATTAGCATACATTAATGTCTCTTGCGCATGTCTGTTGGAGTCTTCAGGTGGTTGTTGGGGGCCTTCGGATGAAGGCTCGGGCTTCTTCACTGTGCTTGCTAGTTGACCCTTACTTCTGCACAAACTCAGCGCTGCGGTCACGTACCTCTTGTCCTTCATGGCTGGCCTGGTCTGGTTTTGGTGCTAATTTGCAGCTTTTTTATGTTTGTTTGCACCTGCCACTACAAGGCCAAACCGTCTCCCATAAGATTACTTACGAGTTCCTAATCCTACAGTTATTCCAACTATTCCTCAAAAGAGCAGTACTTGTTCTGCAGCACAGAGGTTAAATGGTTAAAACATCCTAAATTGATCTTAATAATTCCATTCCACAAATAATCTATTTTTTAGTCATTTTAGTTTGCAGGTATCAGCAGGATTTACTGCTTCGCTGTGAGTTTTGAGGGCAAGTGGAGCAGCGCTGAAGCTGCCTCGGAGACCACTACTACCAAATGTACAAAACCGGCAAAAAACCCTGCTTGGTTGCCAAAATACTTTATCCCACCTCCCCAGGCGCTGCCTGCTGTGCCCGAAGCTCGTAAGGTGCGTTGTGTGCTAGAACAACCCAGAGCGGAGGAGCTGCTGCAGCGGGAAGGCACCCGGGGGGCTGCGCCTCGTGCCCTGGCAGCTACAGGCGTGCTGGGTGCCCCGAGCGTCTCCCAGCATGGAAACTGGGAGACCACTGGGAAGCCCGGCCCGCTCCTTGGCCACCCTCGGGGAAAAGAAGCTCCCCTTCTTTAAAGAAGGTTTTTCTCATTAGTGTGTACATCAGCGACGCAGATGAAACTATAATTAACGGTCAAAGTGACAAAGGGAAAATGTTTAACCTTTTTGTTAGCTGCTTATTTTATGAAAACTTAATGCTTTCCAGAACTCAGAAGACATCCTTGAGCCTTTTATAGCTGCTAGTATAAAACAATCTCTCTAAACATGAGAGCAAGAAAAAGAATACCTAGCTCCTGTTGTGATATATAGGCCTGACTTGGACCAACGTTGGCTTCAGGAGTTTATTATTACAGGACAACTGGAAAACCTCCACTCTCCCAGCTGAAAGTAATTCACAAGCTAAATAGGCTGCTGTTACAGACAGGCATCTCTTCTTGGATGACAGGGTCCTCACAATCACTTGCCAGGAGTCCTGTGGCTGGCTGTAATTTCCATATCTCTCTACAGATGTATTGATATATCTCAGCATTACTTCCATCATCAAAAATATAGCAACGTAGTAACACTGTTTATCCATACTTTTATCTCGCACAGTTGAACTGAAATTGCTTACTAATTCAACAGCAATAAAAATTTGGAGTTGCTTTATCTTAAGGGAGATGGTGTTATGGAACATATCTGATACCAAGTCCCCATAATAGGTAATATGCTACATACCACCATATAGTAAAGCAAGTTGTGAACTAATTTCACTATTTTAATTACTTCTGGCCAAGAGAAAATGTTGTCTCTAGTTTCAGCTGCAGAAATAATTTTCCCTTTCAGTCCTAAACAGCTGTGATGAATTGATGTATACTGTTAAACAGCTGATAGGAAAAAGAAAACCACTGCTGAAATGCTGTTCCCATCAGCATCTTTGATGATTTGTATGTAACTAAACCCAATTTTTCACACATACAAGAAGCTATCAGTAAAAGTGTGGTTTCGGTTGCAAAGAAAATAAAGAACTCAAGTCCCATCTACCACACCTTCTTAGCACGGTCCACTGACAAGGCCCAGAGAACAAATCCAGCTTATGTAGGTTGCTATCTGCAAGACCTCTCATTTCACCTGAAAGTTGGAAAACGCATAGGGTAAAAATTCCCTCAAAATGAGCTAACTTTAAAATTGTTCTAGTTGTGTTATCGACTGATTTTTGTGACATTCTGGGGATGATGCTTCTCGTTGGCAGGCAGAAATTACGTGTTGGGTTTTTATTTTTTTTTTTTTCAGTTTCCTGATGCTATGTTTTTTTATAAAGCAAAGTGAGTGTGGTAACAGCTGAAAAAATTAGAAGGCATAAATGCTCAGAAGCAGTAAGGCGAAAATAGAGATTAGTGAAATGTTTGTATTAACCAGGTTCCAGTCTAAACTAAGTAAAACCAGATATTAAACCCAGCACTTTACCCCCTTTTGCAACGTCATGCCTGACAACTTCTCCACACGTACTTTTACACGAATGTCATCGCGGGCGGGCGTCAGCGGCGTTTTTCCTGCTCAAACCCCGCCGTATTTCCACGATAGTGCCTTACACCTTCTCCCCCTCACGAAGCCCTTCAGTAATCGCGAAATAGAAATAATTCCTCACCGCTCTCCCCGGCAGCGCCCCTGAGGGCCGAGAGCCCGCGCCCGCCCTCACGCAGCCGCGGCGGCAAAACTCCGCCGCTCGGTTTCCATGACGACGCCGGTTGTCTCTGCCTGCCGTCAGTCACGCCGGCCGGGGCCTTTGCGACAGCGGCGGTAGGCGTTCGCGGCAGCCGGTCGCCGCACCGGGCGCGGAGGAGGGAGCGCGGCGCCCGACGACCCTCCCCACCGCCCCGCTGGGGCCCGGTGAGTGCCCGCCGGCTGCCGGCGACCCCCCTCCCCGCCCAAACGACAACCTGCCGGTGCCGGTGCCCGGTAGCGCTCACCACCGGGCCCCCCCGCGCTGCCCCGGCCGCCCTCGGGCCCCGCCGTGCGGCGGGGCGGTGCGGGCCGCCATGTTGTGTGGGGAACGGCCTGAGGGCTCCCGGCCCGCTGAGGGAGGGGGGCGCGGGGCCGAGGTGTGGCTCGCCGAGGGGATGATAAAAGGAGGGTGGGGGGGGACACACACACCGGGGTGCCGGTACCGGCTCCCCACAGCTCTCGGGGCTTTCAACAAGTGGCACGCCCGACCCGCGCCCCTTCGGTAGGCCGGTGAGAAGTGACCGGTTATGAACGGGATGGAGGGTTCTCGGTCTCTGTCAATGGGCAGTTATCCAAGGAGCGCCGCTTCATGCAGCAGTAATCCTTTGTAGGAGCTGGAATTGCTTTGAACGCCCGATTTTTGTCCCATCGCAGCCTTTTCTAACGGGTTTCCTTTCGCTGTGACAGCCATGATGTTGCTGGCGTCTATGGGGGGATGATTTAGAGTTTGAACTGTCCTTCATGTGATCGTGACAGTTCTAGGGAGGAAAAATTTATGCGGATTTAATGTGTCATCGAGTGCCAGAAAAACCTGCAAATGGCTTTCAGAGGTATCTATTAACTAGAACGAGGGATTTAGAATCCCAAGTGATTTTTTCATTTTCCTTCTTGTTTCATAACCTTTTACATATACAAGGAGTGGTAGGTTTATTTTGGGGGGGAGATAACCAGTCTTAACTTTCGTATGGTTAAATACTTTTAAATCAGGCTTTTGTAGTCATTGGCTCAGGTGGAACAAGGGGCAAGCAGTAATCTTTCATTGGATTATCATTGTTATTGCCACCTAAAGATTAAGGAAGAGCTTGTGTCTTGACTAGTTACTTCTCCATTTTTTATTTTGGAATACAAGTTTGTGTTTGTTGAATTTATTTTTGGTCTTGAGTGTATTGGGAAGGTTTGGCAGTAATATTTACAGTCTTTTTATTTAAATTAATAGGTAATGACCAATTCAAGACATAAAGCCCTGTATCAAGTATTGTCTTGGTGCTTAAAATACAAACACGTTACGCGATATAGCACTGCAGTTTGGAGATAGCTGTTACAGGTACAATGGCTTAGGGGGACATACAGGTACTGGCTGCAGGATGTTAGGGAGAAGCTCCTGAGTTAGGGGAAAAACCAAGAAAACTTGGTGGTGAATTTTGAATCAACAGAGCACATGGGGATAAATGAAGGTCAGGTGCTATTAATTTTTTAATCCTCAATCAGCATAATGAGAGCAACGGTTTGGTTTGTCAGTCATTATTACTTGGATTGAAATCACCTTCTCATTGCACGTAAACTTCAGCGTAGCCTAACAATTTCAACCAGGTTCAAAATAGTAGGTTAGTTTTCTCCTGCAGATGTGCTTAGTTGTTTTTTAATGAGAAGGGTTAGTGAGGTCAGTGTGAATATTCATAGTAGTAAGATGAAGTACGCTGTGTTTACGAAATTGAGGCCTTTGAAAAGTCCTTGCACCTCTTGGTTATGTAGGGATACATCAGTTCTCCTTGCCAGCTGTTAGGGTTTTGGTTTATGTATATTGAAGCGAGTAAAGTTGAGTATCAGAATGAACAGAGGTGCCAGTTTAGCTCCCCGGCTGCTATCCCACTTTGTGTGTGCATGGGGCATTAAAACTGCTGGTTTTCCAATTGTATTGCTGTGCCAGTTTCCCCACTTCACTGTCATCATGAACAAATTGTTTCTTGATTGTACAGCTGACAAAATTTATTGCATGCTTCACCTGTTTACTCCTACTACTCTCTTAGTGAAAAATGACATTTTAAAAATATTTCTTTTTAGAAGTGGTATTTAGCATAGTGTTGCAGTAATCTTTTTGTACTTGCAAATCAGAATGGTGTGCTGTTAATTGCATAAAGTATAAAGGTAGAGTTATTGTTCTCTAAGGTTTGTATTCAGTGCTTATCAGATGCAAGCTGAAATGATAATTATTTGCTGCAGGTGTCAGAGTGTAAGACCTGACCTGATAGATTGTTTTATAGTATTTTATATCCTGCAGATATGGTCCAAAATTTCTTTTTGCTTTAAAATTTTTTTTTGAAAAATCAAGCCTTTATTTGCTGAAAAAGTATTACCTTATTAAAAGCTTTCTCACACTTCTCAGTTGACATGGATTTCCAAAAGGCCAGCTGTGCATAACCAGCTGGGTAGCCTCCCACGATGAGATGACTGCATTGTTAGATTCGTGATAGGTTAAGAAAGCAACAATATTTTGCATTTGATCCCTTTGTACTGATTCAGAATTAATTCCAAAAGGCCCTGAAAATTACTGACGGACCTTCAGAAACAAGCAGAATTTAATTGACATAGCAACCTTTACTGACCGTTTGTATTTAGTAACAGAATTGTGTATTTATTTGCCGTCTATTTAAAGAAAGGTGTGGCTGTCTAAATATGTGGGTTCGGATAGCGAAAGATTTCTGCAACCCTGGGTAAAGTACTTAATTTTCTTCTCCCTACCTCATTAATAATTTTTCTCCATCCCTGTTAAATGGAAAAGGCAATTTGTAATTAAATTTAAAATCATCAGATTTTTATCAAATGCATTGTATTATTCAAATGGAAGCCATGATGTAACAGAAATGAGCCTTTACCGTAAATGTATGATTGTCTTTATGTAAATTGTTTTAGGAGGGGTGTTACAGTGCTCAACTAATGTCTTTTTGAATGAAAGATTCTGTATGCGTGAAAAATATTAGGCATAAAAATTTCTGTTCATTTGAAAATAAGCAATCCACTTAGAAGGTTTGTCCCAATGTCATGGATGGCAGCCATCTCTGTATTTACTGGTGGCAAATCTGAATAATAATGTAATTTAAATTCTGCTGAAAATACAGAAACATGGCATTAACACGTGGCAAACATTGATAGGGAAAGGAACGATTTATTCTTAACCTTTCTGAGTTGCTTTGTTTGACTATAAGTGCAGCTACGTTTATTTAAAAGCAGATGTTCATTTGGCAGCCTTTAGTGGTTCATTTTGGAGCTGTTACATACTGAGAGCATATATGATAAACAATCAATTCACAGATTTATTTGGGGGGGGGGGGGCAGGCAGATTCTTCTAGTGTCCACACATGTCCTAGGATTAATATTTGATATGCATGTGCTTTAATTGGAATGTATGTGTTTGAGAAGAGCTCTTCTTGGCATTTGCTGTGCTCTGTTAGGACAAAGGTAGACTCACTTACCTTTTCACTTCTATTCCCAAAAGCCGCGTTTCTTTCTCCTGGCCTGCCTGGTGTACCTGGATCCTTCTCCCCCGGAGAAGGCATTGCGCCGCTTCCGAAAGCACCCGGGTAACTGAATTCCAGCGGGGTCACACGAGGCAGATCAGCAACGCGATGGTTGCTTAGTGTTCGGGCACCTAGGCTAAACCTGAACCACGTTTCTGTTGGGGGGACAGAACTGAAGTTAGTCTCTTGTTTTTTTTGGTCGGCAATAATGCCGATGTTTTAAAGTTAGATGTGCAAACGGTTAGGGCTGTAAGAGGATGAAGAGTTTGTGTGCTTCTGCTTGCCTCGTCTGTGCTTTGGAAGTCATCAGCGGGTGAAGTGAGCTGGGCAGTGTGTTTAGTTGTACGGAAGGATGATGTTAATTGTACCTGCTGATTATCTCACCTGGAAACACCTCCAGTCCTGTCTTCTGTTCTTCCTTCCTTTCCTCTAGCTTTGTTTTCTACTTGTGCAATCTGCAACATAATTATCCCTGCTGCTTCTTAAACCTTTCCTCGTATATCTACCCACTGAAATATTTGAGGGCAAGGGCATCTATGTATGCTGTACTGGCCACAACTGTTTCTTTCCCTGCACATGGGGCATGGAAGTACTACCAGCTAGCAGCTTACATCCACTTGCTAGTGACAGGCACAAAAAGAAACTAGTTCTGTTGTCCCAGGGCAATGCAGAGGGTAACAGTAGTTCTCACTAGCTGCTGGGCTTCCTACCATAAATTAATTTTGGTTGGGGGCTTTTTCAAACGCTTATGATGGATACTGTTTGGGGGGTAAATAACTTGAGGTTTAATGAGGTCTCGAGGCTTCCCATCATGACTGAAAGTTGTGGGAAAACTTGAGGGAATTGCAAAGAAAACGTTCCTGTTTCAGGAGCAGTTTGTATACAGGTCAAGGAAGGCTTTTGGATTTTTTCGGCTATCTGCTGCTGTCACTTGGAAAGATAAAAAGTCTACTCAAAAACTGGACAGACAGGAATGCTAATAATTTTTTAAAATACTACAATTAGTTTCCACGTGTGAGTTGTGGCAGAAGGTAAAAACCTGTATGATAAGGGCTTTGAGTCCTGCTGTGGTTTGTATGCAGAATCTTTTTGCTTAGGTATTATTCTGATTTGCTGCATATTAGGTTTATTTTATGACAGATGAGGCAGAAGACCAGAAAAATTGCATGACTCAACCTTTAATCTGTTAAAGAACCAATTGTTATAAAGCTCTCTGACAGTGCATCTGACCTTTGTCTTTATACCCATGGCTATCTTACCTGATCATTCCCCTGATTAGATTGAACAATAACCTACTGTTAACTTTAAAATTTTCTGTGGGTCTGCCTTGTATCTTCATCATCAGACTTTGATTTGATTTGCTATTATGTTTTCTGGTTGTAATTTGGTTTAAGTTAGCTGTGAATAGTTTACTGTAGCTTACTGGTCCTGAGAGTGCTACTTAGTGTTTAGAGGACTATGGCTTGATAAAGATGTTTATGTGAGTCTTTGCTTCGGTGTTTAATACGATGTACTGAAGAAGTCAGTTTAATAGCTTTACTCAAGTAGGAATTTATCCCAGATTATGAAATTGGTCTGAATACCAGCCTTAAGCAATAAAGTTGAAAGAGTCAGTTGACTCTTCTACCAGATTAGCATATTTCCAATTTTTTTGGATTGTCTGCTAATCTGAAGAATCACTTCCTCTTTAAAGACAAAGAACATAACCGAGATGTGAGTGTCTATAACCCCAACTGGTTTATATTTTGATGATGCAGTGGTCCTAGTGACAAAAGCATGAAAAGGGCAGAGGTACTCAGTGCCATTTTTGCCATGGTTTTCATGGGGAAAAGGAAAATCCATGGGACCAGAGGGTGTCTGACGTGGTTGGGAGGTCGTGGCGGTGGGGGAAGTTCCCGATGACCGTAGCAATGGAAGGATTGCGAGGCCGCGTGTGGTCGGGGCCTGCCCGGTGCGAGGAACCGTCGACCGTTTGGAGGGACCCCGCGGAGGGCTGTCGGGGTGGCTCAGCGTGCGTGCCTGCAGCGAGGAGAAAATATAGCAGCAGCAAACTGGAGATCTAAGGTACTTTAGTTTGGAGGGGGGGGAAAAAAAAATAAACACAATTTTATTTTCTATTTTTTCTAGTCATTGTGTCTGGAGAAACACGCCCCGCTGCTCCGGACTATTGTGGTGCCTCCTCAAAGAGCGGGCAGCTTGAGGGTATAAGTAGCAGTTATCTGCTGTAGGTGATGAGCGAAGAGCCGGCGTTATTTAGAGGGAATGCAAGGGACTGTATGGATTTGGGATGCTAAGTGGCACCTCTCAGGGTTGTGGGAAGGGCCTGAAGAAGGGAGGCTTTGTGACTCCAGAGATGTGAGCAGAAATGACTCCCGCGGGCCCTGCAAATGGTGGTGATGCTGTGATTTAGGTTGCAACTCTTGCCATATCAAAAAGCAAAGATGAGGGAGAGAAAAGATCCTTTGTTGTGGGGCAGAGGATGAAGAAGAGAGCCTCCGCTTCTGTGAAGTCTTTTCAGGAAGATCTTTTCCCACATCCCTCACCTGTGTGTTTATAGTCTGTTTGGAAGAGGTAATTTGAAAGTAAAGCAAAATAGCAAGTTTTCTTTTTTACATACATATATTTATATTCACGCATACACCCCTCCATACATACGGTAACACCAACTTTTGTTGGGTGTCTGGAGGCAGGAAATGAGGATTCTGACACTTCTGGAAGTGACAGAGAAAATCTTAACAATCCCAGTGAAGACAGGGGTACTAAGCAGGAAGAGCTCAGTTTGACATCTCCATTTTCCCAGTTCAAAGTTCCAGTTCCCTTTTCTGCAGAAATCGTTTATTCTAGAAAAGTGTACATAACTAGAATGTGGGATTTTGTTTGTAATGACTCACTGCATGCTTTTTGACCACTTGTTAGTGGTAGAGTGTTTATTTGCTACTGTAGTTTGTCATCATTGATGTAAAAAAGAAAATATTGATTGTTTACAGACAATAAGTGAGTTTTGGTTTTTGCAGGGGATGTGTTCAGTGTTCGTCAGTGGTAGAGGAGGGTTGTTCTTTGTAGACTGAATTCTTCAGCTGTTAAAATGAGCTTGTGGTATTTTCTGAAAATGAAGTTTTTAATGAAGGCACTGCGGTACCATAATAAAAAGCTAGAAGGAAAGAGGTAGTTTTTCTTTTTGCTCTCTCTCCCAAGGATTGATATGAAATATTCTAAGAATTCTGTTTCTCTTAGATAAAAGTTTTGAAATGTGAATATCTGTAAGCCTTTAGAGAGTATTTTGCTGTTAATGTTTTCAGTGCTTTCTCTCATGTCTTTTCTTCATGGAAAATATAAAATAGATTCGGTTACTTATATGTGCTGATGTTTGTGTGTGTTGTAATATCCTACGGGTTCCTTTTGAAAATGGAATTGAAATATATATTTCTAGTGCTATTGATTTCAAAGTTTTTAAATAGTTTGGAAGAGCATTAAACTGACTGCAGAATTTCAAGGCGCAGTTCTGTGCCCTGGTAGGGGAGCTTCTGTATTTGTTCAAAAGTGCAGCCCTTTGCGTAGCTGAAACAATCAAGCGACATGTAAATATTGTGACTTGGTCCCTGAACTGTGAGCAATAGGAGGTGAAAGGGATGAGAAGTGATTTTTATGTTGCTCATCAGCATTTTTACTCCTAGATTTTTCAGCTCAGAAGTTAATGGTGGATTGCTTTATTATCCATTAAAACTTGGTACATAGCTTACACTGATGATCAGACACCATTTACTGTCATGAAAAAAAACAAAACAAAACAAAAAAAAAAAAAAACAAAAAAAAAAACAAACCAAAACAACTTGGAGAAAGTGTGGTCAAACAAATACTTTGGGGATCACTACTGAGCCAGGGTGTCCCCTGGCCAAGGGGTACTCTGGGGGTGCTCCCTGCGGGGCCGCAGCTGGGGCGTCTTTTGGGATTTATCTGGGCAGTTTTGCATCTCTAGTCCACGGTGGTGGAGCTGCTGAAGGGAGCTTTTTGCAGGTAGGGAGGGCAGAACGCTTTGTAAAGAATGTTGTACCTTGGTTGGTATTCAGGTGCTTTAATATATATAAATATAAATATAAATATAAATATAAATATATATATATATATATATATATATATATATAAAAAGAAAGGAATTTCCAGCTCTCCCTGCCTTTCCTAGGGTTTCATTTATTTCATTACAGAAGTTGGGTGGTGAAAGCGTTAAATGGGGTTTTCTGTTTGTTTGTCTTGATGATTTCTGTTGTTGTTTGTGATTGCATTTTTTGCCTTATATCTCAACACCCAGTTTTTCACTATGTTCTTATGGTTATTTCACTGTAAATCAATTATTTTTACCATCGTAGCTCTTAGGAAGATCACTGTATTCTTTAGCGTTTTAAAATTATTTTACAATTCTGTATTGTGATCATCCAGATGGAACAATTGATCTACCATTGCATAACAATTAACACTACATTGACAGGCACGTTTTACAACTAGTAATTCCAGGGTAGCTTTGAGTATGTTGCAGTCAATTAAATGCTTGGTTGTTGGTCTTTATTTATACTTGATCCTTAAATAACAACTCTGACTTAAATAAGTAGTTGTTAATATAGTCCAGCTGGATGCAAGAAAAGAGTTGCCATAAAATGGCACTTTGTAGTAAGTGAAATTACTGGGTTTATGATAAGGATTTTGTGAGAAAACCTGCTAGATCTCTCACTTTTCAGAAGTTTGAGGTTTGGAACGCCCAGCTGGTCCTGTGAGCTGTTTCACAGTTTGTCATAGTTAGCTATTCATTATTCTGCTCTTGCTCTCTTCCCTTCCCCCATTTTTCCATGCACACTATCATGTTCGATTTTTCGGACTGCAGAAGTTGGTTGTACTAGGAGTATAGGCAGCATTTGTCAAAATTAATAAAAAAACCTACTTTCTTGTAGAAATTGCACTAATATTTATGTAGATGAGAGTGACCTGGATTTATGTTGAACTCCATGTAGTATAGTAAAAAGCAATGTTTTGAAAGCAAAGGTAATTTTGATGCAGAAAGCACTTGTTTAAGTGTGGGAGTTGCCCCTGGGAACAGCCAGGGTAACGTAAGATCAAAAGGTCAAATTCTCTGTTGTTGCCTCTCTTCCTATCAAATCTGAATTTGTCTCCAAGGGGAGACACTCAACCTTGCCTGATTGTTTCTAGGGGAACTGATGATTATTTGACTCAATTCCCACAGCTTCCGTGGACATCTGGAGCTTGTGCTTCCCTTGACAGAAGGGCAGGTGGGATTGCTCGGCGCCGTGGGGGGTGGCAGGACTAGTTAGTTGGCTAGTTAGTTCCTTATAACCATCGCCGTTGTCTCGCCTGAGTATCACGGGGACACAGAGGGGAACTGTAATTGTCGCAGTGGGGAAGTGGAATTGGAGTGAACCTTACTTAGACTCAGGATGACCTTTATTTTTCCTCTGTCGTAATTCGGGATGTTTTTTTCCCCCCTCTTTCCAACATGCTGTAAAAGAGGTTTATGTATCCGTGAACAAATGCAAATACTGCTGGTTTGAAGCTAGAAGAGGGATGTATGTATCTATAGAAAACCAGGAAAAATTTAAGAAAAGTATTTCTTCAGTGAATCCTGCATGGTTGGTGTGTTTGTAGTCTTCTAAATCAGGAATTCTGCTTGGGTTTGAGCTGTGGTAAGTTCAGAATATAGACCTCCACTAGGTAGTACATAAGGAGCATTTATTTATTTAATAGCACCCTTTTACCTGTTCATTTACCACAGAATGCTCCAAGTGATAACTTTCCACAACTCAGGCTTTTACCACGGTGGAGTAGAGTAACTCCTACAACTCTGACCCAGAATAAGAGGCCGGTAAGAAAATGTCAGTCGTTCTTGACATTTTCTCTGCTTGGTGGTTACATACACTAATTTTCAGTTGTTTCTGGGAGAATAATAGTAACTGGAATATATCTTATGTATGTCTTACCTAAACTTATCATGGGTATGATTGAAATACAACTTCAGTTCCAGTATTTTTAAGTGCAGAATATGACCCAAAAGTATACCCAGACCAATCACGAGCTCTGTTGGTTACCTGGAAAGCACGAGAAAGTCTTGTATTTCATTTTCTTTTCCTGTGCTGGATTTTGTGATGTTCAGTGCCCTGGTGGGGGGGGTGGGCAGGGGGTCCCCAGAGCTGCTGCCTGCATCTGCCCTTGCCCTGCCGGAGAACGGACTGCGATGCAGTACAGGCCAACTCAGGTTTGACATTATAAAGATACTATAAAAACACTTAAGTGGTTGGCAAGCTCAGAATGTTGCTAACAAAAACAGTGGTTTGTTTGGGTGTTTAAGTCTCGTGCTAATAGTCCTAACTGGTTTTTATTACTACAACTTCAGTTCCTGTGATGTTTTTGGTTTTTTTTCTCTCTGAAGTTATGATTCAAACATGTTTGTAGTTTTCTATTTCCCAGCCACCAAGAATATTTTGGCTTTGGCAGATAAAAATTTATCTGTGTTATTTGTGTCAATATATTTATAAGATACTAAATGTTGCTACAAAGATAGTCTTGCATCTATTTCTTGTAGGATAGTGGCCTGAATCTAGTTCCTATGGCAAATCATGGGAATCAAAACTACCTTCAGATATTAAATAAGCACCTCTGGTGCTGTTGTAGCTATTCAACAGGCTTTTGTTTGAGTAGCTGGCAGGTCAGTTGTTGCTTTTTATTTCAAAATAAATGAACTCGTTAAAAAAAGAAAAAAAAAAAAGAAGGCGGGGCGGGTATTTTTAGGGCAGTATGTGGGAGAAAGACACACAGAGTCTTGAGGAGAAGGGAGGGTCACTTGTCTCAAAATCATCAGCATCCAAATGACCGAATTACACGAGACTGCATTTTTTCTTTCTTCTGCATAAAAGCTGACAACCTTTACTGGCCAGAAGGTGACACCCTGGGTCCTGCTGTGCAGGGGTGACAGGACTAAGCCCGTGCCTACTTGCCAAGTCTCAGTCTCTAAAACCCTTCAGTTCTGCTTTGGGATCCAGCTCGCGGCGGTGGAGAAATGAGGGAGCAGAAGCGGTCTGCGCTTGCTGTGTTTAGTCCTTTCCTTAGCTTTCTTTAGTTCTAAATAATGTTGATAATGCTAGTTTTTACCCCGAAGACTACATCTTTTGATAGTGCATGTCCTAATTCCTTTTCCCCGACCACCCCGTCTAAGCGCCTTCTGCTCGCACGTGGCTCTGCCGGCTGTCCGAGCACGTCTTCACTTCTGGATCAGGGTTGGGCAGGTGACACTTGGAAAACATTTACTACCAAAGCTTACAAACCAGCAACTGTAAAAGGTTCAAAACTAAGATATATCTTTTAAATAGGCTATTTGTACTTCTATTTAGCTTTTCTTTGTTTAGTTAGCCTCGTTAGCTGCGTGTGAGCTATCAGAGTATGAATTAAGGAACGGCATTAACCTTGACAACGTTTCTAATTTCACCTAATGCAGGATACTAGATACTCCAATGTAAATATAAATTTGAAAAAGCTATGGCACTGTGACCCTGTTCTAACAGAACAGTGTTCTTAAAAAGTGTGTAGTTGTCTGTAGAAAGCTCCAGAGCCATTTTTTCACTAAAGGTTTTTGCATTTGCAAATGGGGATGAACTCTACTGGCAGACATATAATAGCTGCTGCAGCCCTGGGACTTAAAGCATTTGTTATTTCAAAAATCACCGTATAAAGAGGGGTTTTGGCAAAAGAACATACATAAATAGGGAAATGCCACTTTGAAAAGTGTCTTTGGCAAAATGTGTTAAGAAATCAAAATTGCAAAGTTATAATGCTACCGCAGCTCACTGTATTTTTCAAGTGGCTGTTTAAAGACTATTATTTAATCCATATATGAAGAACACTCTCCCTGATGAGAGAAGAGGTGAGATTGTATGCCATTCTTCAAATAAATCACAATATACATCGTGACTAAGTTTCTTTTGCATAAAATGCTTATGAAGTCACTTCAGACTAATTTGTGAAGTTTTTGTGAGGATGGGAACGTGCCAAGTGCAGGAATGGCATACTTGCTGAGGTCTAATATTTCTTATCTCGCTTAAATTGCCAGGAGTGAAAGCAAAATGGCAGGAAACAGCCTGGTTCTGCCCATCGTGCTGTGGGGCCGCAAAGCCCCCACGCACTGCATATCCACCCTGCTGCTCATGGAGGACGCATCCATGATCGTCACGGGATGCCACGATGGACAGATCTGTCTCTGGGACCTCTCCTTGGATTTAGAGGTACGACTAAAATCTGTATAATCTTAATTTTCTTTCAGTTTAAAGTGTGCATCATTGTTGCCAGGGTGATTTTTATTCAGTGTTATAGTATCCATTCTGGTCACCAGTTCTTTCTGCTTCTCCTCTCACGAGTCCTGCGTTGACACAACGTGCTTCCCATAGTGAATATTTCAGATTAGAAAGAGACATTTTTGCTCTTGAACTTTGTTGCTGCTCCTGCAGTAGGTTGGGTTGTTTTGTTTTTTTTTTTAAGTAATCACTTCCTCTTTTCTGGAGCTGCTCTAAACTTGTTTCTTTCAAGCTTAGCTGCTTAATACTGCTTTATGAAAACAGATTCCTGTGATCAGAGGACTGTATTTAGAGAACTTTTTAAGGTTATTATTTTATTCAACCATTTTTTCCATGAAAACTGAAAGAGAAAGAAGGCTAGCAGTAGAGATAAAGGTTGATGATTAATTGATTTATGCCAGTGGCTGCCCTGGAGTTCAAATCTGCAAGTGTCTGTTTTTGAATATGATCTTGTAGTTTTGCCTTGGTACAAAAGGGTTTAAATTCTTGGAATGAATTAGCAAAACAACCCTTCCTGTAAAAGAAGTGGCATGCTTCAGGAAGAGTTTATACTAAACGCCTAAAAATCTCAGTGTCTGTGAGTTAGCCCCATGAATTATGTTTATGTCTGGTATATTTAAAAAGGAAGATCGGGAGAAACCAACTAATTCTTTCTAGGATGGACAAATGAAGGGCAATTTTCTTTTTTTTTTATCTTTAATCTATGAATGGGCTTTATATAAACTTACTTATGAACGTATAGGGTTATGAACTCTACTTGATTGGGGGGGAACCATTGTTGCAGTGCAATACATTTTTCCACTCAAATTGAGCCAAATTCAGTTTGCGATTTAAGGATTCTGATAGCATGGGCTTGATGCAAAATGCATTTTTTTCAAAGTAGCATTACAGTATTAGAAGCTTTTTTTTTTTTTTTCCACATAGTCTGCAAAGAATGCTGCTGTATTCTTTCAAGATTATATATCAGCTGCTATGCTAATTAAATGTGGATGTGTGTGTATATAAACATAGATATATTTAATATATAGAATGGAAATCTGGAATATGTGTATTCTGGTTAAGCAATAGTGCCTGTGTTATTTTTACTTTGTTCTTTTTTTCCCCAATTCCAGATTAATCCCAGAGCTCTGTTATTTGGTCATACAGCCTCAATTACTTGTTTATCAAAGGCCTCTGCTTCCAGTGAAAAGCAGTATATAGTGAGCGCATCGGAAAGCGGGTGAGTTTCTGGAGGATTTATTAATGTGCAGATCTGTTAAATAGTGGAAATTGAGGGTAGAGGAGAGATCAGGTTGTTTACATACATGTCGTTATTTTTTTATTTAGTATTATGTCTACAGCTACCCCAAATGACAGGACATCCCCACTGCAGATACTGAGTGTGGTGTGAATTTTGGTTTCGTGGCCCGACGGGAGCGTAGGGAAGCGCTCGAGGTCCCGGAGGGCTTCCTCTGATATTTGTTGTAGCGTGGGAGGCAGCGGCAGGACGCCGGGCGGCTGTATGGGAAGCAATATGTGGCATGCTGGACTTGATTTACGTTTGGGTGGGTGGGTGACAAGATGTGTGACGTTTCCTTCAGTCAAGGCACTCCTGTGCTTGCTGTCAGCTTTCCGCTTGCCTGGGTTTGTCAGTTCAGTTGACAGTAGATCCATATTTTGCTCCTTTTTCTCCATTTCTTGAGTGAAAGCAAGCTTGAGTTGTAGCGTGGCTTGTCAGCAGGAAATTATTCCTATTACGTGTTTTAAAATTTGGAAACCTGTCACACAACTCATCTGTATTTCTGTTGCAGCGTTTGGTTTTTATACTTAATGTCAGCAAACACATATTTTTTTGAAGAGGCTTTATTTACTAATCAGAGCAACTCTTTAGAGGGTAGAATAGGGAAGGATTTCCCATGCAATTGACATTAATGGGGCTTGCAGTCAGGTAATTTAAAGAAAGAAAAAGTCATACTCTATGTATCTTTTCAGTAAATTAGCCCAAAATCTAGGCTAAAATGTGAGTGTGCAAAGTATTTTCTTTAAAAGCCAGGATAAATTACAGGGCAAAGCTTTGGGGCCAGCTAGTTTTGTTGTTCATAATGCCCAGGCGCTATTTTCCCGCCACCTCTTCTGCTTCCCATCCGCTGTCTGTCTGTCTTTAGTCTGTCCTGTACTGGGAGAGCCCTCTCAACTGGCTACATAACTTGTTCCGCTGCGGCTTCGTGCCATCTGAATTCCATTCCCTTCCCCTACGGAGAGCTTTGCCCCCTCTCCCGGGGTGTCGGTGGCCATCGGGAGCTGGGGCCTGGCCTAGTGCAGCCAGGCTGGCGGCCCGGGCAGGCCCGGGGATGGGTGCCCAGTTTAAACACCCCTCGGGGTGCCAGCACCAAATCAAGAGCTCTGCGAGGCCGGCCAGCAGCCGAGCCAAAGACAGCAGCCAGCCCCCGCGAGCACGGAGGAGGAGTTCCCCCTGTCCCCGTGGCTGGCTGTGAGAGCGAGTCCTCAGAACCAGCAAGCCGTCTCTGGGAAACGGGCCGTGCACGGCTGCTTCTGAGAAGAGACATTCTGGAAGGCAAGAGATTTTTTTTCTTTCCCCCCCGCCTCAAAATACGAGCCTAGTTTTGGTTCAAGGAGTTGGAGGAACTACTCTTGTTATCGAGCGCCAAGGTTTAAGTTGAGGTAAAAGCATTTCAGTTATAAATGAGTCATCTTCATCCATGGACTTGCACTGAACAAGGTGGGTTGCCCTTCACTTCTGCCCTCCGGCAGGCCATCTCATAATACTGCTAATTTTCAGCATCTCTTTCTTGAGTCTTAACAGCACAGGGAACAACTAACCCTGTACCACACCTCAACCCGTGAAACGGATTAGCTCTCTTGGTGAAGTTACTTTTATTCCAGAATTACTGTATTTTGTAAAGAAATTGCATTTACACATCATCATATTCCTTCTTAAACTAGCGGAGGCTTTGAACGCTCTTGGATGTAATGTGATATGTGTGTGTAATTTGTTTTTAAACATGCCTGTCCACTTGGCCTTGTCAAAGCTTGCTTTGAGAAGTTAACATTCCCAACTCAGGTGTCCTTCACTAGGCAAAATATTTCAGCTGGAAGTACTTGCAAAGGTATTCCTTCCCAGAGCATCAGTCTGTTCTTGAGTGTTGCTTTTTCACTCGCAAACTTACCATTTGAATGACAGACTTTTCTGCTGTGCAAAACAAGCTTATAAAAGGAAGAAGCAGCTTGTGAGTCTGTGTGGTTTGTGTTTTTTTGTTTTGTTTTGTTTTTTTTATTTGCTTGGTTTTTAAAAGACTGTTTACCAACACGTGGACCTCTAGGCTGAGGCCAATTTGATTCACTCTGGTTCAGGAAGAAATTCCTTAACCTCTGCCTACATAAATCTAGCTGGCCAGGTATAGGTCTGTTGGATAAACAAATAAAATAAAGAAGATTTTTTTTATCTGGAAAAGGCGAGGAACAATATGGCTGAATAACCTTTTAACGTGGAAGTTGAGAGTAGAATGTGTCAAAACTTATATCAGTACAAGGTGGAAATTCTACGTACTAAATAATCTTTCCTTTTGGATTTAGAACCAAAATATGCTTTCATTCTGAAAGGATATATCTGATGTAAAGAGAAAAAAAGGGTGAGAAGGCAGCTGACAGATTCTGCTCTGATTGAAGCTTCACATAAAAGCTTAAATTATTTAAAAAAAGAAATACTGTAAATAGGGGAAATAGCTGCTAATTTGAATGAATTGATACAGGTAGCAGTAATCTTTGCTCATAAGGCAAGTCAGAGAGCTGTCTACTGGTACCATTTATAATTTGTTGTTCAGTGGTTTTAGTTCAGGTTTTAGAAGTGCTGAAGAGATGCAAGCCCAGGCCCTCAGAAAACCCACAGTGTTCCCTGCCATCTGGCAGTGCTGTTTTCCCTGTCCTCACAAACGTGGAGAAGGCAAGCTAATCTCTGCCCAACTTCAGGCAGGCAGCAGAAGTATAGAATGACTGGAAACATTTGGGAGAGGAGTGAGGAATTCTCAGTTAGGTACTTGTGCTTATTTAATGTTGATTGCTTCTGATAAACCTTGGCATTTCGTTTGTTTCCCATATCTCTGTAGGGAGGAGCAGGTGGTGTAGGTTCAGATAGAAGGACTGGGAATGCAAGCTGACTTTGAATTTCCTTTATCTAATACAATTCATATAGTCACTAATAAATGGTTAAGTTTCTCCCAGTGTAAATGCTTTTTCGACCCTTGGAAGATCAAATATTTTCCATGTAGTTTTAATGTGCCTTTTGTGTTTTAGGGAGATGTGTCTGTGGGATGTGAATGATGGGAGATGCATAGAGTTTACTAAACTAGCCTGTACACATACTGGCATACAGGTTAGTACTTTGTGTGTGTTTCAAAGGTCCTATTCGATATTGCAAAGCATGGATAACTGTAATTAGTTACCAAATAAGGCTGTTTTCTTTTGAAGCTTAATAATGACATTATTTGCATACTTCAATATCTCATAAATAGTTTATGCTGTGTCATCAAATGCCTTGGAGCTGGAAGTACGTGCTATGCTTCAGCATTTGAAAAAATGCATCAGAATTAAGGAGAGAGGCTGGAAAGAAAGGAGAAAATTCTTGGAGGAGTACTGCCAGGGGAGGCGGGAGCGTGAGGCTGACCTTGGCAGGGAGGGCTGAGATGGGCTGGGTGTAGGGGGCAAGGATTGCCTTGGGAAGAGGACACAGAAGGGGAGCCTCTGCAAAAGTCCCCTCCTCAGTGCAGGGTGGTAATTTTTAAACATGCAGGCAGTCGAATATATTTATGAAATTACGGGTTTGCTTGAAAACGAAGTAGTCAGTGTCTCCCATGGAGTATAACTTGTGTATTTTGTTAATATCCATTTAGTTCTATCAGTTTACAGTGGGGACTCAGCGTGAAGGGAGACTATTATGCCACGGACATTATCCAGAAATTCTTGTTGTGGATGCTACCAGCCTTGAAGTTCTTTATTCTTTATTGTCCAAGATATCTCCTGACTGGATCAGCTCCATGACTATCATTCGATCCAACAGAACACAAGGTAATTATTTTTGTTGCTTTTATTATGGCTTTGCCTTCCTGTAAGAGAAACACTATCCTCAGCTTTTTCAGGAACCAGGGGAGGAACTAGAATGTTACTTCTTGTGATCTTGGGCAAGACCCAGCAAGCATTAGCCTTTCCAAAAAGCAAAGTGTGCGCAGTTGTTTCCAGTCCCTGACTAAGAGGCTAGATTATTATCTGTGCAGTATTGTCTCCGTTGCTGTTCCATCAAATGGGAGTTTTGGCTCTGGCTAAAATGTAACTGCTCTCTCGTGAACAGAACCTAAAATCTTGCCAAATCACTCTGTGTGTGCGCGCGCTCGGCAGGATCCAGGCTCACCTAGTAAATAGATCCAGTTCTGTCATCTTCAGCATGTGCACGTGCTGAAACCTGCAGGACAAGAAACCTTCCTAGAGGAAGAATGATTTTTTTTTTTTTTTTTTAATTTTTTTTTTTCAAGTTGGAATAAAAGCATATTCTATTAGAGTGATAGCTTGTTTTCTCTCTGAAAATTGAGAGTGTTCTGGAGAGCACCCTGACAGTGAGAGCCTGGAAACTGGCACAAGGCTGAAGGAGGCAGGGGAGCAAGCACTCGAAATGCTGAGGTGGTCACCTGCATTTCTAACAGGGTGTGTAAGATACCCTGAGAACATTTGGCAAGCTATATGTTGTAATTTTTGACAAGTACATGGTTATTTCTTGTGCCTAGTGGCTTTCTAAAAAGCACTGTCGTAACATTTTTCAAAGCTATTACTGTAGGAAATGTATTTAAGGACTGTGCTGATTAAAGTACACAATAGGATTAAAAAACTTGAAGACTGTAGAGGGAAGAACTTCCAAGAGTGACAGCGCTTTTGGAAAAGTTTAAAATGCAAGTTTAAAACAAAAGTTTAGTGGAGAGGTGTGTGAGCAGGCTCGTGGTCAGTGGTGGATTAATTGACATGGTTTGAAGCGATACCTGTGCACACATCTGTGGTGCTCTGCTAGTTTGTTTGCTCTCCCTACAACAGGTAAGTTGCTGGAAAAACTGGAAGTGAACTCTGGTATTAAAATCAAAGGCAGCATGGGGAAACGCTTGCTTCTTGTTCTGTAATCATTTTTATATTGTAATCGAGAAGTTATCCCGGGGATTTTGGTCTCACACCTGATAGAAACAGGAAGGCCTAGACAGTTTGACTAGCACTTGCTACACTTCGGTTGTTGCGAAGGTAGGAACTAAGGGGCTAATTTTGGCAGAGATGCCCTTTGGGGCAAGCCCCTCGCCTGCGCTTCCCTCAAAGCCGGGGGAGTAACCCCTTGCCTTTGGGGAGAGCCGGGGGACACCCCCAAGCTGGGACAGCAGTGCTGGAAACAACCGTGAGGTCCCTTCCCCCGCCTTTAATCTGAGCCCTAAATATTAATTGAGCGATGTAAACACAAACCCCATGTGCACATGGACTTCTGGAATACTACTCTGCAAATAAGCGTTTGATTTTTTTTTTTTTTCTTTTTTTTTTGAAGCATTCACTTCGGGAATGTTTTGATAAACTTTTAATGTTGAGGTGCTCTCAGTGTGTTTTTGTACTCAGATACGCACAAGTGTGCAACGAAATGAAGGTGGCCTTGTCCTTATCAGCCTAATGTTTGTTTTTCCCCAGAGGATACCGTTGTAGCAGTTTCAGTGACTGGCATCCTGAAAGTGTGGATAATAACCTCTGAAGTTAGTCGAATGCAGGTAAACAAAGGCTTCTGAATTAATGATATTTCATGTTGTGATGAAGGGAGAACTTCTATTACCGCTGTTTCCTGTTCTTCCAGCTACCTAATGACACTTTTTTCTTATTTACCATTTGAAAATCAACTTCCTCAATTTTGCTTTACCGATTCTTCAAGCTGCCAGCAGAACTCCTTTCTTATGTTTGACTTGGAGAACTTATTTCAAAATTGGTAGTAGGGTAATCTCCAATTACTACAAATATTTTTTTTTTTACCATCTAATGATTTGTGTTAATATACAAATATTCTTGTTAACACACAAATATTTTCTTTGAATTTTTCCCTCTTAAATCCTATTCTTTCGTTAAGTCATCTTGTACTACATTTCACGGGAGTCCTGAGTTCCAAAGGGAATTTAGTAACAAAGATTATTACAGTAATATTTAACTTCCCAAAGTGATACGGATCCCATACTGCATAACTTTATTCAATACAGGCAAAACTGTTCCATGCAAGAGCTTGCAGTGTAAGTACTCGTTAGTTGGAAGAGATGATGCTAATAAATCCATGTTTACTCTGTGTAGCACAGATAGAAGAAAAAAGTCACAGAGTTAAAGCTTGCCCTGTACTGCGTAGAAGTGTGTCTTAATATGGCTGTGACATGATAGAAGTGACTTTATCACAGTATTTAATTTTTAAAATTAAGTTCTCCAGCTGCATCTCTTATGCTCTTAAAATATCTGTACATTTAAAAACAAAAACTTCATTATAGCTTTATTACATCATACTATATTACTATTATTAAATTTAGTATTACATTTTATTCAATAATAAATTTTATTATTAAATGTAGTGTTTTCTTTGAGAAAGATAAGTGAGACGTGGAGATGTCTGTAGGGTTTGCTGATCAGAGAATACAGTTTTGGGGAATGTTCATTATTAGGGATTATCTCCAGCTCTGCTCTTTGGCAGCTCCTGCCTTCCTGTGTACTAACGAATAAAAGTCTTAAAGGAGATTTGCTACCCATCTCATAGATCTCTGCCAAATTAGCTGTTCACAGAAACCTCTTGTAAAAGATATACTTTACTATAGATGTTTAGCAACTGTGGAAAAATAACCGTTATGATGTATAAATGAACTATTTTTGGAACTCGTTTGTTTCTGGAATATTTATAATGCAAAAGCAGCACAGCTTGCGTTAGCTTGGAAGACCAATATAATGGAATTCCTTGCTTTTGACCCCATCAGGGGACAGTGGTGGTATTCATGTTGGTTTGTTTCCTTGTTTCAAACTTGATGAAATTATGTTTACTCTCAAAGGGTTTTCCGGAAACCCTCGCCAGGCAGCTACCAATGTTTTGGCTAACATCACCTTTAACAGTTGCACTTAAACAAAACAAAGGCAGCTGTGAGCAGTGAAGAGTAGTGGCCCTTGGAAAAGTAAGACCCACACAGACATAACAACGTATCACACTGTAGTTTATTTGGGATATGGGGAAGCTGGAAAGAATGAAACGTGAGTGGAATCTGCTTAGTTTCAGCTGACTATCTGGAGGTGAGGCGATTCACTGACAGCCATGATACTGAACAGGCACTGCTAATCTGTCCAGCTGGGGAATTTGTTAGATTTAAGTGACAAAAGAAGATACCACGTGCTCTTGCAGATCTTCTTATGAGGAATAATAGAAGAACAACTGCTACAAGGGTTTGGTTTTTCCTTAGAAGTTGACCATCTGGCGTCTTACAAAATAGCATAGTCCCTTCTCCATCACACGGTCTCCGTGGTGTTCCCAAGTTCAATTTGAGCAAGAAAAAAAATCAGCTGGGTATTTTCTTGTTCTCTGATTTCCATCTGTATGTTGTTTTTCTGTGTAGAGACTCACTCAGACACTGGTTGCTGTCACACTGAGTACTGAAATGGTTCCTGTGTAGGACAGAACGCTTATTCCCCGTCTTGAAGACGAGGAAATAATATTTTGGGGAAAATACTGTCTTGTGAGGGATCTGTAGCTGAGTAAGGAGCTGTGATCCAGGACATCCGAGTGCCCACTTCTGCCTTAATTACCTGGCTATGCAGATTTTCTGTGCCCTGTCTCCAAAAGGTGTTTTTTTTATAGAAGTGAAGAGCTGTTTGAAACAGGTTGAAGTGGCTGGTGTGGAGGATGTTCTGCTCTTCCGCACATTTGCTACTCTTGTACTGGTGACAGTCTGCAGACTTGACTCTTTGTCATGGGAAAGTTGGTATTCAGCATATGATATACCCATGGGAGTATCAAAATCAGTTAAAATTTACAGGAGCATTGACAAGCTCATGACTCGAGCAAAATTAAAACCATCAAGAAAAGCCTTTTTGGAAGATGTTGTTATTCCAGAAGGTAGTACGGCTCTAATTGAGTTTCAGATCGCAAAATTGCAAGAAAGCGCAGTTAATTTAATGTTGGTTTTGTTTGTTTGGTTTTTAGGATACAACACCAGTATTTGAAGAGGAGTCAAAACCTATTTATTGTCAAAACTGTCAAAGCATTTCTTTCTGCGCGTTCACCCAGCGGTCGTTGCTGGTAGTGTGTTCCAAATACTGGAGGGTAAGGCTGGCTAGCTGGACACCACCTGGCTGCTTTTCACTGTAGAAGCTGATTTTAATTAAACTCCCAATAAGATATTTAGATCAAGATGCTCTAAGTCCTTTTAATGTGTCTATATTGAAAGGGAAATTAGCTGCTCTCTGGGCATTTTAATCTGTAACGGGCTAATGACAGACTTTTCTGTTTCTTTTCAGGTTTTTGATGCTGGAGATTATTCCCTTTTGTGTTCAGTCCCTAGTGAAAACGCTCAGACCTGGACTGGTGGTGACTTTGTGTCGGCTGATAAAGTGATTGTATGGACAGAAGATGGACAAAGTTTCATATATAAATTACCAGCCAGGTAGTCAACAATGAAATGCCCTGTTTCTTTTTTTTTTTTTTTTTTGAGATAAAAACAGAAGAAACTTTGAGGAAATATTGAGTATCTTTTGGCTTTTATTTTGTTACAAAATCATATGGGTGTTGCAGAAACTACTATTCCATGAGCCCTATTTTAAAGGGTGTGTCCCCTAAATGTATCATGTTGAAGCAATGCTCGGGAATTTAGATTCTCAATCAAGATTGCTTCACTGTTTTCTGATCCCACACTAAGTCTCTTTTACTTCCTAATGGAGCTGCGTGATGGGAGGAGGTGCATTTTGCCATTCAACAAGTGTCATGGATTAAAATGTAATTTAAGTATTTGCTTAACCAAGTACAAATAAGGAAGAAATAAGATTTTGCTCTATGGGGTAAAATGTAAATGACGATTATATTATTGTAGCAGAGTACTCTTCCAGCCCGCTAAGGGAAGGCACAAACAGCTGAGTTTCCACACATAAATATGAACATATATTTTCAGTAGAGCAGATCTCTCTGGTGATCTGTTGGAGGGGGATCCTTGGCTTTGGAGTGTTTTGGTCCTGAGTCTGAGGCCAAAGGTGGTGAACTCTGAAGCAGACCTCCAGCCAGGCTTCCTTCATTCTTTTTTTTTCCTTCAGTTCTGAATGCGTGGGGGAACTGAGCTGGGACCCTTCCGGAGCTGTTAACTGACAGTGTGTACCCTGGATGTTAAAACTAATGAGCTGCTCTATACTGTATTAACACCTGAAAAATGTAATGTTTAAGGGCTTGGGAGTTGCTTTTCCTTAGTATTATTTAGTTAGCTGGTGATGGAGTAGTCGCTGCCTAGGAATATAAGGAACTTTATTCTTTTCTCTTTGTTCTTAAACCCAGCTGCCTCCCAGCTAGTGATTCATTTCGCAGAGATGTGGGGAAAGCAGTAGAAAATTTAATTCCACCTTTATTGTACAGTGTGTTGGACAGAGCAGACAAACAGGTAAAATACATTTCTTCGGGGTTTCTTTTATAGACTGCATTTCTCTTTTAGAGAGTTGAAACACGAATACATCTTGAACAATTCTTCTCTTTCATAGTAGCCCTTTAGGATTTCTTCTCTAGTAGAGAAAGTAGACATTTTGGAGGATAACAGAGGCAATATCCCTGCTGTTTGGTTTGGTTCTTGTTGGTTTGCAGGTAAAGGGGAGAGCTTAGTGGTCAAGTGAATCCTCAGTTCCTGTATACTAACGGTTTATTATTCATCAGCACCTGGAGAATTAGAAGTCCAGTTGTGATGTGCATGATCTTTAGGCAATAACTGAGCAAGCGCTTTTAGAATCACAACTTTTTGAATTTGAAAGCTTAAATCCTTGCAAAGTAAAGAAAATCTAATTTTTTAGGCCACAGTTCTCTTTGAGCTATATTTCGGTTTTATATTGTACTGTGAACTGTATCTGCTATAAACTAATTTGTCTAAGACTGCTGTATGATGCAGCTAGTACTCATACCTATACCACTAGGGATAAGTAACTGATTTACAAATGCTGTTATTACAAGACTATTGCAGGAATCCTGTTTTTTTTTTTTTTTTTATATTGACCATTTAGTCTGTTGCCAAATTTGGACGTTGAAACACATATTTGATTTTTTTATTTATGTTAATCAACATTAAAGCTTTTTTGCTTCTGTTGTGGACCGTGTTCCTCACTGAGCAGTGTAACTTCAGCTCACCATTGCAGTTAGAATGTTAACAATTTTGGAATACGCACAGATATAAAAAATATTCTTAATAGGAGTATATTTAGGACAAAACTGAATATATGTAAAAATCTTTTCTTCCTGTCCCCCAAACCTGTGACTTGTTTTGTAACCAACCACAGTTTCTTCGAATTTGTATTGCTGTATTTATTCTTCCTCCTGTAGGATAAAGCATAAAGCAGCTAGTTTTTATCCTGCTTTTAAAGGGTGTGGTGGATTATGTGGGGAAAAGACATTTTGAGGTTAGGACATGGTTTGCATGTGTTCTGAAGTTATTAATTTATTCTTTTTGACAGCTACTAATATGTTCTCCAGTTACTCGATTCTTCTATGGACATAGGGAGTTTTCCTATAAGCTGTTAATCCAAGGAGACTCTTCAGGGACGCTGTGTATTTGGAGTGTGCCTGATACCCTTGAACAACAAGATAGTGCAAAAGGTAAACCTAATTAACAGTCTTGTTGCCAAGGCTTTTAGTGGGCATCTTTATTTTTTTGTCATGTGCTTTGTTGCTGGATAAAGCGCTGCTGCTTTTCCTCCAAAGCCATGAAGTCTTTTGGTTTATGTTAATTGTTAGCTTCTTGTAAGAGTTATAGTAACTTAATTTTTTCATATATGATAAGAATCTTAATTTACTCTGAATATTTTTCAGGTATTAACTGCTTTTTTTCCAGATGCTAGCTACGGTCATCGCTGTCTGCCCGTGTAACTTCCTATTGTAGCTTTAATCATACACTGTCTCAGTTCTCACACGTATTAGAATCACAGAAGCATTTAGATTGGAAAAGACCTTTAAGAAGTCCAACCATATTGTTTCCATGTGTTGTGGTAATTTCACTCATGTAGTCAGTAAATTAATCTCCAGTGTGTACCTTTTTATATTGTTCAATGTGGTGTAACATGGTGTATTTAAACTTTGAGATCTCAGAAAAGCATTCCTAATTTCTGTTGGTTTCCTTTTTATTTTTTTTTTTTAATTTTTTTAATCCTCTTCCCACCTCACCCCTTCCTCTTTTTTTTTTTTTTTTTTTTTTTTTTTTTTTTTTTTTTTTTCTTTTTGAAACAGGACTGCAAACAACAACTTCAATATCCCTCCAGGAAGCTTTTGACAAACTTACTCCTCGCCCTGCTGGGATTATAGACCAACTGAGCTTAGTACCAAACATCAACGAGCCACTTAAAGTGACAGCCAGCGTGTATATCCCGGCACACGGGCGCTTGGTTTGCGGGCGTGAAGATGGCAGCATCGTTATTGTGCCAGCAACACAGACTGCTATAGTTCAGCTGCTGCAGGGAGAGCACACGCTTCGGAGAGGTACGCGGGCAGGGCTGTGGGAAGCACGGCTGGGTTGCAGCGGGCGAGGTGCGCTGAAGGAAGGAGTAGTTTCACAGGGTGAGCCTTAAGTCGCTTCGCAGGTCGAAATCCCATAACGGGTCTTCTTAACAATTCTGATGTTGTGTTATGTCACAAAAAAAAAAAACAAACAAAAAAAAAAAAAAAAACTAAGTGATAAATGAACGGCGGCCAGCTTGCAACAATTTGCAGGGGTGTTCCTTCACCGGAATGCCTTGGGTATTCCTCCTGGGTTTTTGAGGTGCCGGAGCAAAGGTGTGGCGGGGTGAATATCTGTGTCTCTTCCCCAGCGGTTCCGGCGTGCCTGTCAGCATCTCCTTGGGAAAACAGACCATCTAGCAGAGCTCCTCTTTGTGCTTTGGGTAGTTAGGGGAGTGTTCAACATCGGCCTGCTGTTGTGTATTTTCGTTCCGGATAATGTTGGTTTGATACTTTTGTGATCATAGTTGCGGAACAAATAGTTGGCTTTTGATCTTTACAAGTGCTGAGAGCTGAAAAAGACGTGTAAATATTTTCCTGTAAACATACACATGAGCTTGTCAGTTGTATACGAGGCTGTTGGTTGCACTGTTTCCTTTGTACAACTGTTTTACTTTATATAACTTTATACAGAAATGATTCTTTTCCTTAAGGTGAAGTTGGTTTGCCTCAAAGTTGATTGTGTTAGTCCGCAAATACGTGTTGGTGGTTTGTATCCTCATAAAAATGCAGAAGCACTTGTGGGTATTCTACATCAGGTTTGCTGTGCTTGCTAGAAAGCACGATCACGCAGAGAAAAAAAATACCACTGTATCCTCCAGGAGTTGCACAGAATACTCAAGTCTGGTGTTTAATTTACTGGGCCCATTTTGTCAAATTTGCAATCTGAAAAGACAATTTTTTCTAAGCCTCTTTGGCAATAACTAAAAGATTAGAATGAGAATGATGTAGCTAACGTTTTTGATCTCGACGAACAGAAGACTTGTCGTTCTTGCCCTGTGTTCGCAAAAATTATTTTCCTTTTGAAATTTAAATTTGATGTCATTAACCTACTCTGCACAAGCACCAAGTGCGGAACACTGCAGACTTGCGTGCTGCTGTTGTGGCCAGTGCAGAGTAAGATTACGGAGTTTTCCTGGTACTGGTCCTTTTGGCTGTACCCTTGGATAAATTCCCTTCCCCAAACATGAATTTATTTTTTCACATCTGACCTTTACAAATTATTTTTTTTCTGGGATGATTTTTTTTTTTTTTTTTTTTTTTGAGAGGAGGAAGAGGCTGTTTTAAGACAGCTGAATTACTTTAATGTGAGGTTGGACAGCAAGACTGCAGGAATTACTCAGTTCATGTCCAGTAAAAAAAATTAGGAAGACTTTAAAAAAGACAGGGCGAATTCTATAAGAGCTTCTGTCAAAAATTGCAGTATGCCTGTATTTTTCTTTATCAAGAACAGTGTTTTGGATTAACTGTTCCATTGAATTCTATTTTTTCTGTCTCCCTTTTTTTTTTTTTTTTTTTTTTTTTTTTTCTTGTCCTCCTTTTGCCCCTTATCCAATTTCTCAGGTTGGCCACCTCACCGGACTCTCCGAGGCCATCGAAACAAAATTACATGTTTACTGTATCCTCATCAGGTTTCTTCTCGTTACGACCAAAGGTATTTGATCTCAGGTGGTGTGGATTTCTCAGTCATCATATGGGATATATTTTCTGGAGAGATGAAACATATCTTCTGTGTACATGGGGGAGAAATAACACAGCTTCTAGTTCCACCAGAAAACTGTAGTGTAAGTTTTACATAATATGTCTGATAACCTGTCTCGCTTTTTCCATAAATGGTGCAGCTCCTCAAATCCTTCTCAGGAATGTGGATGTAATAGGAAACACTGGAGACGTAGCACTGACCCAGACACTGAAAAAGGGCTTAATTATTCGGTTATTCTTGGGTTTGCTTGCATAGTGTTCTAACTACGTAACGGATTAAAAATAGTGGGAAAACCGGGTATCGAAACCTGGCTAGCTAGGGGAATTTTTGCATTTTATGACAGGCAGCGTGAACAGTGGGAGAGGATTTCCCCCAACGGTGTTTGCAGATGCGATGGGCAGCCATTCCCCACCAGATAGCTCCTAGGTTTTAAGGGCACTTTTGTCTTTCATAACTCGGATGAGTAGGTAGAATTTAATGTCCAAAACGACATTGATTTACTTGAAAACCGTGGTTTCTCTTCTTTTTTTGCTGAACAAAGCGGGTTCTGATACCTGCTTGCTCTCTCCGATGCGGATTCGAGAGAATTTCTGCAAGTGTAATTCTGTTTCTAGTGACCTCAGTGAATTCAGCCATCGACTTCTGTGCCTGGTTTTTGCTTGTACAACAGGTTGTTGATCACCAGGCTTGGTCCAATGAAGAAGAGATTAAGAAGTGCAAACTCTCTGCATTGTGACTAAGCTTTCTTTTTTTATTTTTCTATTAGGCAAGAGTCCAGCACTGTGTGTGCTCTGTTGCCAGTGATCACTCAGTAGGTCTTCTGAGTCTGCGGGAGAAAAAGTGCATCATGCTGGCATCCCGTCACCTTTTCCCTATTCAAGTAATAAAATGGAGGCCTTCCGATGACTATCTGGTGGTGGGGTGTTCAGACGGGTCTGTGTACGTCTGGCAGATGGATACTGGTAAGGTTAAGTTCAAAGATGCTGATTAAACAGTTGTTAAATGCATTTATATATATTTTATATATATATATATATATATATATATATATATATATATATATATATATATATATTTGGTTATAGTTCTGTATCAGCTGCATCTGAGAGAAGAGTTAAAATTTTTTCTTACACGTTTATATTTGGAAATTTAGCACCCTACATATTCCCAAAATTTGTAGGTAATACACGCTTTTGTCAAATACGTGTTTTAGTATTTGGAATAACTCAGTTTTGGAGAAGCTGTGCCTACCATCCCCTTGAACGTTTTGCTAGTTCTCCTTAGGGAGACCAGTTAAAATATTGGCTGCACATGTAGTGTCCTCTTGGTTCATTAGTGACCGTGCCTCCTCAGCAATTTTCTTGAAAGTTTGGTGTAGAGGTGTAGCACCTTGTGTCTCCAATAGCTTCTTCATCTGCGGAATGAAGAAAGTGTCCTTTTTTTATTTTTATCACCTTGTTGGGTGGTTTTTGTTTTCTTTAAAAGGGACTAACAGTTTAGGAGAAACTAAAAATGAGCCTTAACGGAATGAGCAGCAAGGCATAAAATAAAAACAGCTTTGTTGTAGAAAAAGTTGTGATATTTGAAAGGGAGAAAGTGAGGAAAAAATGCATCAAAATATATGTAGTATGTAATTGCCTTCTAGCTCCGTAGCTCACCTGGGGGAAAACCCACAAACCTGCAATAACTCCTGAATATTACTGTCAACTGATTGTGCAAACTAGGTGAGAGCTGGTTTTTAAGGAAGCTCTAGGAAGCGAAGAGGATCCTGAGATCCATCGTGGAAAACGGAAGCCACACAGGTGGTTGGGTGGGAGAGGGGCTTCAAAATGCTTGTGAGGAGCCTTCGGCTAAAAGTGGTGAGCAACTGCAGTCATCGCTCTCTGGTCCGTACAAAAACGCACGGCGGGTTTTTGGAACTTGTCTTGCTTTTTGCTGACGAGTTTTTTTTTTTTTTTTCCTTACATCCTTCGTGGAGTTGAAGTCAGGAAAATCCCGTCCCGTTTGGAATGTTAGTTCTGAAACCAGCTGTTACGGCAAGGAAGAGTCGGATGCATCGCCGCCTCTGGTGTTAAATCATTTTTGCCCGTTGCTGTGCTGTTGTGGTTGCTGCTAAACTCGTGCTTTTGCGAACCTCCGCAGGCGCGCTGGACAGGTGTGTGATGGGAATAACGGCGGTGGAAATCCTCAACGCCTGCGACGAGGCAGTCCCGGCGGCGGTGGACGCCCTGAGCCATCCCGCCGTCAACCTGAAGCAGGCCATGACTCGCCGCAGCCTGGCCGCTCTGAAAAACGTGGCGCATCAGAAACTCCAGACTCTGGCCACTAACCTGCTCGCCCCCGAAGCGTCTGACAAGGTAAGCTGTCTTTGGGGTTGGTCTCTTTAAGTGCCGTACCCGAAAGGCTCATCGCCGTAAATAAGTGACTAAAATCTGGGAGGTCTTCGTCGCTGTAACTGAAAGGTTCTTACCCAAAGCTCCCTGAGATTTTTAAGAACGACTCAAGCTAGCTTTGCGCAGCCTTGGCTCAGTCCTAGGAGTTCGCTTGCCTTGGGGAAGAAGTAGCAGCCTTCCTCGACGTCTCTGTGCAGCTTGCGGTGCAAGTGGAGTTTATCTAGAGTTACATTTTAAAAAGACATTTCGCTCACGGTTTTTCTCTCCTTTCCGTGGCAGTGGTTTTCTTTGCTGGAGTCTAAGCCTTTTAAACTTCACTGTCTATAGCTCTGTACTGCTTTAACTGTCTTTTGCTCTAGGTTCAGTAAGAAGAGGAGTTATGCACCAAATAAATTCCTCTCTTTCTAGATAGGTAGTAATATATTTTTAGTATCACTCAACACAGCTCCTACCATATCTCTGGATGTTGTTCCCCAATTTACGTTACTGTTCATGATGCTACCTCGCACTTCAGTGTGCATTCTACTGTTGGTTATTTGGAGGTTTTTTTGTTTGTTCTGTTTTGGTTTTGTTTTTTTTTTTTTTTTTCAGGCTGAGTTTATTTAAAACCTTGATTTTTAGCAGCATTTTATAGCACCCGGAATATTTCCTCGATTCTCTACGCTTTGTTAGTTTGTAGTGCTGATGGGTAGACAAGGAACCAGCCGGTGAGCCACGTCCATCAGAAGCAAGTCTCTCACCCTTTTGGTTTTGGGTGAATTTTGAGGAATGGAATCAGTGTGGCTCTGTTTTCCTCTCTTCCCCCCACATTGACAGATTCCTGAAGGTCTTGCTAAAGGTGGAGCTAGAGCTTGATTTTATTTTTCTTTTGGTAGTTGTTGGTGTGTGACGCTTCAGAAAAAGTTTTACTGAAATATATGTGCAAATAGATATAAATGGGGCCAAAGTAACTTAAATGCTGAAAGTTAATTGTGGTTTGATAAAGTTTTGAAGTGTTTAATGCTAGAAGATATTGGTGGGCTTAGTTGATTCCTGAATATTTTAAAGCTTGATATTTAAGGACTCTTTAAGTTACGTTTCACGATTTAAGTGACGGATTCAAATGGGACTGTGTGTAGTAAGTTGTTAAAAGCGTTCGTTGCTTGTTCCTCAGCGCTGTATGTCTGCGCAGAGGGAGAGCACATGTGTTTAAATGTCCAGGGCTGGTACCGAGTACAACAAGAGGCTGCTTACAAACCTGAGCAATAAATAAACGCTCGTAGGAAGAACTCTGGTAAGCAGACCTTGCTGATAGTATCACAATGCTAAGAGTTGTTCAGGTGTTAGAGCGGGAGCGGGCCGGCGAGCCTGCACGTTAGTCTCTGGTGTCTGATTTTTCTCCACCCTGGTGGTGATTGCACAAACTGGAAGTGCCTTAAATATTTTGAGGTGTGGGGAAGTTCCTTTTTTCACAGCTGGTAGTGAGCTCTCTTTCCGGATTGCTATCTTGCAAGAAAAAATAACTTGGATTGCAAGATGTATAAAGAGCAATTTTTACATTTTAGCATTAGTTTTATTATTCCGAAGAGCAACTAGAATATGGCAGGTATCCCTGGAAAAACTAGTACAGTGTAAATAATTTTAAGGAACTTCAGTGTGGAGGATAGAACAGTACAAGAGTTAGTCCTGAATATCCTGTTAATTTGAATGTAATTATTCTTCATTCTGATGAATTTGGACCGGCTGTTGTGAAGCCGAACAGGCAGCCAACAGCATCACGTTGGGGAGATGGTAGAGACGGAATTAAAAAAGCCAGCAGTGACTTTTAGAAAGAGGCTTGGCTCTCGCTGCTAGTTTAGCTGGCGGGCTCGATAGCATGTGAGTGCAGATCCTCGGAGGAGAGCTTGAAGGAAGAGCTTGCTCTTGGGCTTTGCATCGTGCATTTTTGTTGTGGCCGAGTCCTGACCCTGGGAGGGTTTTATGAACTTTGTCACAGAGAGACTCTGACCCCTGCCTGGTAAATTTTTATCTCTCTGTTAAAGCGTAATTGAAGGAAGTGCAAAATTATTTAGAAGGAAGCTAGGAAGGATATCCTCAGAGTCGCGTGCTGGAGAAGTTAGAGGTTTCCCTCGCCCCGAGCGACGCGCTGCGGCGGCCGCAGCTTTGAGCAGGGGGTGGACGGGAGGGTCGCCAGCCCTTCCCCGTTGTGTCCTGCCTACCTCTGCTCTTACCAGGGATCCCCCCGCTCTCCTCGGGGCGGGGGAAGTTAGGATGAGCGGTGAAGACCCCTTGGAGTGGAGAGGCATCACATTTGCTCAGTCCGTTGGTGCCAGTTAAAACGGTTCCCCGAGCCCACGGCAGAAGAGCTTTGGACGTTCCCCTCGGGCCGTGACCAGCAGAGCGCAGCACAGCTCCGCCCTCGGGTGCTCTCAGCCTTTTCTGGTGGGAGAAGGGGGGGTCACGGAGAGGGGGTGGCCCTGGGAACCCACCACCCTGCCCCGGCACGGACCCGGCCCTGGGCACGGGCAGTGACGCGCCGGTCCCTCGCGGCTGGCGACGGCCTCACCAACGGCACGGCAAGAGGTGCTCTCTGCAGACTTCAGTGAGGATTAGCAGCTAGATATTTCAGTTATAACGTTGCTTTTAATTTGACCATTACCAGAGATCATTTAATAAGAAGCAACCTACATTACGCTCTGAAAAAATAACTAGATTTTTTTTTTTTTAATAAACCAGTGCATTGCAGAACACAGCTTGCAGCTCTTATTTATCGACACTTAATGATTTCTGTTCTGCTCCAGATTATGCACTCTTCCCTCCTCCTAGCAAATCTATTGAATAAGCAGAGTTTGTTCATGCTCTGAGTTGACCACAGGGGAAGGAGCAGAATTTGGCTGCTGGCTGAGTGCTCTGGCACGCTGAGCTAGCCAGCGCCGCAGCTCCTCTGAGAAATGGAAGAACAGGGAGCGAGGAGGAGGGTGGTCTCTGCTTAATTTTTCTTTCCTAATCCCTGTAACCAAATGTGAATTTGCCTTCTGGTCGTGCCTTAACCTTCTTATAGAAGTGAAGTGATTTTTGAACTTGAGGAAAGACCGAAATCAAAAATTATTTGATTCTGTTGGAATAGCAGATGGTATTGAAGATTTTGCCAGGTCTGCATTTCATTGTCGGAGAGTCTTTGGCTATGTTTTGAATATATTGCTCTGTGTGTGTGTGTGTGTGTTTGTGGTTTTGGTATCTGGTCGGTTTGTTACAAAAGGAGTGCATTGGAATAATGTGTAAAATATTTGTCTATTTGTTGAGAATTGTCCTCTGAAAGTGAGCAAGAAACTAGTGAGCGCAGCAAGCAAGCTGATAATTGTACTTGCTTTTTTCCACTTCAACACTATACAGTAACATATACACGAGTATATGCAGTCACTAACAGCTGTAGTAAAAGCAGGGTGCTTTAGGAGAGATAAATTGGTGCGAAGGAGAACCTTGAGAATTAAAATAATGTGCTTCTTTCAAAGCCAGGGTCGTACACTGGAACAGTAGTTGAACGTGATGTGGTGGATATATTCTTTCATGCCAACAGCATTTTGAGGGTCTTTACGGCTCTAATGGAAAAGGAATACCTAAAAATTACCTCAGTTTTCAAATAGGTGCTATGGAATTTGTACAAAACTTAAAGTAGCCAAGTAATTGTAGGACTAGAAGTGCTTACAGTCTTGAAAAAAGTCCTTGAGAGAAAATAAATGGTAGAGATGGATGTCCAGTTTTCCAGATAGAAGATGTTAAGTAGAATATACATCTGTTTGTGTTTTGTAGGGATAAATGCGTTTGTTAGTGTTCAGAAGTAGCACGAAGAGAGTTGAAAAATGCAAAATAATGGGTGGGAGCAGAAATAACGAGCTTTTAGAGCTCAGCAGGTTTTCAGTGGGGACTGCTCCTGTGACCCGGGGTGTTGAAGGCTCCCTAAGTCGGGCACATTGCTTCTACTCGGTGAAGAGAGGAAGCGGTTTGTCAGGCTGTGTGCAGAATAGGGCCAAAACCTATTGGGAATTAGTGTATATATACAGAATGTTCCCACTTTTGCATGATATACAGAGTGCGTGTTAATTATTTGTATAGTCTGTATCTATTTATAGTGTGTGTGTGTTTATGCGTATGCATACCTATTTGTAAATTTATGTATGTTTTTTATCTATATAAACTGCAGGCTTTGTTACTTTCTAAATAACTACTCTGCTGCAAAATGCGCTTTTGTGGTTTAAAAAAGACCACAGAGAATGGAAAATTGGGACGACCAAACTGAAGGGGTTGATGTTCATGTTAAGGCTGCTGAGGTCTAGGTGAGGGAAGACACAGGAGCCTTGGCCGTGTTGCTTTTCCCGGTGCTATTTTGAGCACTTTGGGGGTAACTCTGCTGTCGGTAAAGGTTGATGTTGCCTGAACAAGCCATTCTGGTTGATTCAGTTGTTCCTCCCGCAGCCGTTCTTAGGCTGGCGGGGGGTGGCCCGGGAGGGGGAACACCTCAGGGACACCCGGGGGCTCTGCCCTCCTCAGACTCTCCGCCGTTCCGTGCGTCAGACAGGAGCACCCAACCGCGCGTCCTTCTGGCTGCCCGTTCCACTGGAAGAGGGGAGAAATCACAGTTCACTTATATTTGAGCAGGGTTTATTTCTGTTCCAAAATTCCTCTTCACTCGTTTGAGGAAACTGAGTATTTGAGCAAAATTTTGTGTTGGTTATGGAGAGAAGAAAGTTCTCACGGTACTTTAAAACTTAGGTTTAATGTTCTTTTGTCCCACCTCCTTTTCTGACTTTTTTTCAGATTTTATCCCGTGGCATTTTAAGTTTCTTTTTCCATGGGTGTTTTGGTTGGTTGGTTTTTTTTTTGTTTTTTTTTTTTTGCCTTGAGAGGAAGGGAAGGAGGAGGAAGATGGACTTAAGCCATGAACAAGTGACACACTAACTGCATATCTGGACGAATTTATTAGTAGCTTATTTTCCAGTGACATAAATTACGTTATGCTTCAATGGCCAAATATGAAATACTTAAACGTGTTTTAAGTTTAATAATAAAATACTGACATTTTATTGTTCCTTGGAGTGTAACTATTATCTTTTAGAATTCATCAGAAAGATGTGTGAACTTCCATCTTATCTAGAGAACTCTATTTATCTGGTAAACTTCTGTAAGTGAAATCTCTGTATTTTAGGGGTGCAACACTGGGTCACAAGTGTGGTGTGCCTGACACTGTGAGAAGTGTTGTAAAATTCTTCACTGGTATTTCCATAATGTTTATCATAACGTGTTTTTATACCCAGGTGAGTTTTCAAACTTTGGTCATCCACAGCTTCCTTAATTTGTGAATTAACTTTGTGAAAAGTGTTAAAGTAATCCGACTGAAATTTCAAATTTTTTTTTTTTTTTTTTTTTTCAGGGGAATTTACCTAAATATTCACACAACTCCCTGATGGTTCAGGCTATAAAGACTAACTTAACCGATCCAGATATACATGTGCTCTTCTTTGATGTAGAAGCCCTGATTATCCAGCTCCTGACTGAGGAGGCCTCCAGGCCCAACACTGCACTCATTTCTCCAGAGAATTTACAGAAAGCCTCCAGCGGGTCTGACAAAGGAGGCTCCTTTTTGACTGGTAAGCGAGCAGCCGTCCTCTTCCAGCAGGTGAAGGAAACAATCAAAGAGAATATAAAAGAGCATCTTCTTGATGATGAAGATGAGGATGAAGACTCGATTAGGCAGAGGAGAGAAGACGGTGACCCGGAATATCGCTCTAGCAAATCCAAACCGTTAACTTTATTAGAATATAATCTAACCATGGATACGGCAAAGCTTTTTATGTCCTGCCTTCATGCCTGGGGCCTGAATTCTGTTCTAGATGAGCTTTGCCTTGATCGTCTCGGGATGCTTAAGCCCCACTGTTCGGTGTCCTTCGGCCTCCTGTCCAGAGGAGGCCACATGTCTCTGATGCTTCCTGGCTATAACCAGCCTGTAGGCAAACCGTCCTACGACAGCGTGGAGTTGGGCAGGAAAATGTCCATTACAGAAGGACTCGGAAAGGGGACGTACGGCGTGTCGCGTGCCGTCACCACGCAGCATCTCCTCTCTGTCATCTCGCTGGCCAACACGCTGATGAGTATGACCAACGCAACTTTTATCGGAGACCACATGAAGAAAGGTCCGACCAGGTAGGGTGAATATTCCCCTGAACTTGTGATAGCTCTCTTTCCCAGTCTTTATTTCGATGCAGCGATTTATTTCGTTTAATTTCACTGTGGGGTTTGATGTATTAAATGGCTATGGAAACCCTTGGTGCCCAAACGGAACTGGGTGGATTTCTTCTTCCTTGAAGGTAGGATTTCTTGATGCCAAGATAACTGTGTTGCTTTGCATAACTTAATATAGCTCCGTGTTCTGTTAGTGTTGTAACAGACGCACCAGTAGGTCTGAGAGGCCATTTCTGTCCTTCTTTCTAGCACTTGTTATGAAAAACTCTTTAAAAACAATGAGTAGGTCAAATTCTGAAGAAATCAAAACATACAGATGAACTTTTGATCACCAAAAAACAAGTTTACCTAGGAATTGTAAATGAGATATGGTTTTTCTGACAAATCAACTGCTTTTTAGAGGGTTGGTTCTCAAAGTTTTAGTCACAGTATCTTTAGCAAATAATATCCTTTTTCTCTTCTTTTTTGTCATCTCTTCCCCTACCCTCTTTCTTCTCCTGCTTTGTGTATATTTTGTATTTAGGCCACCCAGGCCAGGCACTCCTGAGATGTCAAGAGGGAAGGCAGCCCCTCCGATTTCAAGTCATGCAGCCCAAGGACAAATTAAACAAGGTAAAAATGACTTGTTTTGGAACAATTTGATACGTCATGTCAGCTCTTGACACTGAAGTTATCACCGTACTATCAAGTGATAAAAACATTGCTAGCTTCTATGTGGGAGGAAAAGGGAGTGTAATAGTCTAGGTAGAAATTTTAATGGCTAAGACTTTTTTAAGAGTCAATCTAAGATGCTGCCACTGTTGTGAAGTCATTCCCTGCCAACGAATTTTTGTATATTTTTAAGTGCTGCCAAAACATTCCGGTGTTGAGGCGATAGGAGGAGGTTTAAAGGCTGTAACTAAGGGCTGTACAGCCTAATACAAAAAACGTTGGTGTGTGTTGTCATCTAAAGCATAGAGGTGAACACATCTAAGTAGTACGTACACATTTCCTCTCCTTTTTATGAAGGAGGAAGCAATTACTTTATTTTAACACTGCTTCTACCACTGCTGCTACTTTCATCGCGGACAGTTAGGAAAGATGGCACTGGGGGAGACTGAAGACCTTTAATTGGTTCTTTCTTCATCGGTTCTTTCCTTTCATAGGTATGATGGCTAAGTGCAGGAAGCAGAGCAACACGTGATGTAAAAGAAGGGTGTACACAAGGTTAGGTGTGAATTTTGCAGTGGAGTAGAGTGGAGCCAGGGAGTAGAGCTTCCTCCAGGCAGCAGGAGCACACGGAAACAGCCCTGCTGGGACTGGGGAGATGGAGGAGGAGGAGGAGGAGGCACCTTCCTGCTCACTCTTTAAATTAGAGCTGCTACTTGACGGGGCGAACGAGCTGCTCCTCTTACTGCCAGCAACGAAGTGAACGTAAAACCACCAGGTTGTGGCCAATTCTGACTTAATCCGCAAAGGAAGGGCGCGGGGCGACAGCCCGGTGGGGCGCGCCCCGGGGAGGGGGGACAGCATTCACACACACACACACACACACACACACCCCCCCACCCCCCCCAGGGCAACAGGGGAGTCAGATCCCGGCGGGATCAGCTGCAGGGGGATAGAGGGGTGGAACCCGGGCCATACGTGGTTTGCTGGAGGATAAAACCAAGAGGAAAGGTATACACGTCATGGCTCTTTTTGCAGTGCTTTGGGATTTTTGTGGATGTGGGCCCAGCTGCGTGTGTGTATCCTAAACAGCAAAAGAGAAAAGATTTTTCTGTTTTTTTTTTTATCTTTCCATCACGTGTGTGCCGTTTGTTTGGGGTTTGTTTTTTTTTTTTTTTTTTTTTAACTAACCTATAAAGCAGATATCCTTCAGGACTTCTTTGAAACTTCCTTTGAAAATTGACATTCTCTTTTAACTGTTCAAACTTTGTCTTTTCAAGCTATGTGAATATGGAGAAATTTGCAAAGTGATTGCATCTTGCCGAATGCAAACACTTGGTCATTGTGGTATTTACCACCATGTACGATCTTTAGATGTACACTAAAGACACGTGTACTTCTTTAAACGTGTCATTAAACTGCAGAACTGCTTTTGTATTAGAAAGCTAGTCAGCACAACCGGTAACTTACGCATCAACTCTGATTTTCCTCACTGGTGTGAAAAAGGGGGGATGTTTATATCTGAAGAGGAAACTTGCCCATCAGCAACATTACTTTGTATTTATTCTCTTCCCAAATATAAATATTTAGTTGGAAAGGGAAAATCGGTTTCAGGAGTGGTATGCATCAAGCTTTTCTCACCATCAAGGGTGTTGCATAAATAGAGAAGTAGCAGTCAGAAATTAAAAAAAAAAAAAATCCAGGTTCTTCTCTCAACGTGTGGGGCATTTTTGCTTTTGGGGTTTTTTTATGGTTTTTGGTTTTTGCCTTTTTTTTTTCCAGCCATTTACTTTTCAAATAAGTATCATTCAAAGAGGAAGGGTCAGGATTTCTCTGAGATGGTGTCTGTAGGGCAAATTCAATGCGAGAAAAAACATATTTGTCACAGAGAGGGTCTGCGTTTTATTTTTAAAGATACAGTTCCATTATGGTTTTTTTTTTTCCCGAATGCCAGCTATGTAATTTTTCTTTGAAATAGCTTTGCTAATTTTGAGGCTTAGACGTACTTTAGTTAGCCAGTGGAAATATTTAGAAGTTCACAAGAAACAATTGGTTAAAAATGAAATTCTGTGTGCTGTCAGAAATAGAGAAAAATACTTCTGCTCCTAAATAGACATTTTTTTGGTGTCTGGTGGCATCTCTCGCTGGGGGCAGATGGGTTTGTTTCCAGGTGGAGACACTTTTGTCTCTTTGGTCCTAAGTTTCCTCAGTGTCTTACTTGGACACCCCGTTGTGCGCTACTTGCAGTATCTTGCTCCTCAGCAATACCTGGTGCTGCCAGTAAAGATGCAATTAATGCATTTTACGACGCGCTTGATCTCCGTCAGTTTTGACCCCTGTTTGTCTGGAGATGAGCCCAGCTCTGTGCTCCTCTGCTACGGGGCCAGCTGCTTCCATTAGTGATCCTGGTAATTGCTGACGTTGGGGGAAAGCAAACAACTACAACAAAGCAAAGCAAAAAAACTTCAGAGGAAGACTTGAGCTTCAGGATGGGGTGGGTTTGTGTCTTCCCGAACCATTTTTTTTTAATTTTTTTTTTTTTTTTTCCATAAAATAAATAGCTTTTTGGCTACATCTACTGCAGGTAGGTTTTGCTCTCGGGAAGCGATTTACTCCAGTCGCCCTGCCGCTGCACCCGTGCCGTCGGGATGCGTTGGTGCGGGAAGGGCGGGCAAAAGTAGTTTTGATGCAGACGCCGCGCGCTGACAAAAGAAGCTCCCGGCTTGAAAAGCAAACAGACCGTCCCGAAGACAACGCTAAGGCAGTGTGGGAGCTTGAACCCATTGTTGCTCTGCAACGGGATAAGAGAGGGGGGGGGTTAATTAGAAGATGCTTGTGCATGACATGCGGTAATTTCTCTGTAGAGGAAGGAAGGGTCGGAGGGTGAGCTCTAAATCTCCGCGTTGTAGCACGTGGATGCCATAAGGTCTGCACACCTTTTCAGGTGATAATATTAAGCCACGAAGCATTAGTGGAAGTATAACGTTTAGAACTGCTTTGAAATTACGTTTGCACCAAGAAATGATGCCCTTGGCAAACTAAATGTCCCGGGTGCTGCTCTGACTGACGTGCTGGAGCCGTGCTTTTCTGGATTTGGTTGCCTGTAGTGCGCTTTGAATGCTTCTGCTTCAGACTCTTAGTCCTTTCCTCGGTACGAGTTAGAAATGATTTGAATGGAGACACACGTAAAATGAACCTGTATTAAAACCAGGCAGTGGTAATATACCTTCTGTGACGTTTTAGAGTGACAGATGGGACAGCCCAGGTTGAAAAGGGGTTACTAACGAGTAGTGCAAATTCCAAATCTGTCTAAATATGGGAAAAGTACAAGAAGAAGCAGCAAAACACCCGGTTTTTGAAGTTCGTAGGCAACCGTGCTGTCAAACCAAACCTGACTGTGGAAAGACACGTTTGTAAGCGCTTTATTTTACAGGTACTTTTTGTCTTTTCAAAACGTGCAAGGTCCTGTTAGCGTATCTGTTCCTCTGCACTTGCACGTCTTCCTCTCTCTGGCATTGCACTTCTGGTAAAGCCTAGAATTTTTTTTAAGTTTAATATAATCACAGTTTTCTCTAGTTTTGTTTTTCATTCTTCAGTGATACTAATCTGTTTTTTTTCAGAAGCAGCTCTCCTCACTTTCCTATTTTTTTTTCTCTTTATTTCTTCTTCTTTCCTCTGCAAGTTGCTCCTGCTGTTTCTTCTAGCACTGAAGCTGGTCACTCTGGCTCTGACACTGCTCCTACTTTACATACCTGTTTCTTAGTCAATGAAGGTATTCTTTCCTCACTTTTCTATTTGTCTTTTACTTTCAACTAATGTCCCTTATCATTGTTATGACATGACTTTAATTTGATTTATGTAGGGACTTTTCATGGCAAAAAAAGAGGCGCTGAGGGGGATTTGTCCACTTTGCCATTAATGCGTGGCAGAGGGTGAGCAGACGGAGTTGGTGTGTCTTGGATTGCCTGTAAATTCAAAGATGGTATTTTGGATCTTGCTTGGGTTTGCTGTTGCCTTTTGACCAAAAAAACAAAAAAACAAAACAAAACAAAATCTCAGCCCCTTTTTAAGGAGGGAAAATACCCGAGCCTTTACCCACTGGTAAAGTGCGGAGGAGAGGGGCCGTGACCCACGGGGCGTGTTCCACGCGTGGCGTGTCCCGGCCCCGCTCGGCCTGAGGGCCAAGACGTGCTCTTGAATTGAGCAACCCCTCTTTGTCATCCGTTTTTCTTCGAGGAACGTTGACGTGACCATTGCTTTTCTTGTAACACCGGGAAGAGATTGATGAGTTAAAATGTTTAGATTTTTGATGTGCCGTATTGCCGACAATCTAAAAAGAGAGAGAGATCTGTGTGCTCACCTGAAGTATTCCTCCAGTTTCTCAAGTCAATGTTGAGCATAATAGTAGAATTATTCCTCTGCGTAGAGCACTTCACAAGCTCTGTTGTTTGAACTTGATATGCTTATCTTTACTGGATTTAACAGCGCAGTATTGCAGGCTTGTAGTATGAATTCACCTGAGGTAAGCATGTTGCAGCAAGATTTAGGTGGAAAGGTAAGAATAGACAAACATGTGCTGGTGCTTATTTGCATACAATTTAAAACAGAGAAGTCCGTGTAAGCTTTCTAGTGGTAATTCATACACTAAGCTTTTCCCAGTTGAAACCCCACTTGCATGTAGGACACGAAATATCGTGATAAATAATGTGAATTATGGTTTGAAAAGGGCTGTTAAATCTTGACCTCAGAGCCATGACTTAATTTTGCAAAAAAAAATTGGCTGTAATACTTTTAGGGATTTTTTTGTCTTTTTTTTTTTTGTATTTGGCGTGGATATTGAGTATGTTCTTAAGGCTGCAAGTTGAAAATCCAAGCAAGTGCTTAGACAGAGAAGTTTTGCGAGGGGCTGGGGAGGGAGAGGGCCAGTTGTGTTTCATCAGGCCCGCTTTGCAGCAGTGTCCTGCTGCTGTCTCGCTTGCCCCTCACCTGCCTTTGAGACACGGCCCGCTAGCTCACGAGCCGGGGTTCCTGCCTGGAAGAGCTCCCTCCTGTCCGACACGGAGAGCTCGTGCCCTGCCCAGCCTGCCCTGAGGTCAGCTGCGATCAGTAAAGACGGGGGGCAGCCCGTGATGGGGTGAGCCCCAGCTCCCCACAGCAGAAGAAAGAATTCTGGGTTTCTGCTGCAAAATTGGCTCTATTTTTTTTTTATTCCCCCCCCCCCCCTCCCTCTTTGTCCCACATTCGCCTGAAGATCTGTGTACCAGGCCAGTGGCCAGCCTAAATTTCCTTGATGGCATTTGAAACTTCAAATGGCTTCAGTGTTTCTGATATTTACCTTCCTGTCGGTGCTGGTTTTTACCAGGGTGGAGCCAGCTCGCTGCTATGCACTGTGTGATGCTCCCCGACCTGCTGGGGCTGGATAAATTCAGACCACCTCTTCTGGAGATGCTGGCTCGCAGGTGGCAGGATCGATGCTTGGAGGTGATTTCCATAGTAATTTTGTACTGCTAGGTTTTTTTTGGGGGAGGGGGGTGGGGGGGTGGGTTATGTTATCTTTTCCTGATCATGTTTTCCCTTAATATATGAAAAAAATACCTAATTCTTTTCCAACACAAGCTCGTGCAGTTTTTATTTCAGATTCAGGAAGTTAATTTTCCACTTAACTTGTCAAAATGTTGAAAAATTGATCATGTCTAACTATATATATACATATTATATATTTTATATATATATATATATTTAGGTGTGGGGTTTTTTTTACCTTCTGGATGCTGTACATATTATTTTAAAGAAACTATTGGATGCCAAACTTTGGCGATTCCATTCGGAATCTTAACTAGGATTAAAAAACCTGCCCTGTGTTTTTCAAGAGACGACTGCTGAGTCGCTGTTTTTTTCGGGAGCACGTGTACAGGAGCCGGTAAATGGTTTGTCACCCAGCTGTTTGATAAATGACTGGTGGGCCTTAACACTACACCTGTGCTGTTGTGGCAAAAAATAAATAAATAAAATGTGCTGACTGTGCAGCTTTCCCAGTGGGAGAGGAGCGGGGCAGAGCTGGGCTGGAGGCTGGAGAGCCGTGGCCGTCCGGTAATTTAATTGGGAATATGTTTTTTGCTACCTGATTGCCTGTTCTTTTGCAAGGTAGGATATACCGTGAGATGGTTTCCTGAGAGGGTAATTACTTGGAAACTCATTAACATTTGTGAGCAACAGAAGTCCAGTTAATGGGTAATCTTCGGTGCCCGGGTAGCATATTTATATTCCAGTTGTCTGCAGTTTTTTATTGGATCAAATCACTTCTTTGTGCATTAAATCTTTTAGAGCAAAAATAATGTGTGTGTTTCGGAATGCGTGTTTATGAACTCTTCAGATGGAACAAGTGATGTTAAAGGGGGAGAAATAGTGCAAGGTGTAGTATTTTGTGCTTTGTCGGTGTAAAAAAAAAAACAGATTTTCTCTTGTCAACTTTGGGAAACCTTTTTATGTATATTTTCCTCTGCTTTCATTGTTCAGTCTTCCGTAATATATAGTAAATGAGTAAATCTCATGGAAAAAAAATATTTCCATGAGATTATTTTTTCTTTGTTTTGCTTTTATGTTGTAGCATTTATGACATTGAGGAAACTTTATTCATTGGGCATTTTAAATTTTGGACCCAACTTGGGAAATGCTGTGGAGGAGGGCGATCACAAATTGCTTCAAGAAAACGCAAATTTTGGTTTTAGTTTTCTGTCGAAGTCTTTTTTTTTTTTTTTTTTTTTTTCTTTTTTCTCCCCTCTAAGTGGTGCTTTTTGTTCTTGCTAATTTAGACTGAAAAATATTTGATAGTTGAGTTTGAATGACGTTCCTGTTGGCTTTACAGGTAAGAGAAGCTGCCCAGGCCTTACTGCTAGCGGAGCTGAGAAGAATCGAGCAGGCAGGGCGGAAAGAAACCATTGACGCGTGGGCTCCTTACTTACCCCAGTACATTGACAGCGTTATATCACGTAAGTGATGCTGTGTTAAACCTGAAAATAACTGGGTTGCTAGATAAAAGAAAAAGGTAGAAAACTACCAACGGGTACTGCCAAGCTAGGGGAGGATTCGGGGGGAAGAGTCTGGGGTTATATAGAACAGTTTCTTGAAATTTTCAAAGTAATTTCACAATCGTGAAATCACTGAAGGTCACTAATGTTGCGTAGATAATTGAAACGCTTTGGGACATCTCATAGGGATGGGAGTGCCTTTTGCAAAGGCTGTTGAGGGGCTAGGCTGTGGGTTAGAGGTTTCAAGGAAGAAACCTGCTATGAAAAGAGCTGATCAAGTTACAAGGTACTAGTGGTAAAACGTGGACGTTGTTTTTCAGAGAACGTGTAATTCAATTCTAGAAATTGCGGTGAGGGGGGTCATTTGGCATCCCACGAGTATGAAAGGGTTATGACAGGAGCTAACGCGGGTTCGTGCAGGACGTGTCCATCAGTGTCTGTTCAACGTTTGATGCTACTCCCGCCCAGCTGGGTGTCCAAAGCCACGGGGTACCAAGTGCCACAGGGAGATATTGGGTAAAGATGGTAGCGTGGTTCAGCAAAGATTGGTTAAGCACTGATTTATGGTGATGGTTAAGCAGCTGAGCATGAGATTACAGTACTTGCCTTGATACTGAAAGGTAGAACATTTCCTCCATCTCTCCCTCCTCTCTCATCAAATTCATACAAGTCTAAAATTAAAGGTTATTGGGCTCTAGGGCATTAGAAGCTTAATCTGGTTTTACAAAGAGCAAGAGTAGTGCAGGAGCAACAGAGAAAAGGTCTTTTGCGGTGTTACACCAAGAGGCACTGCACCATGGCTGTGCCAGAAGTCCATCCAAGAATGAGAGCTGTTCCCTTTTCACCTCTGGTAACTTTTCAAATGCATGGAACAGTAAATCATCTCACACATTAGGATGTATTTTTTTTAATAGACCTTCTTCTGAGGTCAGCTGTAGAATAAAGCTATAGTTGCCCTGTACTCTCAGGAGTAGCAGCTGTAGCAGCTGGTGATGATTACTAATTTCTTTCCTCTGGAGCGATACTGAATGACCTTGTTGGGTGCAAGGTTATGGACATAATTGTCTTGAAGTGTTTATAAACCACTTGTCGTGCCTGTTTTAGCCAGTCGACTCTTTCCAAAAAAGGAACTTGCTAAAACAGACTTGAAAACAGCAAGTAATTTGTATTAGTTTCGAGAATTTGCTGTTTCTGGTACTCCTTGCTATTAAAACAAGACATTTGAAAGCTTTAGAGAAGAGTAGGCAGTTCTGGTTTACATGTGCATCACTTGGAAGCATAATATTTTGTTCTCTTGTGCCTACATTTGTGCTCAGGTTAGAAGCATGGCATGTATTTTTATAGCAATAGTCAGGGACTAACTGGTTTAAGAAAAAAAAAAACGAGTATTCTGTGTGCATGCAGCAGTATTTTGGCCCCCTGTTAGTCATTAGCAAATCAAAGCGTAGCGTTTGGTTTACAGTAAATTAGGATGTGCTTGTCGATCAGAATAAGAAGGTTTTAGAACAGAAAGGAAATGCTGAGAAATCGGCCGAGCGTGGCTGAAGGGATGACTTGGATGTAAATGTTCAACACTGTGAAAGCACTGATACCGCAAACTTTTCAAACAGGTCACGGCCAGCAAACTGGAATTAATTTTTTTATATTAACAGCGTGGAAAACTCTGTGAATTTAAGGTTGCCGAGTTTGTGGTTCTCCTGAGTGGTGGGGCTGAGAAGGCATTTAATAGCGTTCTTGTCTGTATGAGTGTGCCCAAAGATGCTGACACTCTGAAGGAGGAGAATGATTCCGCTGTCAGAAAGGAGAAACGAAATAAGGAGCTACAGGTGTTGCTGTTGTGGGCAAAGTTCCATGTTGGTTACATTGTAAGGCAGAATTTAAAAATTGCATGTTTTTTAAAGGTCTGGGGAGGAGTTGGAGGGAGGAAAAGAGTTCCTTAGGGTGGCCAGATGGATGCAAAGGACTTCTGAAAAGCGTAGTTTTATGCTAACAAGGGAAGGAGAAGAAATAGGAGCGATAAAGAAATATTGCTTTGATTCCTTCATCCCGAATTTGCCTCTTGATACAGGGGCGTAAATAATTCTCAACATATTTTTTGCGTCCAGTGTATACAATTAGCCTGCAATCGCTCTTCTATGCAAGATGTAGAAACAGTGCTTCTCCTACCCATTAAGAGGTTTGTTTTAATTAAAACCAGGGGTGATCACTACTAGAAGCCCGCTGCTGATAGAAGATACTCTGTCCTAGGAGTTTAACTGGATCCTGAATGAATAAAGGGTATACTACAAGCAAACAGAGATGAATTTTTTTCACCTCTGGGCACGTTCAGCTTAGTTTCACAGCGCCTGGTTGGGGGAACAATAAATCTTTGTTTTAGTTGGGCCTTCAAATCCAAAATCGGCATGTCAGCTTGTTGACCCCGTGTCAGGTGGGAATGGATGTAGAAGTGATGCTGTGAATTAAACCGATGCGAGGTATTGCAGGTGCTCGTGTTTTTCAGGCTCCCAGCTGGGAGGAAACCAGTTAAGCTTTCAGAGCTTCCTCTTGTACCTGCTAAAATGATGCCACGCGACTGTAAATATTTGCCATGGCCTTGTCTGCTTCTCAGTTTTGTACAGTTGTCTCGGAAATGCTGCGTAGCCCGGGGGGGCATTTGCCACGAGGACGTGTTTTCAGGTGAAGTTCCAAACGAGCAAAATACCGCTGCCTTTTTCTACCTGCTTATTTTTAAGAGCAAGGGCCGTCTTCAGCGGCAGATGGATTCCTCGGATTGAAATTCCCTTTTTAAAGGGACTCCTCTGCTGAATATTACCCCTCTTTTATTTATTTTTTACCTTAGCCGGAGTAATGCTTTCTTAAAGCACTGAAGGCATCGCTCCAGCTCTTGGTGGTGGATCTGTCCACCAAGCCCTGGAAGGCCGGATGTATTTTGAAATAGGTGCTGTTACTGTAGGTAGAAAAATGGCTATTCTGGCTTTAATTTAAATAGAAATTAATTTAAATAGATAGCCCTAAATTGTGTCTCGCTTTAAACTGTTTCAAGTAGTAATCCGTGTTAGCACCGGAAAGCAAAATAAATATGAAAAGTCTATAAGAACAAACATGCTGTTGTCAGTTTTTTCTGGTTGCATTTCTAGTAGACTTATGTTTCTGTTCGAAAGTTTTATTTAAAGCCACTTTAATTGACTAAAACCTAATTAAACTTCCATCGATTTGACTGGGAGGTTTCAGTGACTAAGGATAGTTTGATTGGACCCCAAAGGCTTTACTGTGTATGTACATGCTTGATGGTCTTACTCGTGCAAGGTTTGACTTAAAAGAGCACAGAGAAGTAGGGCAAATGGTTTGGTGCTGCAACATTTTAATGTACTAAATGAATAAAGAGGTCAGGGTGCTGCAGGAAATAATGAACCGTAATGATGGCTTCAGTTTCTAATACACGTATGTCTTCATTTTCCAGTATTTTCTAGTATGTCAGCTGACTTATTCCCAATACATTCAGGGGTTTTATGGTCTTTTCACTTCTAAAATGTGTTCCTAAGACACTTTTGGTGACTTACGTAGAAAGCACTTTTGTCAAGGAATGCATGTTCCTTCTTACTGGGTTTTCGTTGAGACAAAATGATCATTTTTTGCCTGACATATTTGTGTGATGGCTATTTTTCTCCCCTTTTGGCTTCACCCATTCATTGGCTTAAGGGGAATGTTTAACCATGCTGATTAAAGAGGTTTTTACTTGCATTTTTATTTTAATTGTATAAAATTATAATAAACTTTCCTCAGTTTTTTTTATACTCAGAACTGACTCATGCAAAGGCACTTGGTTCTTCGGCTGCACTAGAACAAGTCTCAGTAAGCTCTGTAGCAAGGCGTAGCGCATTTAAGACAGAAAAGAGGAAAATATTAAAGAGATATTTGGAAATTTTAAGGGAGATGTTTAAAGGACAGGTTTGTGAAACATCTGCGTGCTGTATGAAGGGAAACCAGAAAATAGTTGCTCTCTGCTTTGCCTGTGTTTCATAAAGTCATATTGCATGGTTCAAAATATCAAAAGAGAATTACTTTTTTTTTTTTTTTTCCGCCCCCAATCTAAGGATGTTACCTACGGAAATCAGTGACTTCTGTGGGTGTTTGGTTGTTTCTTCCAGCCGGAGTAACCACAGAAGCCATTCAGACCGGTGGTGCAAGCCCAGATTTGTCGGGAACAGAAGGCAAAGTTCAGGAAGAGGAGCACGACCTGGTCGACGATGACATCACGGCAGGTGAGCCCCAAGGGGATGAAGGTATATGTTTTTTGACGTAATGGGTACTGTGCAGAGGAGATGGAACGCTTTCTGCCAAATAGCATGTTTTTAATGGGAAAACGAAATATTAAGGCTGCTTATGAAGCGTGCACTATTAGAGATGAAGTAACTGAACACTAGAAAAGAGCTGTAGACAAAAACTAAATAACCTGCGTAAGTATGACCATATTATTGTGTTACCTCTGAGTCATTATCTATATTATAATACATGTTTTGAGTGTTTTAAATCTGCCTGCAACCCACACATTTAGCTTGTAGTTCTTGAAGAATAAAGGTTTGATATGATTCTTTGTAGTTATCCCTTAAATTCTTTACCCTGGTGAAAGATCTGATGTGAGGGCACTGCCATCAGTCTGTGTGACTGAACTGAGGTTGAGCTGCTTGGTTTGGTTTTGTGTTTGGCTTTTTGTTTTGTTTTGGTTTGTTTCTTTTCCTAACAAGTAATCGCCGCTGGTTTGTTGAACATAGAATTCTGGTGGTTTTAATTTTTACAATACTCATAGCCCTTTTACTGTCGTTCTAGTTTATTGTAGACTGGCAGGTACAGTCAAGAGTTCTGGTCCATCATATTCTGAAAGGACAGACCACACAAAAATAAACATTTAATTACAAGCAATCATCTTTTGATTCTTTGTTCATCCTTATTTATGCAGTGCCATAAGGCAAATATCTATATGCTCAATATCAATATCCTTGGGATTTGAATGGTTACAGTATGTATTTTACTGTGGCATACTGCAGATTATAGGGTGTGAAAGCTATTTTTTTTTTTTTTTTTTTTTTTTGTGGCTGAGCTTTGTATAGGTTTTTGTGAAAGTCTAAAAGAAAAGTAGTTATTCCTATTGACATGAAGCCAGTCAGCCTGGCACATCTAGTTTTTTCAGCCTGGCAGATCTAGTTTTGGGTCAGATCTCTGGCTGAAGGTGCCCGAGACAGGATTCCTGCTGGTGGGAGAGGAGCGTGCCTGGAGCAGGGAGCACTAACAGCCCCGGGGGAACTGGAAAATACCCACGAGGGAGGTGGGCTGCTGGGCAGGCCGTGAGCAGCAAGGGCTTTGTCCATGAACAGCACGTGAACCCTCAGAAAACAGGAAAATGAGGTAATGGAAGGGCTCGGCTTACCCCGAAACCCGCATTTCCCCAGCACACCCATCGGAGCAGCGTACCCCATCCCCTTAGTCCGATGGCTGTGACAATTTTATTTACAGAGAGAGTGTTTCTGTTATTAAAAGCAGTTGAGCTTTAAAAAGGTATCCTGAGTGAAGATGAAATTTTGCTGTACAATTTGTGTTGGTAAACTAGAAAAAAAAAAAAAAAAAAACAACTGAGACAATTTCAGCTTAACCTTATCTTAAAAATATGATGCAGCTTCTTTCTATAGTGATCCTACGAAGGGTAATATTTATTGATTTGGCTGCCACAGCATAACGCTGGTGTGTAGTGGTCAACAGGATTTTGTTTGCAGATCAAATTGAGATTCTCCAAATGCTTTCATTTATCCAAATAATTTTTTAAAAGGATCACTTTCACATCGCTCCTTTTGGAGGTGAAAGCGTTTTAGCTTAGCTGGCTGAAAAGCACTGAAGCCTGTTTTTGGAAAACAGCTCAGTAATACTCTACAGTGCCTCTTAAGCATTTAAGAAAAAACACATGCAGGAGTTATTTAGAAAATTGGGTCTACAGATGCACTGAAAATGCACGCACCAAGAGTCTTCCAATGTAGTGGTGGTATGTATTGCTGGTTTTAATGCCTGAAAGGCTTTTCTGGATAACTAAAGGTAGAGCGAACATTTTGCTTAAGTAATTCACATGTGGACAACAGCATTTTTTTCCTGGTCGGGCATAAAATCTGCTGGTTTCAGTGGTCAGATTTTTGCAATTTATCATGCTGGTTAAATTGGCTTTTTCAACATTTATTTTTCATTTTTTTTAATTTGGAATCTGTTTGTATTTTCAATGTCGTTTGAGGCTCCAAGGTATCGTCTACATTTTATTTTAGAACTGCAAACGTGTTTTTCCTGTAAACAAAGGAGGAGGCAAGTACTTGAAGAAACAAAAATGCCACAAGGTAGTGCTGCGAGACGTTTGGCAATACAGATACTTGTCTTTATGTTTTAGCACAGGGGCAGCAGCATCGCCAGGGGTGGTAAAACAAGGGCGGGGCTGAGCACGTACCAGCGATAAAGGGCCCAGCGGCACCGATGCTCTGACAGATTTATTCCCTTACAAAGGAAACGATATAATAGCACGAGCAGGCAAATAAAATCATCTAATAGCACGAACAGGCTGTCTTTTAGAAACCCGTTGAGTTGAGTGTGTGGAGCTGGTTTGGAAAGGATGAACTTCAAGGAAATAACTTTGCGGTTGCCCCCGAGCTGTGCACCTTAGTAATGGAAATGAGTAATGTAGCGGGGCAGAAAATGATTATATATCCCGAACGCCATACCGATTGTTCTTAGACCTGATCAACAGATACTTCCAGGGAGTTGAGAATTAATTTAGTCCTAATTAATTCCCGGAGCAATGAGGCATTTCCAGGCTCCTCCTGCCACAGCGTCGTGAGCCGTAGTGTTGTCAACACCCGCAAAGCACAAACCTTGTTCCCTGGTTCATGATGGAATACTAATTTTTCAACTTCCCCCCCCCACCACCACCTTCTGTGAACTGATAGAACCACCTCAGCCGGGAAGGCTAGAGGTCGTTCCCACCTTTGCAAACAGTTCTTGTGCCTCCGGATTGGTTTGACTGCGAAAGGCGTTGTCTGCTTTTAAACAGTAAAGGGTTTATTGCTTTGCTGCACTCGGGGGTTTAATAGCAAAAAGAAAAGGTCGGTGGGTGGGAAATGCAACAGCTCGCTTCAGCTGGCTTCCCTGGGACGTGGTAACTCTCCGGAAGGCGACTGGCAGGTAACAAAATACACTGTTACTGGACTAATTACTCTGGGTTTGGTGTTTCCATCAAGAAAACCAGGCGTTGATACCTTTTTAATTCAGTGGGGCTGGAGCCAACGTCAATATTTATGGGTGGAGACAGCGCTGTGGTTGCTGTGGGATTGAACTGAAAGGTGATTTCTTCCGAAGGATTTGCCAGTCCAAAAAGCTGGGAGGTGGGGGGCAGGGGCTGCCTTAGCTCCGGGGAGGGGGCTTTACCGGTGACGGTGCCTTTCCTCCTGCGTGCTCTTAGTAGAAGCAATAATGGTCAGTCAGCCTTCTTGGCCCTTGGCAATCCCCCGCCCAGGGGAGAAGGACCTGTTTGAACACCTCTTGTAGCAGGTCAGGGCAGTAAATAAAATGCTTTAAAATTACTCTTTGTTTAGCACAAATGAGTCTCTGTTAAGCAGGCGCTAGCGCACTTGTGCCTTGTTACAGACACAGTTACTCCTGATCCCGGAGAATCCCAGCAGTTCCAGCAGTGCGTACACAAAAATTTGTATGGAAAATAAAATGTGCAAGTGCTACTGATGAATGTTTGTCAGCTAGAAAATTGACTCTCTTAAATCTCCCCCTTTCAATATTCATTGTGCGTAATGAGTACTATTGTTTTCAGCAATAATTCTCTTTTATAATAATAATCATAGCTGGCAAAGTCAGAAGCGAGGACTATTGCAAGATTAACTCATACTCTACACTTCAAAAAAGCCCTTGAATCGGCGACAACATTTGTCCCTGGGAAAGGTTCTGAGTGCGAGGGCAGGGATTGCATTTCTTGTGACTCCTCTCGGGTCTCACAGCGCCCTCCCCGCTGTTGGAGCGCGGCACGGCACGGAATGCATCTGCAAGCATTGCTAACTTCCAGCATTTTCTCACAGTTTGAGCACTCCTTATTCTGCCCGCACCGTCTAGACGTTCTGATTTTGCTACCATCAAACTGTCTGAAGTATTTTTCAGTTAGTTCCTAGGCGCCGTATTGTTTTTCTCTGCGCGTTATGAAAATTTCCTACTCAAAGGCTTACGCTGTTGAAATATTTTCTGAAGTTTCAAAGCGCAAAGTGAAAGTTGTGGACAGTAATTTTTCAAGTCATCCATTAAGAGGTTTTCTTCTTTTTCTTCTTAAATTCTAATAATATTTTGAGTTTCCAGACCACCTGGGTGGTTTCCTCTTCTGGAGCGGGTTGGAGCGGCAGGCGCCGGTGCCCAGCACGTCCCTCCCGTGCCCAGCCAGGCTCCCACGAAAAATTTGGGGTGAAGTGGAGGCACAAAACAACCGCAGCCATCTGCCAGCCCCAGCAACCAGCCAGCAGCCCCCTGTTCGGCACAATAAGGGTGCCAAAAGAGTCAGGCTCTGGACAAAATTCCCGCTGGGTTTCTTTTAAGTAGGTTAGACCGAACCTGAGCGCCTCTCACGTAGGTTTCTGTATCTCCAGAGCCCTCCGGAGAGAGATCAAAGGAGCTTTTAGTTTGTATTTAATCACTCGTTGGGAAACCATCTACCCTATCACGTGCGGATTATTGTGTAAAACACCAGAAAAATGAGATTTTTATCATCTAAAGCAAACCTCATCCCTTTCAGATGCTAATGAAGAAACCAGGGAAAGACCCGCGCTGATGCCGCTTGGTCTTTTCTGTTGCAATTAAAGATGGAATGCGAGCTCAGACATGGGCTAGTTTACATGTAAAAGTTAATTTGTAATGGAGTGTTTGCGTGTACTAACAGGAATTTTGAAGCACCTTGAGAAATGTGTCTAACAGCTGTATACCAAGCTGAGAACCTACAACTTGTAATTAGCTTCTATGAGGAAGCGTGAAATTATGGGTAAAATGCTGGCGTTTCTTGTTTGGTTTTGTTGGGTTTTTTTGTTTGTTTGTTTTTGTTTTTTAAGGGAATGTAATTCATGTCAAAACACAGGGGTTTTTCAACATGTATTTGCAAAAATACGAGCATCTGCCAGGCAAGGAGCTGTCACCCAGGAAACACCGTTAGGAGCCGCGGCGTCGGGGAGCGTCCGTCCGAGTGGCGTCT